CTCTCCATCGCAGGCAGCGTGGCCGAGTGGTCTAAGGCGCTGGTTTTAGGCACCAGTCCGAAAGGGCGTGGGTTCGAATCCCACCGCTGTCATAATATATTTTTGTAATTTTGTATACTTTTTGCATGTATAATATTTTACTTAAGTTGTAATTAATTCAATAAACAATAATGCAATGATTTTAAAGATTTTTTATATTAACAATTTTTTGTTCCATCTCTACTATATGAACAACAAATTTTACAATATAGGACGATTCATGACTGACTATATATTACAACGATGAATATGTAAAAGAGGAATATTTTAATTAAAAAAAATGTAGTTTAAGTAAAAATATACTTACTAATAAACGGTAAAATATTTTTTATATACCTACTATGTACTATTTACCTTCAGCGCATTCGCACAAGAAACAAAGAACCGGGACAAAGAAGTTTGCCTTGAGGCCTTAACCTTCACCTCTTGGGGGAGGGATGCGGATGTCATTCCTTGAAGTGCCAGCAATAAGTTGACTAAGACAAAAATTTGCACAATGGAAGAAATGAACAAAAATTGAAAAACAAATTTTAGTTCTAGGTCTTTAGGCGAAGAGTTTTTCTAAAAATATTATTTTGATTTCTCATACTATATTTTTTGTATCTGCCAACTTTCAAAGAATAAAAATATCGATTAAGTGTACTAATCTGTACATAAGTAGTGCGTACGATTAATCAGATTTATGTGGGTTATACGAAGTGAACGCAGATGTTCGGACTAGAATCGATATCGCATCGAATGAGTAATTAATCGACGTCACTGTGTACACGACGGAACTTGGCATAAATGTAGATTAGTTCATTGAACAGAGACATTGTTGTGGGTTGTTTAACAACTTATAGGGCGCTTATATATACTATAACAGGCAAGAATAATATTGACAAAGGGTTATTTAAAACACATTTATACACACTCACCGTTTGTGAATTTACGTTTTATTTTTAATTTTGTGTAGGTTTTTAGCTTTTATAATAATTCATTGTTATTTCTATTTGTCAGTGAAATAGACCTTATCGTTAAGTAGTGATAATTTTTGGTAACCTTAACGTTTATTAAAGAATATTATTATTTTGTATACTAATATTATCACTATATTATTTATGAGTTTCTAAATGTAGCTACTCTGTATGTATATTAACAGACAGTTGCGAGCTTAATCCACGACAAGATATTGATGTCTTACAATTGTCTCCAACCGGGAACCAGTTTTTGCTAGTGTTAGAAAGAAAAAGTTTGCCAAAACAGCTTATGGTGACAGCGAAAGTCATATAAATGATAAACAATCAATATAAGAAATGCAATTGATTTCTCTATATTCAATTTTCGCTAATTTTCACACCAATTTGACGCAAATTAATGCTCCAAGGAATTAAATCTTGCGGAAATTATATATAAAACTACTTGAACCACGGGATTACACATTTTCGCCGTTTTTACAACATTTTTCATTTTAGTTCCGGTCCTATTGGTAGTTATAGGTATAAATGGGCTATCCAATACCAAAATATTTTTCAAAATCGGATCAGTTGCACTAGATTACCCAAAACATCCAAAACCTATATCACTATATAGGTATATATATATATTATTTGTACATTTTTTGTAGAATATGCACTTAAATCAACTACGATTAAATTATATTAATCGTAGCTTAATATGTATGACAACAAGAATATATAAGCAGATATTCCTTTAAGCAAGTTAAACTCTTCGTAATTTTATTTTGCTTATCTAAGAAAGGTATCTAAGAATGCATAAAATTAATGTAGTAATGTTCTCCACAGACGTATTATCTTTGAGTACTATTTCAATGTCAAAGTCAAAATTATTTATTCATTTAGGATATCTGCATTTATCTTTAAAGAGTCAACTAGTGTTGTTAGAGACGACATTATTGATTCGTTATCCTATTACACAATTCTACACAATTCTCGAGTCACAATGTTACTCCTCTGAAACCATGCTCCTCTGAAACCATACTCCTCTGAAAAAGTTTGATCGATTTTTATGAAAGTTTATACACATCAGTAGATCTGAAAATCGGGTGCTATCTATTTTTATCCCGTAAGTGATAAGAGTTATCCACCCCGTTTTTTTTATTTCTTGGAGAAAAAAATTATTCATATTTTTTATATGTGGCTTTAAAAAACCATACAACCCTAAATTTTCGCCCTTCTATCCTATCAACTCCTATTTTTCAATAGAGATTTCAATTTATATGGCAAAACAACATTTGGTAAGACAGCTAGTAATTTATAAAAAATTACAACTGATAACAATAAAAAATATTACAAAAAATAACAATAATTCAAATTAAGATTGCCGCAGGAAATCATATTAAAGTCAAATATTTGACTATGTAAAGATTTATTAGAACATTTATCATTCCTATTCTATTCTCGTGATTAATGTTTAATATATTAGATATATTTGCCCTGAAGACATAAAATAATGTATTATTGAAGTAATTCCATTTATAAATTAATGTTGATAAATAACCTTTCTTTTGACGACATTCAGATTTAAATCCTAGCAGCTATACCTAATCAAATTAATAGAACTAATTTTTCAAATGAAAGCACTAATGCTGGCTGAAATACAAATAGGTACAAAAAATAATGAAAACTTTTTAAAGGTAATTTTTAAAATTAAAAGAAATCTATTAGTATACACCAAAATCATATATATATATAATACAATCATATATCAAAATCATAGTCATAAGATAATAAATCAACTTTATCGTCTGAATATTCTATATATTTTATGAATACTTCAGAGCATATAAAAAGTGAAAGTTATAATCTTCGCCTACAAATAGAATCGTGATCAAAGTATAATAATAATATAGATGCTGTCGCTAATACTCAACACCCCTAGAAAATATATAAATTCACAAGTAACAACATCCCAAACAATTTAGACTTTCTACTAGCTTTCTTCTTATATATACTTGTATTTTGTTTGTGGGCGTTTCATGCCGGATTATAAAAATATTTATTTATTACTCGTATAAAGCGAGTATTTTAGCTCCCTAAATCCCTTATGACCCCATGATTCTAGCAATGATGCCTCGAAGTACACGTGTGTTTTTTAATGGATGATCTGACGCTCTACACTCGCCTCCCTAGACGGGTGGATAATTTATATAATATAATATTTTATTAGTAGTATTATAAATTCACCATTTCTGGTTGGAACATAGAACACAACCAAACTGCTTAATGATAAAAAATAATTTCTGAGACAAAGGTATAAAACTTCTGCTATGCACGTGTAAACAATATATAATATTTCTATCTGCTTTATCTATAAAATTTAGAACTTATATGATGTGCCTAATTTATACAATCCGTTTGAACTATATGAATAATGTCCATTTGTAGCGGTACTTGACTTCGACGGACGGATAATGTAATGGTTTATTTTTATAAATAAATACTTTGGGTATTTTTTATAATATTCCATCAATCTTATTATAATAGATACAGCATGCTTGAATTGTGACTAGGCGTCAGTGCGTACATCGACCCGGCGTCTAGCTAACAAGATCATGAGATGCTGTAGATATTATATACTCACATATAGTTAGTTACCGTTAATTAGTTTTAATTATAGGTATTCATATTATTAACGTCGTAATCACATATGTCAAGATGTGATTACAAATGTGAGTAGTAAACGAAGAGCTTCGTGACGCAGTAGTGGCTATTAGACTTTTTTTATATTTATTCAAGCTGTTTTAATCAATGAAATATAGAACATACAACGAACTAAATGCTATGGATATTCTCTACCATTCAACCGCCATGAATTAAATAGCTATTTATATAAAATATTCGTGTTTATTATTACGTAATATTTAATCTTAATTAAAATGCCTACATATCTTTATAAATAGTCAGACTTATACTTTTTTCGTCTTAATTTTATTTAAGGATATTTATCATATAACAGTAATGCCTCATGGTACTTTTAATATAATATATTTATGTTTTAATAGTTTTCTTGGCCTATTATATAATGAAAAGAAGACTTTAGATTGTACATATGCTTCATATTAATTACAGTAATTACATTTAATACATAATATGGAACGAGGAATTACACTAGGTTGATGACGGGTCCTTAGGAGTAAAATGTCGTTGTTTAAGATACCCATGTTTATTGGAAAGGCGTGATATCTTTTGAGAACCGTGTGTTTATAAAAAAACGTCAATAGGTAATAATTTCAGGCGTCAATAAGCTATAGCAACCATTTTCTATTAAAGGGAGTATAAATATGATGCCCGTATTATATAGAAGACTCTTATATATACGACTGTTCTTATATAAATTTTACATACGACTTGACCAGTTCATGTCATGTAGAATTTTGCTGAACTAATCAAACTAAACAGGAAAGCGCTTAAGCATCTGCTCTAGAATTAATTTGAATTATTTATTCTGGAATTAAATTTCTTCTGTCATATATACATATCTATTAATTTCCGCCGAAAAAAAAACAACTAATAGTATATTTTTTGTTCATAACTAAATTTAATAATTAATTAATCGCAATTATTAATTGATAAACAAATTCTAAGTAAGTTCTGTCAACTTTTGTTTTGATACAACTATAGTATAGATTGAAGTCAAAGAGCAAGACCATATTAAATAAACATGAAATGAACTTTAACTCTAAAACGGTCAATGCACTCAACTATTTAATAAAACTATGCAACTCTACAAAATGAATCTTTACATCCATATGTTAAAGTTTGCAAATTGAACGTCGTTGATTAATCTAATCTTTTAAATTTACGACTGTCCATCAACTCATTTATCTAGGTGAAGTTCACTGTTTTTGGGCCACTCGTGCGCAGGAGTGGTGGACTACGATCAAAGTATATAAACGCGGAGAAATGCTCTCACTTTATCCACTCAGCTGTTTCATTTCGCACAATTAACTATTTGCAAAAATGGCGGCTAAACTCGTCGTAGCTGTAGCACTCTTCGCCATGTGCCAATCAAGTCCTGTCCTTATAAACGGTAAGGTTTATACGTTTTTTATTATACAATTATAGCTGAAGTCACTTTTATCGCTATATTAACGTGACAATCGATATAGTAATATTTATAATCTATTCCCTCTGTTATTTATTGTTAAATATTATTTTACTCCACAGGAATTCTATACCGTGATGGACGTGGCTTCTCTGTCGCCCAGGGCTATAGTAGCAACTATGGAGGCATTAGTCAAGCTTCTGGCTCAGCGAGCAGTAGCGGTGGTTCTGCTCAAGCTTACGGTAGTGGGTCTACTGGAGCTCAAATCGCCCGTAACGATGGTTTCGCAGAAATCTATCCCGGCCAAGCTATTGCTCAAGCACAAGTCTACGACGCTCCTGAAGTGCCCTCATATGGTTCTGCAAAAGCAGTAGCTGAGGTTCAAAATGGAGCAACGTACTACCCCGTCCCTGCTCCAGCGACCGTTATTACCTACGAGCAGAACTTTGAAGTACCCGCTGAAATCAGTTATGAAATCCCCGCTCAAGGTCCAGTCTCGGCTCATTCATCAGCTGTCTTGAATGGTAATGCCGATACAGCTATATCTTCTGCAATCACTAACGGAGCTGGTTCGGCTCAATCCTCATCTCAGACACAGAGAGGTATTGGCAGCTACGGACTCACATCATCTAACGCCAAGACCTTCGGTTCGGGATATGGATCCGCTTCATCAAATGCTAACAATGGATATGGATCAGCTGTAACCGCTGCCCGAACTCAAGGAAGTGGTGGATTCGGTTCTGCCTCCTCAAAAGCGCAAAATGGCATAGGTTCGGCTTTATCTACAGCTCAAACTCAATCTAACGGTGGATATGGCTCTGCCTCTTCCTCAGCAACTAACGGACAACCTGAACCTACGATTGTAGTTGCCAAGACCCAGAATTACGGTGCCAACTATGGTTCTGCTAACGCTAATGCCAATGTGAACGGCGAATACGGCAGCGCCATCTCATCTGCTAAGACTTCCAATAAGAAGGGCATAAGCTGGCGTTTTGGAACCCTTTACGATAATCCCTCTGGATCTGCCAATGCACAAGCCAACACTCAATCTGGATTTGGCGCTGTCAAATCTACTGCTCAAACATATAACAATGGTTTTCCTCAGGCTGGATATGGTTCCGCCAACGCTAATGCGGACGTAAACGGTGCGGGCGCGGGCTCTGCCAAGTCTGCTGCTAATACTATGGGTGGATACGGATCTGCTAGCTCATCAGCCAACCTTGGTGCTGGTTACGGTGCAGCTAAGTCGGCTGCCAATACCCAAGGATCAGTATACGGCGGTTCAAGAACCGCAGCTGACGCTCAAAGCTCTGGATTTGGCACCGCCTCTTCTTCTGCAAAGACCCAAGGTTTGACTACTGGCTACAGAATCGCCAACTCCGCCGCCAATACATCGGGTTTCGGTTCCGCTCACGCCAAAGCACAGAGTTCGTAAATACAAGTTATTTTACGACACGATAAGCAATGATATCAAGACGACGTCCGGCTGTTGGAAAACTTGTCTTGGTGTTTTTGCTATATTTTTTTTATAAATTAAGTATTTATTTTTTTAATGTATGTCTAGGTAATTTGAAGTCTGAATGCATTTGACAAACATATTTTGAGACTGCTATTTATTTATTTACGAAATAAAGAAAATTTAATTAATATGAATTGTTTTAATAACATGAAAATATTTATCACAACCAAATCATTTTACAAAAATATTAATAATCCTGCTATAGGTACAATTTCATAGTAATTCAAAGTAATTATGAAAGTTTCTAAGTGATTAAGTAATTTTCATAACATTTTTCATAGAAAATGAACCTTCCACAAAAAAAAACTACTTTTGAAGTTCCTCAATACTTCTATATTCAAATTATAAGAAATGGTACTCATATTGCATGTTTTACTTCAAAAATGATAATCCGATTGATGTCCTACTATCAGGCATAGGACAAATCTTCTCACAATAAGAACATTGGGCTGCTGTAATCATGCTACCCAACTGGTTTGATATAGGGTGTTACGTAATATTCCCTGTCTTCTTTCCATGTGATTTACATTTCATTTCACCTAGTCGGTTCTAGCTATCCCAGGGATAAAATGTAGATATATACGCATATACATATATTCTTAGTTTGCCATTGAAATATCAGTAAAATAAATATGTATACCTACTAATATTATAAATTCGTCAGTCTCACGTATAAGTTACGAGATTAATATAAAAAATATGATACCTAGATACTCTAGATGAATTCAGAGGATACTTTTCATCTGAATTCACGGAGACACCACCGTGCGATGTTGTATAACTATAAGTACTCGTAACTAGTCAGCTATCAAACCTCAACCAATATCTTCTATAAGTACAATAAAAATATAGCTAATATATACATGAAAGACATATACACGTAAATGGTGTGATACTATTATATATGTAGACGACCTCGGTGGTCTAGTGGTTTAGCACATCGCTTTACGTCCGATGGTCGCGGGTTCGATTCCTCGCACGGCAGAAACATTTGTATTAATGAGTATGATTGTTTGTACCGGTCTGGGTGTTTTCTATGTATAATATGTATGTATTTACGAAAAAAATATATATCTATGTATTTGTATCAGTTGTCTAGTACCCATAACACAAGCTTTAGATAGCTTAACTTAGGTCTAGATGGCGCTGTGTGAATTGTCTTGAGATTATTATTATTATTGGAGGATTTTATGAAAATAAAAACCCAAAATTGTTATTTTTACCATTTCTGTTCGTTGTTTGTGTACAAACACACTTGTACTAGTACACAAAGTGGTTTGTACGTGCTAATTCCAGAAACGGTTTAACCGATTTTCTTTACGAAATTGAAATCTTTTTTTATGAAATTGAAAAAACAATCAAGTGCTACTGCCCATCTGGTGGTAAACGGTAGCCGTTGTCTATATACATGAATACTAGAACGGCCATCACGTTATCATATGCCACCCGTCATACCATTCAAGTTAGGGAGAAAGGGAGTAGTTAATAATGTGGACTAATAGCCCCATAGCTGGCAATGAACCATGTCAGGTTGACTTCCACGCGGTTCCTCCTACAAACCATCGTGGTAAATTACCCATCCTCCACAGGTGTCCAAGCAGCGTAAACCGTTCGCGCAGCTGATGTATCATTTCCATTATCATCTATTAAAAAAAACACTCAATCATCCAGTAAAAAATCGACAGGAGTCCGTCGTCCCTCTTATCCGGTAATTTCGTTGCTGTATTGTGGAAAATTTAACATCAAATTTACTGTTTATATTATTCCAATAGGTTTACTAACAAAAAAGTTATAGATACCTATTGGTTGGCTCAGCTAGTCTATACATATAAATAAAATTGGAGTATCTGTTTGTAATATTGAAATAAACGTTTTTTACTATATGCATATGAATATAAATACGGTACATACACCAAAATAACATTTTTTACAATTATTGTCTGTCTGTCTGTTCCGGCTAATCTCTGAAATCGCTGCACCGATTTTGACAGAATTTTTTTAGGCAGGTAGCTGATGTAATAAGGAGTAATTAGACTACTTTTATTATAGAAAAATTCTCTAATTAACTTGTTAAGTTCCACGCGGGCCAAATCGCGGGTAAAGCTAGTATGAAAAATAAGTTATTTATTTGACCTCCGATCTACGACCGCTAGAATTGGTTTTTGCGATGATACAATCTATATATCGACACCATAGTGATGTACCTCTATGTTTTCGTTGTGGATCACCGAATATTGACCCAGCAAGTAACTGTAAGGGTATTTGACCGACGGTTTATCCATTACTTTGCAAATTCGATCCATCTTGATATCAATTAGTGTTAGGAGGTCAATGGGTCCCTTTGAGTACATTAAGGTTTTTAAAGGTTTTTTGTTATAAATATCTTCAACATCAATAAGAGTATTGTTGTTCTATTATAATAAAGATCCGTTTACAATTTGCTAAATAAATAAGATTTCATTTTTTTAATGTTAATAAGCTCTTGTAAACTTGATACAATGTCTTTGTTGTTTTAAGTTCGATAGTAATTATTATATTGTAAATGAAAATTATTTATATTCCTTTCAATCTAATTTGGTTATAACTTATAGTTTCATTATGAAATAAATTATATCATTCCATTTTAAACTGCTTTAATTCCAGCTTCAATATGTATTATTAAAATTATGTACGATCTCAAATGAAAAGAGTAATAATAGACTTTATTGTTAGTTCTTCTCGGTTTAAAATATATTCCAAACAGACGGTGACTTAAGATTTTTTTCTGCATGATTTAAAATATTTTTATTACCCTGGAATTTATACTAAGAATTCCTGTACTCGTATTTATTGTTACTGACACTAATAGTTGGACCGTATTATCTATTGCTCAGCTCTTATATACCGAAATAGAACCTAAACATTAACATCGATGTATGCCATTCTATTATAATTTTACAACACTAAAACTCATAAAATAAATCAATTTATTCTTAATGTTTTGACACCATATTAAAGTAATATATTATCAGTTATTCTACAAAACTGAATTCAAATTTTATTAGTAGAAAAGTTATAAAAATATTTAAATGCATGTCGTATTAGAATATATCATGTTATAAGCCCAGTAACATTATTATGTTAAGATATCGTGAATCTTTATATGATCTCATTTATTTCGAGTTAAAACATTCTATTATTAAAAAAGCAACTATTATATATTCGATATAGATAGGCGTCCATTATTTTGGATTTGGTATTACTACCATTTCACAAGTTAAAAAAAATTAGAAAATAACAATAATGGACTGAGACAATGTACGTTATATAAGTCACTTAGTCTAACATCACGCAATTCACGTAGCTTTAATACATACATATATTCTTTATATTATATTTATATTTATATTATTTATATTTATGTTATATTCATAGTAGTCCTAATAACTAGTATAAGTAAAAATAGCAACATGTAAGACTCAAAACACACAACTTTACACACTCACTGCACACTAATAATTAATGTTTAATTCCTTAATCTACTTAATCTATGTATATAAATTTGAAAATAATTCTATTAAGTTTTCTGCAGATTTAAAGTCACATAGTTACTATCCGGACATCCAGACAGATTTATGTTGTTTAGATATACTTAATATTACATTCAGAGATCGTATCCATCGTAGCAACTGAATAATTTACATAAATTAAATTAAATAAAAAGAAAAATGTTTCCGCTGAACATTTTTAGTTTAATGTATCCATAAATTACGAATTAATCAAAGTGTTCTTCACTGGTAACAGTCTTAAACAGTCCGTAAGCAGAATTCATAAGGCTAAGAATTTTTAAAAATAAGTCAACATGTAATTAATATTTTATAAAGTAATACTAAATAAAATTTATACAAATAATAATAAGAATTATTTCTGACAAAAAAATAATTCACAGAAAAAACTGTTATATAAAAGTAATATAGTAAAAAGTATTTAATGCATTTTTTAAGAAATTATAAAAAGTTTCGAAGAATTTTATTCATTTCTAATTTTGGAGATTCCAATTTCAAATTTTATCAGCAGCAAAATGCAGCGAGAGACTGCAATGAAGAGGACTATTAAAACTATTGAAATCAGAACTCTACGAATGTTTGCTTGTTGTCGGACAAACTTAAAGAGTTAACTGGCAATGTGTAATATATGTAGATGCGATAATAAAAATTAAAATGAAAAACACATAGGTATATGGGCAAACAGGATAACTGACCCGGTTGTATTTTATGTTAACTTTTATGGTCAGTAATAAATGTAAAAAGCAACGGATGATCTCAGCTGCCGTGTGACAAGATCATAAATCTACCGGATACATATTCAAATCTTTATCGGCTACTTGATTCTAACTTTCTATACGATACCTATCTGTAACATCATAATTATGCGGCCTTTTAACTTTTTTTTAACTGGAATATAGCTATTTTGCCTACATGTCACATATTCACCTTTTAATAGGTGAAACATAATATAATTTAATGTACTCAACGCATCACATATAATTTATAAATTAAATTCATAGATAAATTAGATTAACATTGTAATGTTTTGAATAAATAATAAATTAGGATATATTCTATTCTTATTATCTCAAGAAATATCATAAGTGTAATACTTTTTTTTATTAGTTTTTGAATTCTAAATTTAAATTTACCGGATTTAGAATTCACATTTTTTGATCACATGTAAGATATGTAGTAATTTTAACTTTAATATTCATAAAACTATTGCTCTATCACCAATATAATTAACAAATTCTTTTATATTTATTTTTAGCAAATTCAAATAAATTAAACCTACAATAGTTGTGTTGAATCAACAAATACTAGATTAGATCTATCCAAATTTCTTATTCTAGAAATCTAAGCTTCTTAAAAACCGTAGCAGCATAATATCGTAATTTTATACACTCTAAAGGAGGAAATTCTCATAATAAGTAAATAAAAAACAGAACACAATTATATGTTTACAATAATTGAACTGTAACCTACAACTAGGTACAACAGTTGGACAGTACCGTTCAGTTACAAGTACGTTGGTACAAACATAAAACATGACCGACGAGCTAAGGTCATACTCGTATTATGAACGAATGTTTACGGTTTAAATTGAATAACCGGTCAATCAGTGGTTGTCAGATGTTTATCGGTCATAAATAGCAACTTAAACGGTCAAGAGGATATATAAAGTACATATTTTTTGCTATCAGTAATTGAACCTTGGAACTGCTTCACTCCGAACTTCATTAACATCACCAAAACCTCTGGTACCAAAGGTATAACCTGTAAAAAATTGTCTGCGTTTGTCTATAGACGCCCTCGGTGGTCTAGCAGGTTAACACACCGCCTTATTTTCAATGGTCGCAGGTTTGATTCCTTTACCGCAACTTACCTACAAACATTTGTATTCTTGAGTATGATTGTTTGTATTGTTCTGGGTGTTTTCTATGTATTAAAATAATGTATTTATGTATTTATATCAGTTGTCTAGGGGTACTAGATATAACACAAGCTCGAGTAGAGCTTGTGTTATGGGTACTTGGATATTTACTTACTTTAGGTACTAGCTTACGAATTACAACTTAGACTAGATGGCGCTGTTCAATTTGTCCAAGATACTATTATAAATATATAAAATCATCAGTATTCTCTCTACTACATCCTACTCTTTTTATATATAACTGAAACGGTCAAACTTGGGAATACCGAATAACCTTACGGACTACTTAACGCAGAATTTCCATTCGTTGTTAATTTGAATAACCGTCGTTTATTCAAATTAACAACAAATGGAATTTTAACAGAATACATACACTAAAGTGCTTCCATTTTTAATAATAACAATAAATAATATTCAAATCTTTGTCTGTGGGCTATAAAAAAAATATAGTACAGATCTTAATAATATTATAAACGCGAAAGTTTGTAAGTATGGATATTTGTTACTGTTTCACGCAAAAACTACTGAAAGGATTTTGATGAAACTTTACAGTAATATAGCTTATGCATCAGAATAACACATAGGCTATATTTTTTATTGAAATGTAGATACTGAAATTTAAAGCGGGTGAAACCGCGGACACAGCTAGTAACAAATAAAAAAGAAAAAAAAGCATATTAAAAAAGTGCATTACAAAATACGGTCTTAGCAACATATAAACACGCTTTCTCACTTTAGATTTCCAAAATATGGGTGATAATTAATAAGAAAATATATAGAAAAAGTAACTGTAATGTACCGTTGTTTAAGTTAACCTTTATCCATTGTTCTGCTATAAGTATGTCGTATGTGTAATCGAAAGGAGATGCGAAATTATCGCCATTGTATAATATATTGCTATAATAATTAGCACCTACAGTTGTATGCCATAATGAGTTGTGTGATGCTTTGTTATCTACTCAAGGATGTATCAAATAAAATCGGAATATATTATCTTAATAGATGACCTGCGCAACTTCATCTGTATGACACTTATTTGACATTTTCATTATATTTCGCCCAATTTACATACTATCTTTTTAAATTATATGTCTTACTGTGATGTATAAGCCATATTACTGTAAAATTTCTCCATAATCCGTTTAGTATTTTTTGCATGAAAGAGTAACAAACATCCATCCATACTCACAATCTTTCGCGTTTATAATGTTACATTAAAATTAAGATATATAATTTTTCTCGTTTCACAATGTTAGTTACTATACTCCTCCGAAACGGCTTGACCGATTTTTATGACATTTTATATGTATATTCAGTAGGTCTGAGAATTAGCTACTCTCTATTTTTTATACCCCTAAGTGATAAGGGGTTATTTGACATTAAATTTTTTTTTATTTTATGAATTTATTTTTTATTTTTTTATAATGTCAGACGTCTACTATCAATTCCTATGTTTAATAGCGATTTTAATTTATATGGCAAAACAACGTTTGCGAGGTCAGCTAGTTATTATTAATTATATAATACAGCGGTTGCGCTGTCAGTTATCGACTGCTGTTGAAAAGTATTGAGTTTAATTACTAATATCACTGTTAGGGGGAAGGGGATTGTTAGGAATGTAGAATAGATTCCATTGCTAGCAATGTACCATGTCAGGTTGACCTCCACGCAGTTCCTGAAAACCATCGTGATGAATTCCTGGTGAATTTGCCACAACATGCTAACTGACCCAACCTCATTCTCATCTTATAATCCTCTATTAGTGCTCCGCTATCTTAAACCGTTAGCACACGTTAATTAAAAAAATATATCACTATTAAAAAATAAGGGTTGATGGTAGAATTGTATAATTTAGAATTGTACCTATATACTTTTGTAATGCCGTATCCTAAAAGATTAAATTAAATTAATGTGATGGTCCATCCTTATCACTAGAAATATATTAGGGTATGAAAACTAGTTTAGATCCTATTCTCAGATCTTCTGAATGCACAAATTTATAAGAATCTGTTACGCCGCGCCGTTTCGGAAGAGTTTTGTTACAAACACTGTCACACGAGATTTTATATATTGCATATAGCTCTGCTACGTTAATTATTTCTATTGTAATAAGTGTCAATACTGCCACCTATAAAAGTGTTGCGCTTAAACTATGAATGAAAAGAACGTTTATTACGAACACTTATGTTAACAAATAATCAAACAGACATACCGACACTTCAGAATGTAGTATCAGCTGGGAACGGTTGTCTCTTTAAAAAAATTCGATAATAATATACATAGATTAACAGTGGAAGAATAACCTCCTACTCTTAATTCTTACTACGTTAAAGTGGGTTTTGGTTCTATGGATATGTAAATACATACAAGAGCCTAAATATGGTACCAAGTATCTTTATAACAACACATTTTTTTTTGTATTCGTAGCACATATGTAAATCCGCTTTTTAATATTATGTTGTGTAGCTGTAAAATTATTCTTTATTAAAAAGTAATATAAAATAGATAACAGGTAAAAACGCTAACAAAATTGAAACTATAGAAAGTAAGATTTCGGATTTACACAGAACGCTATTATGAGAGAAGGTTTATAAGGAAAATAAAGAAAAATCAAATTTACAGCATATATTTTTTTAATATCATCAACAAAATAAACAATATAAAATCATGTGTATAATAACAATATTTTGTGTTTTGTTATAACTTTGTGACCAAACCATAGTGTATAGATGTTAATCATAGTTTCCCCTGCATGAACGGCTTGAGGTACTTGTGGAATGAGCTGTTGACTGGCTCCGCGTTCAGAGGACTTTTCATGGCTTCCTCCATCAGACGATCGTACACACGGCCGTCGTACGCGCCCAGAGCAGAATTTAAAATCTAATCAAAACCATTAATTATATTATGAACTTTATTAATAAATTATAAAATTACAAAATTACATGCTCTTGTTTAGTATTACAGTATAATACCTGTAACAGATCAATGATTGATGTTTTATATACTCCTGTAATTTAATTACCCTTCAAATCGAAACACAGCTCGCAAAATAAGCAACAAATACATGTACCGCCGCGTCGACTTTGTTCAAATTCAACATCGGTAAATATACAGTTTTCATCAAAAATGAACTCTAGGTGTATTGAAATAGATTAAGAATTATAATCAATCAAACCACAATAAAAATATCTGCTGTAACCTAAAAAGTAATTATTACTAAAGTGAATAAAGAAGGTTATTACCTCATCTCTAATATCGAAAGCGTCGACCAGTCCCACAGAATTGGGACGGATCTTCTCTAGGAGATCTTCATATCTGGTCCGCATATCTCCGACATCGGTTTCCGATAGTGGAGTATACTGAACAAAAGAAAATAAGTACTATTACTTCTTCAGTATTGAAATTAACTGTCACATGACACATTCTTCCATACGCGATCAGATGCGCGGGAAAGCCAGCGCGCAAACGGATTACATTTAACCACAGATAAGATAATATTACATAATTTAACTATTTTTTTGGTTCAAATGTCATGTCGTTTCACTTTCTTTTAAAATTTTTTTTTCACAGTTTTGTTTTTCCACAATATGTTTCAAATTTAGAAATTATCAATAATTTTATAAATGTATATTTGCTCCATAGTCAAATGTCCGCCATTTTATAATGATAATTAATTATTAAAGGCATATATGTACTATTATATAATGTATGAAAATATGTAAATAGAATATGTATGTCCTATAATAAAAACTTCCGCTGTATTAAATCGCAGCAGAACTCAAAGACTTTATACCTCCTAATACATCCATTATATATAAAAACAAAAATTGCGAATCAAATAAAATTATAAAAAAAAAACAATAATCCTAATAACCTTAATTCCTGAGGAGTGCGCTATTATTAACTTAATTCTAATATATTATAATATCAGTCCTCGTGGTTTTGTGACTCAAATTTATTGGTATATACCTATATATATATATAATTATATACAATATTAAGTATTGTGTCCATTTGTTATGTTGTATTTATGTTTTTGATCCTACTAACTTTAGATTTAAGAAATTATGACTAACACTATGGTATGGATAATAATCTGAATTTTTACTTAGTATAGAATGGAGTGGCTTCCGCTGTCTGTTAACTTAGACCTTTTATGCTACGCTACGGATTTATTCAGTTTTCAGGAATAGATTCAAGAGAAGGTTTATATGTATAATACAATAACACCCGGGTCAGGTAGCTAGTTATATATATATTATTATTGAACTCACCAATAACAAATCGCCTAGCCTCTCCAACGCCCAGTATAAGGTGAACAACTCAACGAGCTGATCAAGGATCTTTCTTACTGGCGGTGACAACGACGTCGTTGTACTAGCTATCTCAGACTTGAACACTTCCACGACTACTGCACGACCGTGGGACTGTAGAGGACAAAATATTAGATGAGTTGAAATATATACATATAACTATTTGTACATAAACCATTGCTACAGCAAATATGGTGAAATTGTGCAGCAATGGTTTAAATAGACTAGTCTGATTTTGTTATTAAATTAGTAGTGAAGTATGTAATACCTAATTGTTATTAATAGTTACACATGACTTTCAAATATTTATGAGAAATTACACATATACATTCAATAACAAGCTCGATGTTAAATATATTTATATACTAGCACACCCTGCCACACGTTGCTGTGGCTAAGGTTCTTGAATAAAATAATACTGCGACTATAAATTGAGATGTAAGCTATCCTATCTTTCAAGTTGGATGAAAGTTCACAGAATGTGCAAATCAAATTTGCAAACGATTCAGTAGTTTAGGAGTCCATCGCGGACAAACAACGTGACTCGTAATTTTTATATATAAAAGATAAGAGTGAACAAAATATCCGCGTTGTAGTTTTATCTCTAACTTTAAGCTGACTGGATGGCTTAATCACCGTTGCAGAACATTTTCACTCCTTTTCTTTTACTTGTATAATTATTTAGTTTTGTACCTTAATTATACGGCAGCACCTCTAATTGTAAATCAAAAAGTATGAGGACGTAAAGACGAAGCCTCTGCTCGATAGTTGGAAACAAAGCAGTATCAAAAAACAAACCTTATAAGAACCATTGACCTTACTTTTTTTTCTTTCCAATTATTTTCCTAATTTCTCTTTAGTCACAGCATAATGCTAAGATGGGCCCCTTACTTACACATTAGTATATATAATGTGACGTACATATGTAGTATATAGTGACATATATAGTAAGAAATACAATGCTCCACAGTGATGGATAGGATAAGCATTTTACTTTGTTATTGTAATTATTTATTATTTGTTTTTTATTTTATATAATAATTTATATGCTGCTGTCAGCATCGTCTTTGTTGCGTTGTGATATGTGATGTAATAAATATTATTCTATTCTATGTTATTCTAATTTAATAAAAAGTGTCAGAACAATAGATATCATTATATATAGTAGTATAAAATAAGTCAGTATATAGTAAGTCGCTGTCGCTGTCTGTCCGTCCATATGTATGCTTAAATCTTTAAAACTACGCAACAGATTTTGAAGCGGTTTTTTTAATAGATAGAGTGGTTCTAGAGGAAGGATTATATGTATAATACATGTACACCCGTGCGAAGCCGGGGCGAGTAGCTAGTTATAGATAAAAGGTTTTTTAATACCGGGATCCTTTTAATTAGAATTTACTAACTTCGGCAGCAGCAGTCAATTGTACAGAGGCCTTGTTCCATGCGTCTTCAGAAGATAACCCCTTTTTCTGATACTTTTCAAAACAAGCCACGCTCGATGCTAATTTTCTGTAAATTAAAATTATAATATAGTCATACATAAAGTACAGAAAATAACACAATTTTTAGGGTACTATTTTCCATGTCAAGTTTTAATGTGTTATTGTAGAACATATATTTATGTCAGATAGACATCTGTGCTCAACATGCTCAACACGAAGATTCTAATTGTACGGGGAAGCGTATATATATCTATATACTTATTATATGAGTACGTGCAGTAGGCATTGCTTTAATAACATAGTATTTATAATAATAAGAATAAATAACCCTGTACAATTAACACAGTCTCTAGTCCCACGGTAAGCAGAGCTTGTGTTATGGATACCGGACAACAGATTTTTTATTTTAAATACAATAATATATTTTTATATTTTTTAATTAAAGAACGTATGCTCGAGGCCCGCACCCGGCGGTCCGTAAGGACCAGCGGACGACTCAGTCAAGTCAAATAAAGTCTACACATATAATATGTATCTATCTCAATAGTTACTTACCCTTTGGCTACTTTTTGGAAAGCCCTAATGATACCATCAACTGATCCATCCCATCGATCTATCTGTCTTTTATCAGACAAGTACTGCATAGATGGCGCTAACTGCTTACCGCCCAGCATCTGTTGCCATGCTTTTACTAGAGACCTGAAAAAATATCACAATAATACCATTAATATTCACTTTGAATAGAGAGGGTTATTTTTCGAAATATTCTAATGCTGTGGGCCGTAGCTCGCCTTTACAACTTCACCAAAGATAGAAGGCGAGTGCAGATGGCACTCCAAACCCGCAGAAGTACTTGGAACGGCTGAAGGCCAACTCCTACCAAACGGATACGAGTTTAGTCTGAGGGCACCCTCGGCACAGTCCATCGTATTGGACGGGGGATCGATTAAAAGGGACATAGAGAGGAATTAGATTGCAGAAAACATAGATTTCATTTTTCTTTATATTAATTGCTGTTACTTGTTTTCTTATAAATAATTCTATCAATTAGCAGTCAGAAGTCTACAACACATAAAAACATGATAACATAAAAAATCACAGCGTTCTTGTGTTTACTTGATGATTCGTAGAATAATAGTAATGTAATCTTTTAACTTTTAGCGCCATCTATATTATAGAAGTAATAACAAAATAAATTAAACTATACTCTCAATAAATTGTATTGATATCAACACAGAGATGGCGCTTAGAGCTTAATAATAATAACTAATTCTCTTTTACAAACGCCTAATAAACCGTTAGCGCAGGCGTGTGCACCATTTCATTATCATCCAATAAACAAAATAGTTAGAATTAGGTTTACCTCGCAGTTTGCAGCAGAAGCACAGTATTTTCTCCCTCATAAGTACTGGCAGCAGTTACGACACCATAAGTTTGTGGCAGATTGGACGATAGCATATATCCGTGTCCACCGCAGGACAGTCGACTTCTCTCAACAAATACAGCGGCATCAACTGAACTCAACACTTTCAAGCAACACGCCAGAGAATGTAACTGGAAATTGAAAATAGTAATTAAGTGCCCTTATATTTATTTATTCACAGTGATATTACTCAAATACTATTTTTTGGTAAGTGAATGGTGAATCCGCCTGCGCTAACGATTTAGGCTGGCGAGACAGCAGTGGAGGATGATAAGTTGAGCACGAGGTCAGGTCAATAAGCCCATTGCGACAAATTCACCAAGAATTTAAATAAGTAATAAAATCATCAATCCACATTACTAATCCCATAATCACTAATCCATCCATAACAATCCCCTTTTTCCTCACTCTACTATTTATTTCGGTCGGCAAGGCGCACGTATAATTTATTTGGTTCATAGATAGATAGATATATAAATAATTTATTTGCACTTTCACCGCACATATAAGTAAATATATATCCAAAGATATTTAATAAGTATATAACTAACCGGTAAATATGTCACTTGTATTCACACTAATTCTTAAATATGTAATTCTGAACAACATTTATTTAACCGATTACGGCATTTTAAGACTGGCATTCGAGATTGAACTATTGCCGTACAATGAATGCGCCCAGAAAAAAAACTGGAACTATTGTCCTTTATGTTTTTGAGGGTGCTCTTTCGAATGATGAATTTTAGAATTGTCTAAAATAATGCTTAACTATAAAAAAAAATTAAATAATCCAAAAAATTCGGATTTTTACCGCTACCTTTCCTTATTTTTCGATTGAAAAACACGTTTCTATCATTACTAAACCTATTAAAAAAGTGATCCTGATGCTATAAAAAAAAATATCCTGCCTTATAAAAAAATCCAAGAAGACGTTTGCAAAATATTTGAAGGAATTATCATTACCTCAGGCAAATTGTCTAATTTTCCATCATTCAACTCAGTGGTAACTTTACTGTAAAGATTCCAAAGCCACATCGCCGTACGGGAATATGCGTGGCTGGTAGCTATAGCGATAAACAGCTTGTGTTGTTGGGTTACATAGTCTAATATTTGTGGTTCAGGTTCCCTTTGAAGAAAACAAGAATACTTTATTGAAATAATGGTATCTCGGAAAAATAATACATAAACTTTAAAACTGTTAATTTCCATTTGCATTAGCAATTCTCGCAAAAACAATACATATAACAATTTGTGATATTTTAAACCTGCCAATTTCAATATTAAGTTAAAGTTGTGTCCTGTTTTTTAATCAGCTACCAAATTTACTATATCGTAAGCTAAAGATTGTTTCATTGGAGTAGAAAAAGCTGAATGATTTAGCAACAATTGCTCTTTTTACAGATTGTCAAATTTAGAGAATCTAGTTTCAGAATAGTTAAAAGATGTGTTATTATCGTAATAAAGATAATTTTTATTTTGCATCCAATGTTTACAATTTGAACTGTTCCCTGGTACCTAAACTAGTAGAAACTTATATTGTAGGTACCAGTTCCCTCCTCTTACAATTTACAATTATTGAAATTACAAATTAGAACATACAAAACAACAATCAAGTAGGTATTAACTTAAGCTTATCATGATTTACTTGCACTGTGCTTGTGTCTGTGTGTGTGTGTGTGTGTGTTGTGTTAGTGTGTGTGATTATATATACTTACTCAGGCTTCAGCTTCGACTGTCTTCTAACCGCAGAGTATCTGACAGCGATTGTGACCGCTCTTGCCAACAAGTTCGCCATATTATTGACAATTATAACCCTCACATAAACCATGGTACCGTACGTCAATTTGCTGTTGGCCCCAGCTGTGAATGTGCCATCCTAAGGTTGATCCAAATTAATATATCTGTTAGATATTTTTATTTATACCTAGTAATATATAGCATGTCATTGAAATAAAGTTTAATGTACTCCTGTGTGCCTAACAAAAATCTCAATTTAACAAGGGTGTGGTGTTTTTATTTATTGAAACCGTTGAATAGATACAATGCGAACTAGTATAATAACAAATCTGTCATTCGCGACCGAATCGCCTCTATACTATGCTCATTTCTTATATATATATATCTACCATTTACAATATACATATAATAATAGTAATAATAACAACAACCCTGGGCAATTAACACAGCGCCATCTAGATAGTGTTAAAGCTTGTGTTTAAGACTAAACAACTGGTGCTAATATAAAGATTTATTTTTCGTAAATACATACATAATATACATAGAAAACACGCAGACCGATACAAACAATCATACAAATGGTTGGTGCGAGGATTTAAACTTGCGACCATCGGAAGTAAAGCGGTGTGCTAAACCGCGAGACCACTGATATGTAAATAGATACTAAGTATTTAGAACTTGTGTCGCTACGTGTACCAGACGAACACTATGTAATTAATAGGCATACCTACCCCTAAAAGGCAACGACATTAATTTCTATCTTACAAGTAGTAGCAAAATTAAAATTTTCAATACAGAAGAATGAACACTGTACTAGTTTTAATATATTTTTTCTAGTTTTATTATTTATTTATTTAAGTTTGTTCAGTGCTCCGAATTGTTTGGAAATTGGGATTCGCTATCTTTCTGATAAATATGTATTTTGTCTACCATAGATTTTAATAACATCTAATCTATACCTAATGTATATAATATCAATGTAATTAAATATTGAAGATGTCCTACATAGATATTGGTAAGTAACTTGAACTTGTGGTACTGAAACAAAACTGCTTTATAATTCCTTAATATTTTATTTAACTTATTTGTTTGTTAAATAAATATAATATTACCAACAGCCATTTATAGATTCGGAACAAACAGACATTTAGTCAAAAGTGATTCTTATAAAAACTATAGTTAACTATATATAGTAAGATACTCGTATTTATATTCATTATGTAGTAAAAAACGATTATGGGTTCATTCAATATTACAAACAGGCACTTCAATTTTATTTATATGTATAAATGTATCATACACATAGTAAGTATCCTTACTTTCGAAACTTGAGCATTCTTCATAAGCATTCTATCTCTCGGTATTCTATGATTGTCAAAGCCCAAGAATCCATTATTGACAGTGTTGTATCCAAGTTTAGCTCCGATTTCGCCTAATTTGATTCCCGACAAAGGCATGTGTGTCTCTTCGTCTCGTATTTGTATCATAAATGGTTGGATTCCACAACTCTTACCCTTGATTAGAAGGTTCGCCATTACAACGCAGTAGTTTGCTGTGTGGGCCACTACACAGAAAACATAGTTAAATTACTAAAAAAACAATGGTGTATAAAAAATAAACATATTTTATGGTTTTGATTGTTCTAAAAACAATACAAAACAAATTTTTATGTTAACACAATTAATTAATTTTAGAAATAAATTGCAAAAACCTCACCAACTGCAAGAATCTTTAAACTCGGTGTGAAATTTGCAAGGTATCGTGTACCATAAGAAAATATAGATTATGTAATTCAGAAGCGTCTATTTTTGAAAGCAACTGAAAATATTAATACCCACTATACCTAGTACCCACAATACCTTTCCTCGACTACTCGTACCTACTCATAGCTGAAATTACTATTCCTTTCGTAGGATATCTGATAACATTATATTTTGAACAATGAGACCGAATAAATAATATATTAATATAAATTAATAATAACAAACTCATGCAATAATATTTGTATAAGAAGTATGTAGGTAATATCAGTAGTATTGACATAAGGTATATTGCTCTAGCACTATCAACTGAAATCGCTAAGGCGTTAATTATTTGGTTACTGCTGCTATATGCTTACGCCCTCACTTTGTAATTTATGGCAATGTTTCAATACATCGTATGTCAAATAAAAATATCTCTAATACCACAGATAGGATAATATTACAGACTTGATGTTAAGCTAAATCTACCATCAATCCTGAATGATTGAAACTAATAAACTTGGCATTTGTTCTTTTTAAACTATATTGTATTTGTACATATGTATGATAATATAGAATTATAACTGATACATATTAATATAAATAAACCATAGGTCATAACTTAAAGATATTTTACCCGAATTTATGTGGACAACGTTGCAGATTGTAACTAGTTACAAAATAAGTATTACTTAGAAATTACTAACAATAAATATCCGTAATTATATTATTTATGCTGTTAAAATGCTACTCACAGCCACCGGGCCACCATTTGTATGCTGTGACGCTGGGGCTGTGAAGAATGAACTCCTCAGCAGCAGAATCATAAGTCGCCGTGGTCTCCAAGCCTCGTATAAACGTACCATGACCTAATTCCGTCTAAAAATTAAAATACAAAATTAAATATCTTGAAGATGTTTATAACTACCCCGTTTTTATATATTACTAACCGTGCCCGCAAGGTCTAGACTATCTATGTACCAAATTTTATTTATATCGGTTTAGTAATTTTGGCGTGAAAGCAAGACAGACAGAGTTACTTTCGCATTTATAATATCAGTAAGATTGTTATTATGGGCAGTATATAACTCTTGTTGGACTATACCTATATAAGTAGTATTATGTATTAAAATAAACATAAATGTACATAGTTGCCATATACAAGAAAATACACGATGATTGGAATTTTACCTGAGCATAAGTGCCAATAATTTCCATATTCTTGGCTCTCTTCAACCAATACTCTCTCTGTTCATCGCTAGCTTGACCAATGATGGTTGGAATGAACATTATAAAGTGCAACGCTAAAGGCGTGTTGTCCTTGAAGACTGCTGTCGATATCATGTTCCTGGAGTTATATCTAAACACAAACAATCATACTTATAATAAAATCTTAAACGATTCGTAATCTACATGAAATACCTACTTAAAAATTCAATTTGTACACGTTGTGTTATATTACTGCGGTCAAAAAATATTTATAAGCAATATTATCTATTTGAATGTATTAAGAACGACATACAACCCAAGAATCAAATAGGCGCCACATGTTGATATAATGTTTTAGTTTTATGATAACCAGAAAAAGTAACAGTTTATCATTTGAGACAAATAAAGATGATGATTAATATTACTCATCTATATCCGCGAATTTCTCTTGATACTATGAGTATAGTTTGCCGAAATGAGTATCGAGGGAGTTTCAATAGTAGCAACAAACGAAGATGTGTGAAGGTACGAATATGTCTGCTAAAAAAGATTTATCTACCCACTTCTCAGTTTACTCGAGATCATGGCGGTTGAAAAGCTGCCCAAATATCGGGAACGCAATAAAAAAAATGTGGTAAGATTCCGTTATTTTTCCTAATTGTACGTATATTAAGCATTTGATTTGACTTATAAATTAGTCAATGTACTAATAATTCATTATGACATACCTGATGCGTTCTTGTTCGGACAGTTTGGTGTCCTCCAAAGTTTTCTGAACCTTGTAAAACAATATCGCTTTACGTATAGCATTTTCATACTTTTCTTTATGGCTTAAATACTCCTCAGGTATCACATCTCTAAGTTCCTTTACACTCAGCACTTTGTCCTCTAGAACATTTGTAAGTTGTTTAATGTAGGTGCCGTTAAGAACCACTTCAAATAAGTTCCATCCATTTGGAACGTATGTTTCCACATACAAACACACGTGTTATAGACAGAACACGTTAAATTATTTAACCCCTCTTTTCATTGGGGTTAAAAACAGTTCATATATATCATCGAATAAAATACAAATAAATAACGTAATCGTGATGTTGTACTAAGTAGGTAAGTACTTAGCTGCTGATAGTTCTGATTAGTTCAGACTAACTCTGTAACTTCTACAATACTATAACTATTACTACTACGAGTAATATACTCATAGATGTATAAATTATTTTCCGTATTTGGTACAAGTTGACCCGCGTAATTTCGTCAAGTCAAATTTTTCCCATTTTTGCAACATTTTTAATTACATCTCCGCTTCTATTAGTCATAACGTAATGTTATATAGCCTATGATACTCACAAATAACGTGTCTTTCTATTGGTAATTTCAGTAGATCCAGCAGTTACCCCCTACAACCTCACTAACTTTACCTCCTTATAATATTAGTTGGGATATATTATACAACATTTCATTCATCTGCTTGTTCCTTATCCCATTAATTTGGGTCGGCGTAATATACTTTTCGTTTGCAGTCATTTCATTTCTTCCCTTCCTTTTCCTTCCTCTCTTATTTCTTCCCTTTCTTGCCATATCATCTTTCATATAGTCCATTCAACTCCTTTTCGGCCTTCTTCTGCCCTGCCCTTATAACCATAAACATTCATATGTAACACTTTCTTTAAAATATTGAATTGATTGAAGAATGAGAAGTGCAAAAATACATGTTAGAAAACTATAGAAACCTATCTCTGTATTTGTAATCACAGTCAGTATCGAGCCAAATTGCAGAAACATTCACTTGCAATTGATTACACATGATCTTATCTTAACTTGACTGTATCTTATCAAATACACACGTAGTCGAAATATTTTGTGTCTTTTTAAATTATGTAGATATATAGTAAATAATATAAGTCTACATTTGTTTTTATCCAAATTGTACATATCTAACGGTAGCATTGAAATATTTTTATTTAGTTTGATTGTAAGGAAATCTTTTTAAATATTTGGTTTACTGAAACGGGAATTGCTATGCATACTGTCAACACTGTATTATTGTAATCCAATTGGTTTTGAATGTAATCAACAAGATTTTCATTTAACATATTTTAATCATTATTGATACTAGGTATGTTTACTATGTAATTACACAGACAGACAGAAAATTCACTTTCACCCGCCGTACAGTTGCACCGACGAGGTCGCTCATATACTCATATGTCGTAACCGTAATTGCCGTCCTATACGTCAGTTACATACATTAATTTGTTGAATGTATAATAGAAAAATACAATATTCTAAATAATGAGATACAAGACCTAGTATAACATATCATACATGTGTAGGTAATTAATTATTATTCAAATGAATATATTTTCTACATAGTTATCTATGGTCAACAAATTATATTATAGTTATATTCTAAATTACCACAAATTAAAAAATATTTAATTCTCTATGGAAACTAAAAAATATTTTAAAACAGAGATATAATATATATTATATATGTGTTAAAATGTCTTTAGTTTTAATATACACATATATTATAATACAGTATACGCCGCGCCGGCTCGAATGTACTAGGAAGTAACCTCGATGGTTTCCAGGGGGAACCTGCATGCAGGTGCATGACCGTCGACTTAACATCGTAAATTACAAGAAATGAGGTCACTATTCCCGTTATTAACAATCCGCTCCCTCTATATCTATACATATAAATAAAATTGGAGTGTCTGTTTGTAATATTGAAATAACCTTTTTTTATTACTTGCATATGAATATAAATACGGTACATACACCAAAATAACATTTTTTACAAATATTGTCTGTCTGTCTGTCTGTTTGTTCCGGCTAATCTCTGAAATGGCTGGACTGATTTTGCCAGGACTTTCATTGGCAGGTAACTGATGTAATAAGGAGTAAATAAGGCTACTTTTATTTTAGAAATATAAAGTTAAAATCCACGCGGACGAAACGCGAGTACAGCTAGTATTCACATATATTATATTAATTTATTTACTTCATAAACAATAACAACTCTGAGACAGATTACAGTATAACAAAACAATTCATATGCAAACCTATGCGCCGTCTTCTTGTAGTACTTTCTTTGCCACCATCCAAATAATTGGTTAACTCTTCCACATTAAAGTCACATTTAGCCCTCTCAGAGGTCAAATCCTTGTTCACTGAACCTTTAGTCATTTTGTAACACACATTCGACTAACTTGTTTCGTTGCCTAACACACAATGATGTTGTTTATTCAAGACATGAGAATTAATATCACTGCACGCTCACTCATAACAACTGATAAGACAGTATACCCTATTATCAAACTAAGTAGGTAAATAGAACACCTACATGTCCCCTGTTATAATAAATATTATAAACTAGCTCTTCCCGGAGACTTTGCACGAGTAGATATGGCGTTGTCATTTTATAAAATACTGTATAATCAACAGCAGCCTCGTTTAAGGCGCGTATGCAAGTTATCCTTGAACTTAGCTCACAAAATTACCGCTACGTAATAAGTTGTCTTACAAATAATTGTCTCGTTGATCGAACAGTAAATGTTATTTTTATATTAGGGGGCTCAAATATTTGATACCCGACTCCCGCTACTTCATACAGATGACGGGGCGTCTGATAACTAATGTAGAGTACATTCATATTTTAATCACTACTTTTTATTGCTCCCAGAATGGGTAACAAAATATTATTCTTAATAGCACAGGCTGATTACCATTCTCTCTCAATTGTTGGGTTGTGGACTAGTTTCAGATGGTGATACTCATGTTACTGACTCACTTGTAAGACATTTCTGTACTACATAGTACAAAAATGGCTTATAATGTAATTTCACCCGTTGACAATATGTAATTCGAATTTCTGTAATGAGGACGTTCTCTCTTGTTTTTATAGTTATATATTTTCAAACATACTTATGTAATATATATGGTAATATATTACATAAGTATGTTTGATAATATAGTTATAATTATAATAAAGATAACAATTATAACTGTTTATGTCGAGCTGAGAGCAAATACAACAGTTAATATGATATGTAATGTACAAATACCATGTTTATTAACTCTGATCTGAAAAATCTGGCAATTGCAATAGTGCATCCTTCGTGGTAATTAAATGTTAGCTAAATAATGATCAGCAATCTTAACCACTTTTCAATGGGGCAGTATAATGTAACGGGTGGCAGAAATAGGCGAGATAAATAACAAAAATATCTAAACTCTTCAAACGAAAAAACAAATCGCAAAGGTGAGACTGAAGTACCCGGTACCCATGTAATAACTTTATACAGTCTCATGGTATTGTTACAGACAGTTAGAAAATAGTTGTTTAACAAAGTCAGACTAAATATGTGAAATAATAAATAATCGCTATCACTAATACTTAATGATTAAATGTTTAATTTTCTGTCCCTATATTTAATTACGATTACGAATTAAATTAAAAAAAAAGATAATGTCGTGTCCTAGTGATTTAGTACCCTGAAGTACGTACAAGAGGTCGTGTCGTGAGTCTAAATCTGAATCTTGATCTAGAAAACAGGCGGTTAGGCTAAAACAGCTCTTGGTTCGCCCATCTGATGAATTGATGATCTGATGAATTCCTCATCAGACATAGTCATGACAATGTAAAAATTATTTTATATTTATGTCGATCAAGTATTTCAAGTTATAGCTGTAATTGTTTATTAATGAAGTCATTATAAACACAGCAGTACCTAAATCGATTAACAAAATATTTCACCATAAAGTAATATACTCGTACTTTGTATTTCAAGCTACAAGTAAATAAAAAAATGTGTTAATTGTATTGTTTCTTTATATCATAGTATAAACATGATAACAAAACTAAGGCAGCAAATAACACATATCACAGTTTCCCCTGCATGAACGGCTTGATGTACTTGTGGAATGAGCTGTTGACTGGCTCCGCGTTCAGAGGACTCTTCAGGGCTTCCTCCATCAGGCGCTCGTACACACGGCCGTCGTACGCGCCCAATGTAGAGTTTAGGATCTGAATATAAGCTTTGATTTATATATTTCATTTTTAACTTACTTCTTATTAATATTATAAATGCGAAAGTTTATGAGTATGGATGGATGTATGTTACTCTTTCAGGAAAAACTACTGAACGGATTTTTATAAAACTTTACAGTAATATACACTTTATACACAGTAATATAGCTTATACATAAGAATTGGGTAAGTTTGATGCAGGCAAAGTTGCGCGGGTGAGCTAGTATTGTATATTTCAAATGTATTAGTGAGTAGTAATATAACTCAGTGCTAGGAAAGTATTGTATAATGTATGTATGACAGTATTCTATAAGGGTATCTAAAATGCTGCTTTACACGGAACAAAGTAATGATGAAATCGGAAATAGTATGGAATTATGTAATAATAATTTTGTATGAGCGGTTGAGGCACTAACGGCCAGATATTAACTCTCATACATTCACATTAAGTTAACATTTTCAGTGGAAAAAAATTTGAAGTTTTAGTTCGTAATACTTAGTTTACCTTAAACTTAGTAAATAAAACACAACATGCAAAAAAAAACTACAATAAAGTAGACAAAAAATATTTTGTCAGAAGTGGGATTCGAACCCACGCCCTCAGAGAGGACCAGAACAACTCAAACCCACGTTCAGTAGGCAAGGAAACCTTGAGTCTGGCGCCTTAGACCGCTCGGCCATCCTGACAATTACGCACGCAACGAAATTGCTTTCTATACTCTATATATATCTTATGGAGTACTCTGAAAACATATTATTATTAAAACCATTAATTCTGCAATTAATGCGATTTAACACGTTATCATATTGTGTGTGACAATGATATTGCTGACTCAACTATCTACATCGATATTGCCAAAGGTTACAATGTAATAAGTACCTAATAAGTATATACTACTTCTGATTCTAAAACATAGTCTCTATGTATAGATGTCATTTCTAACTGTGTTTATAATTATGTATCAGAATATAAAAATATTCAAGGGTTCGTAAATAAACGCATAAAAAAGATCTACTGAATTGTTTAAAATATTTCTGAATTGTAGCCATTGTAAAACCATTGCAAATAAAATCATTTCAATTTCAGAAAACATTCATTATTTCAAAAAGTGACTAATCAATTATATATATATATTTATAAAAGATAGAAATATTTTGTCAGTATTTCTTTTATATTTAAATTGCATTAATAATTTTTAAGAACACAATTTGTTTGAACAGAACGTATTGTAGTTTTTATATTTATAATTATATATTATAATTTTTATATTTATAATTGGTACATAGCAATATGAATAAAATAAAACTGCTTGCGTTCTTTTCTCTTTTTTTGTATTATATCTCTATATATATATATAAATATAATAATAAAACTAGAAAGCGTTATCAGCACGAATTCAACAGAATTTAGATCATCATCTAAGAGGTGCGCGTACCTCGTTTTATTTCTAAATATTGTAATACTATTGCTATTGCTGGCCTTTACATCTTCACCGACGAAAATGGGTCAAGTGCAAACCTGCGGAAGAACTTATAGAGCTACCTACCTGACAAATACGAACTTACCTCGTCTCTTAAATCAAAAGCATCAACCAGACCCACAGCATTTGGTCTTATCAGCGCCAACAACTTCTCATATCGCTGTTGTAATCCAAATAAATCATTCTCTGATAATGACGTATACTGTAATGATAAACATAATATATACTGTAATAATTGAGCCGAGTTTAATTGACATAAATAATATAAATATTAGTTATCTGTCATTATATCACGGTCTCTCTAATCACGCTATATAAAGTTCAAAACTTTATGCAGAATATAAATTATAACAGAATTTAATCCTATTGGGCAGAGCATTTGCCAGTGTATAATGTAAAATAAACTTGTATTTAACTGCAATTGTTTTATTATTTTTATAATACTAAATATACAAATTATGGAGACAGTAAAAAAAACGCGGGATACATTTACGAGGACACTTAACAGAGAGAGAGAGAGTGACGTTTGACATATTTTAGACAAGACGATACTGACATTGACAGATACATGAGATTGAGTAATAGAGCGTGATTACATTATATATCTAACAAATCCTTATCATTATAGAGTACAAAGGTGAAATCTGTTTATTGATTGATGCATTATATTTCTGCTGAGGTAGACTTTGTACTAAGTCATCTGCTTGAATTCGGTGCCTCTATGTCTTACTTGTTAAGCATTTGACACCGTTTGTATTGAAGGAAGAGGCAATGAAATGACAGGTTCCGAAAGCAAGATGATGTTTTGTTTATACACTTCCATACTAATTCACGAAACCACTCCCACAGATAACAAGAAAGTTAGAGGAAAAAACATAGAATATATACATCAATAATATAATCAAAATGTTGACGTACCCTCAATAGCTCACCGGTTCTCTCCAGACTCCAATAAAGAAGATACAAGGTACAAAGTTGTTCCATAACAGCTTTAACATTCGTACTCGACGAAGCGGTCAGACGAATCGTCTCGTTGTAGTATGTACTACATATAACAGCTCGGCAGTGGGCCTGTTTATATAAAAAATCTACATTTCGTCTGTACAGATCTCATAATGAATAAATTTCAGAAATTTCATAATTAGAAAATATACAATCTCCTCTTATTAGTAATGAGTTAACTTTACATACTACATACCTACTACATGATATTATATTATTGTAACAAAATGGAATCTGACTTTGTGTGTTGGTATGTCAAAGTTTTCTTATAACAGCGACTGAAGAAATTGGGATGAAATTAAAAAAATACATATTTACATTGTATAAAATTAAATCGCTTTTGCCGTCTGTACGTTTATATCTTGTAAACTACGCAACGGATTTTAATTCAATTTTCAGCACTAGATAGAGGGATTCAAGAAGAAGGTTGTATATTGGTTTGAAGGTTGAAGAAGAAGAATGTATAATACATGTACCTACATATTTTAGAAGCCGATAAATATAAAAAGGAATGAAATAATTATTTTTAATAATAGATTAAAAATCTATCCATTGAATAGGTGTTTTATTTATTATTTTCATTTTACGCTGACATTCATAGCTGTTGTTTAGACAGTTGGCTAGTTGAATTGAGGCATCAGATTCAATGCTAAAGTTATGTACCTCGGCAGCAGCCACCAGTTGTAAAGTAGTCAACTCCCACGCGTCTTCAAAATCTTTTCCAGTTTTCTGATGATGCCGAATGCAACTAACGCATCCTGAGATTTTTCTATAAAGAAAAATAAGAAAAATAAATTATCTTAATTATTGTCCCATTAGATACTTACAGTCTACTTATAATATTAGCAATGCTAAAGTATGTAATATAATTATGTAATTTATAATTATGTAAGTGTATGTGATTGCAACTCTTAAAATCTTGGTGAAATGTAGGATGTACATACATATAATTTGGAGCAGGAACTACACCCTACTTCTTTTTATCTCTGTCAATTATAATCCTGCAGAAGAATTCGCTGGATTACAAAAACAAATTTAAATAAATATGTAAATAATAAACTAACTAATAAATATGTAAATAACTAATCATGGCTAATAAAACTATAGTACATATAGTGATGCATATAAAAAGCAATAAATAATAAAACATTACCCAGCAGCAACCCTCTGAAACGCTCTAATGATCCCCTCGTTACTGCTGTCCCAAGATTCCTTTACACCCTCGGAGGCTCGTGATAAATAAGCCAGTGTAGGTGTTACTGGTTTACCTTCTTCCATCTGTTCCCAAGCTTTCACTAAAAACCTACAATCATTATGCGATGTTCAGTTATTTATATAGGAATACCAATTACATTTATATAGAACTTAGGTAAAATATAAACATTACCCAATTATTTATTTTTTTAAGAATCAGGAAATATTTTTGTTGTGTAAGCCAATTACAGATTTAACACAAAATTCACAAAAATAAAACACGACTCAATGTAATAATATTTCTGCTTCCTACTTCATTTAATAGCAAGATCCAGTGTCTAATGAATTTAGATCAGATTTTGTACGAATGAAGTGCTAGAAGAAAAGCTTGACTGTTCGAATAAATGCATATGTTTTGATTGATGGAGTTAAGGCTTAAAAACATCTTATTAAGGCGTTAGGTTTAAAAGATTTAGGCATATTTTTCTAAGCCTATATGTTTGCAGATTTTGAGTTTCACTCAGCATATTCCGCATCCTACATTATCTCCTTTTTTGGATCTGTCTATGAACGAAACTTTTTTTTATTGGATTTTTGGGCTATTGTCAGGTGCTAAGATCTATAACACCGCGACCTTCATAGATCTATTGTACTACTACTACCCTTTTTCAAAGTTTGCTACCTAGACCTGTGAGGAATAAGAATTGAAGGATATTCTTGGAATCGATGGTTTTAATCTTCTCAGGATAGAGTGTATACTTTCCAATGTAGATATTTTGTGTATTTTTTGTTTTTTTCAACCACAAAGGATGGTAGTAGCGTTTCGTCTTCTGTTTGGCAAAAATGAACCAAACTAAGTCCTGATCTGAGTGAGTCGGTCTGTGGTTATTTTGCCATTTGTCTCATTCAGATATTTTATTAATTTATAAAAAGAAGTTACAATTTACTTTCAAGTGGGCCATCAGCTAATTTACCATTCCGATTATATAAAAAATCGATTCTTGTTTTATTTAAATATTTAAGTACCTGGCAGTCTGCAGTAGTAGAACAGTATAATCCCCTTCATAAGTTCTTGTGGCTGATACAAACGAGTAGATCATAGGTAGGTTGGACGAAGCCATGTACCCGTGACCTCCACATGCAAATCTGCATATTTCTATAAATGTGCCGCAGTCAGAAGTGCAGATTGCTTTTAGACAACTAGACAGCGCGTGGAGCTGGAATAGATGGAATAAAAAATGTAAGAATTTAAAAACAAAAGCACACTGTACTTTTTTAAATGATAATAATAATAATAACCTTCCCAAGCTAACCACACATGCTAGCGGTTTAGCGCTGCGCCTTACTTCCAATGGCGGGTTTGATTTCTCGAACAATACAAACATTTGTAATTATGACTATGTATGTTTGTATATATATTATTTACAAAAAAATATCTATGCACATATATCACTTGACTACACACAACACAAATTCTAAAGTTTAACTTGGAACTGTCCAGAGATTATTATTATTATTACGAAAACGAAACTAAAATTAAATCTAGTCAGCCCAAGTCTAAGTTTTTATAGGAAAATTCATATATTCTGTGATTTAAAATAATGCGGGCTTGCATATGTACTTTCACCTTATGTCAATGGAAACTGCTTACAGACATGCTGTGCTAAAAAAACTATCTCCTCTTACCTCTGGCAAAGTGTCAGTTTTACCATCACGCATATCTGCCAGAACTGACGTGAAAGTTTTCCATAGCCAGTCACTGGTGAACTGCAGCGCATGCGCAGTCGCTATAGAAATGAATAGCTTGTGCTGCTGCGTCAGGTAGTCCAAAACTTGAGGCTCCGGTTGGCTGTAGAAAAGATTCTGCTGAGTTACAATTGGATAAAAGAGTAGCTTTAATCAGTTTTATAAGTTAATATAGCAATTAGGATTAAGAGTAAATATATTGCACTCCTACTTTAATACCAGATTACATAAAAATACAAACATTGGAAAATCAACTCTAAAGAATATGAGGTAATTCAGTGTTGTGCGAAATGTGAATTTACAGTGAAAGGCTATTTATCGTAAATATTACATATACTATATTGATATCATTTAGTACTATGTATTTTAATCTTACTTAGGAACTATTGGAAACTATGTGTACCCAATTACACAATTGAATAATAAAACGCTAAAAAGGTGATAGTATATTTTTATGGTACATACAGTGGAATATCAATATAGATTTTATGAATAAATATGAAAAGGGTGCACCGTAACGGTCCAGTAGTAGAAAACGCAATCATGTCAGTTTCCCTTATAAAGGTTAGACAAAATAATTTGCTATTCCCCATTATTAATAATCTACTAGCAAACAAGTCAGCTTTTTTGCCAGTGGATTATTAATAAAGTTCACTTGATTACATTTAATAATATTAATGCAAAGTAAATGCACAGTAAATATACAGTATGTATACGTATTACTAAATCACGGAATCTTACCACGTTTTATATTTAAACATACTGGAGTTTACCCGTAATTATCGGTGTGGAAACACTGCCTAAATATCGGAAACTCAATAAATATAAAATGTAACATAATCTCGTGATTTAACAATTATGTATAAATAATAACCGCGTCGAGAAACAGTAAATATCAGAATGTTTTCCACATACTTGGGTCTAGGCTGAGATTGCCGCCTCACAGCAGAATATCGAATCGCTATAGTGACAGCTTTAGCCAGATTAAAAGCCATCTCGTTGACCAGCATCACTCGCACGAAGACCATCGTTCCATACGTCAATTTCGCATGTCTGGCCACTTTTACGTAAGTTCCGTCCTGTAGGTAATAATGAATTATGTCAATAGTGATCATGTCTTTGTAATTGTGATCATTTACTTGTAATGTGGAACAGTATCCAAAATTTATAAAATTGTTACACAAAATAAAAAAAATATGTATTAAAATATTGTTTCATAAAATTTTACATTAGGATTTAATTAAAGTAAGTAAATTATGAAGACTCGATGAAATCTGTGTATAGGGTAACAAATATACGCTGTATACACGAAAAAAAAAATATTTTTGTTGAAATTACGGTTATTATTTACGGTTGAAATAAGACATTTTGAGACTTTCATTATATAATCACTTATTACATAAAAGGTATTAATTTATAGATAGAAAAATAAATTAACTCACCTAAAAACAGTTATTAATGTAAAAGTAAAATATTAATTTTCTTTTTAATAAACTTTAATAGGTAGTTAATTTGTATCATGTATGTAGTCAATCCATTTTGGGCTCTAAGCACTAAAACTACCGAGCATAAAGTCCGGTTAAAAACACATTTTTCTTTATTAACGGTTAACCGTTAATAATGAAAAATGTATTTTTATCCGCTTGTTGAAAGCCGTTAATAACCGCCTACTAATCAATTGCAATGTATTATTGTGAATTGCACATAAACAATTTATTGTCGTACCTTTAAAACTTGAGCATTTTTCATCATCATATTATCTCTTGGTATCCGATAATGTTTGAAGCCAAGAAATCCATTATCGCCTGTATTGTATCCCATTTTGGGACCTACCTCGCCGACTACGATCCCTGATAGAGGCATATGGGTCTCTTCGTCGCGAATCTGGACAATGAAGGGATGTACCCCATGGCAAACGCCCTTGGTATAAAGTTGAGCAACTACTATACAGTGGTTCATTGTTTTACCCACTAAAATTAAAAATACATTATTAAAATATAAATAAAACAACAAAAAATATTTCAACAAGACTGAACTAGACTTGTTTGGTGGAGGAATATTGCATGTTGTCATTATAATGAAAATAATTAAATTAAAAAAGTTGTATTGCATACTTGATATCTTTTTGGTGACGCCGTGGAATGTACGAGAAGAATTTTATAAAACAAACAAAACGATATTATCATTCTATGTTTGACCTTCCATTTTCAAAATGAGTAATTATATTTTTAAGAAACATTTGAAGACTGTTTGCGAGCAAGAGAAATAAATACATATAAAAAAACTTTGGGACTTAATGTTAATGTATAAAATTAAGTCTGTAAGAAATTGCATATTAAGTAAAAATAATGTATAATAAAAATTAAGAGAAATATTTATATTATACTTGTAACATTCATATCATTATCAAAATGAATGTGAGCATAAGACACATATGTATACTGTTTTGTTAACTACTCTTTCATTGTTATTATAAACGTTATATTCCCTCTTAACTTATAAAAGTTAAGAGGGAATATAACGTTTATAATACAACACACAATATAACACAACTGAATGAAATAACTACTTTAACACATGTAATATAACAAATTACTTGTAATTATCCTTACTTCTTTAATAATAAATACGAAAGCAACTCTATCTGTCTGTCTCACTTTCACGCAAAAACTAACGAACCGATCATCATGAATCTATACGATTGTTTAGAAAAATACATCACAGACTCGTAACATTGGAACTTTTGATTTTTATTATTAATTAGCATTCACTTACGCCCTCCGGCCCACCATTTGTAAGACGAGAGAGTTGGACTGTGCAGAACAAACTCCTCAGTCTGCGGGTCATATGTGGCTGTTGTTTCTAGGCCCCTTATAAAAGTCCCGTGACCCAACTCCGTCTGCAAACAAAAAAATAAAAAGCATTTATTTTTTTGACTGTCTTTGAATCTGTTTTAAAAAATATTGCTTTAAAAGGTTAAAAATCTTAAAAGTATTTAAATATTTTATTTACTTACTATTATTTATATTGATATATTCAGTATGACGAAAGTATATTGTGTCAAATCTTACTAATGTTATAAACGCTAAAGTTTGTGAATATGGATAGATAAATGGATAGATGTTTATCTCTCTTTCACGCAAAAACTACGAAATGGCTTTTGATGAAACTTTACAGTAATATAGATTATCGGTCAGAATAACATATAAGCTATAAATTTTATGCGGGTAAAACCGCGGGCATAGTTATATACTTTTAATTTGACTACTGTGACACGCGCTTTTTTAGACAATTACATAGGTATGTACTCTATATACCTAGCAACTAGAGCCTTGAATGTAAAAAAAAATGTATCTCTCTTCACATTATATCTGGATGATATATATTCCAAGGAACGGCGGATATAATCAAAGCTAAAATACAACTGTAAATAACATACATGTTGTTTATTTTCATTGACCGATATGAAATAATTATAGTTAATGTTGACCTTTGTATAAGTCCAATGTTCGATAAATAGTTAGTCGCAAAGTCCAATTCGCAAATTGTTTTAGATTAAAAACCAAATTATGAACCTGCCTAATTATTAATTTAAAAATGAATCTGTATTTTTTGTAAACATGTACAAGCACATTTGAAAAGAATATATAAATCTCCGAATTGACTGTAGATTTTGACATATCATAGGTATCTGTAATGGACCTAGGTACATGAATAACGATATTTCAATTTGATTTCAAAACGCTTAAAAGTTATTCATATAATGTACACGGGGAAATTATTACAGCTTCGATAATTTAACTTTGCTACTGTTGCCTTCATTTTAATAAATAGACAGACATATTTTGCCATTTATAATACTAGCAGGGATAATAATTTTCTGTCACACAATTCACGATTTTATCATGTTACTGTAATAAACAAAATCGGTAATCATGCATATAATGAAATCGTAAACATTTTTGTCTATATAGTTCTTCCTAATCCCATTTATTTAGGGTCGGTGTAATATGTTTTTCTCTTTAATTCATCCTTTTTAGTAGTCATCTCGTTATTTACTCCCTGTCTTGTCATCTTTCACATAGTCCATCCATCTCTTTTTCTTCCTTCCTCTTCCCTTATAACCATCCACATTCAAATGTAATACATATATGTCTACGCGTTTGTGTACACTAAAATCATACATTATTTAACTGATTTTATTAGAGTTTTCACTAACATACTATAACCAACTTCTAGTGTTATTTAATGTTTGTTTCATTATAATCAATTGACAATTAAAAAAAGTTGTGTTAACCTATTATTATTCTTAAAACCACGCGTAACAAGTCGCGAGGTCAGACAGTACAAAAATAAAACTAACTCAAATATGTGAATCACTTCCTTACTGTTTCAATCGTACATAAATCTTTTACTAAACGACATGAGGTCAAACTTATGACCTGTATTTTTTATTTCAAGAATGCAACGAAACAATAGTATTGATTTATTGATACCATGGCCTCAATATTCATTTGAGTACATGTTTATTTTATAATTGCAAGTCACAAATTTATTAATAGTGATCACTATGATTTACCCTAAGGCCTTCGCTGAAAATAGCAGTGCTAGATATTGCTTGTGCTGTATTTCATAGAAGCATATTGATCTATTTTTTATTATCTTGATGTGTTGATATAAGTACCTACATGTATGCATGCTGCATAATTGAATTTACATTATATCTATAGATATATGATGACAGTTATATGTGCTAAATAAACGTATATTATTACTATGTATTAAAATAGCAGAAGTGTAGATTTAAATCTGCAAGTCAAAGTTTTTTTTATGTAGTTTGGATGACAAACAATCCTCATATCCATATCATGTAGTTTCACTGCCTTATATCCCTTCAAAAGAAATGTATCTTACAAAGCAAGCTGCTCAGTAGCTGAAACAGATGTCATTGAGGCTATAGCCCTGCGGACAACTTTTCGCAAAGTCTGCCATGGTAAAGTAAGCATGGTAACAACTTGGATACATTATGAAGTAGCTGATATTTCTATGAATAAGAATCACCACTGATACCTGGGCGTAAGTCCCTGCGATTTCGAAGGCAAGTGCTCGAGGTAACCAGTGAGCTTGCTGCTCGGGGGTACATTGGCCCATAATAGTAGGTATAAACATCCCCACATGTAAGAGAAACGGTGATACTTCTTTAAAATATGCATCGGCAATTCTCCGGAAAACTGGTGAAGTAAATCTGAAAATATTATAAATTATATATAATTCTCGAAAATATAATAGTATTACTAAGAAACAACGTAATTAATGTTCGCATGTCTAAAAAATATCTCTCAGAGTTCAACTAAACAGCGTCGTAAAGGATTTGCCATGTGACTTTTAATATATAAGAACGCACTCTCCTCGGGCCGGCTCGAAGAATGATTTCATCGTTGAATTTTCCACATGTTAAAAACATATTTCGAAAATATTGCAGCAAATGATTCTACAAAAGAGACGGCCAAATATTCGAAAATTGGATCTCGAGGCACAAAAGAAACAATTTCTTCTTAACCTAATTCTAAAACAAATTTATATGTATGGATGAATTACCGCACCCTAACAATTCGAGTCCGGTCATATTCATCAGTTCATCTTTTGAAATTTTCGCATATACACAAGACTTCCTTACAGCGTTCTCATATTTCTCTTTTGGACCGAGATATTCTTCAGGTATCACGTCCCTAGATTGTCCATCATTTAAAGTGGCATCCTCTGCAATATAAATATATTTTACAAATAGATCACATTCTTGTAAAAAAAATAACATTCTTAATTAAATTCCAGTAATCTCCCATGTTCTAAAATATATATTCTGCTGCAATCAAATCTAAATCAACTAGTGTTCTTCAATATGGTCCATCTAAACTTTAGGGGATTTAGTTACATTTTGATAGCATTTTACTTTAGATGCTAAAGTACAGAAATGTTAGTAAGTGTATGTATTGATCTTTGTTGCAAAGACTTAGCTTGCTATGGATGCGGTTTCAATTCCTCGCACGATGCGAACATAGTATAAGATTTTTTTTTTTAATTCTAAGTATATTACGTATATATTTACAAAAACAAACCTCTAACTATTTCTATCATTATCTAGGACCCATAACACAAGCTCTGCTTACCTTGGCGCTTTTTTACTAGATGGCGCTTTGTAAATTGTCCAATGAAACTAGGAGAATTATAATATTATTGTTATTATAATTCTCCTAGTTTCCTTTCAATAATTTATACAATAACAGCTTTGTTATTATATAATTTTTATTATTATAAAAAATATTATTCAACTTGTATTAAAAAATGAGAAATTACGAAAGGGAATATAAAAAATTAACCAAATCAAATACTTTGCTTTTTGGAATTTTTATACTTTAATACATTTGGTGAACAATTACATAATAATAGTGTTTTATATGACTTACCTATTTTCTTTCGCTGTATTGTATTTGTTTCGCCACCATCCAAAATATGTGTAATTTCTCTAATATCGAAATTGCATTTCGCTCTCTCTTTTACTAAATCAACATTTATTTCAAAAACTCTCCCAGCCGCCATATTTATTACTTTATCCTCCAAAAGATTTACTAAACTTAAATATAGACGATTAACTAATAATATGTAATACTTCTGTGAAATTTACCCATAAACTAAATTGAAATTTATGTGCATACTTATAAGTACTGAATGGTAATGGAAATTAAATATTCCTACTACTGGCATAATAAATTTCAGAATATATTCCTATCAAGTGGTATTTTGATCGATCGAGTTTTTCTGTCATATCTAATTTCGTAAAGATGCGACCTATTAATGCAAAAGCATATCTACTGTCGGTTTGTCGCCTTTTCACGATTAAACTGCTGAACAAAATTATGAAATTTGACGTGAAGATAGATTGTAACATATAACATATAACAACGTGGACGGACTAAGGTTAAATATTATAATATCGTAAAAAAAAAGTTGGCGAAACTGCATATAACAGGTAGGATACGGGTACTGGTGTGTGAAAGGAAATAATATAAATAATGACCGCGTCATATTTAAAACAATACATATACATACTGTTTTAAATTTGACGCGGTCATTATTTACACGTATAATTAGTAAAAATTATGGGATCTTGCTAAGTTTTATATATATTTTATTTCGACAGTGTTTCAACCGCCATGATCACCGGTAAACTGTGTACCCGTAATTATACGCATAAATATGTGTATATATACAAATAGACATTTTTTTTTTATAAACGGACGTATTCACGGATGTTTGTTCTGTGTGGGCATAGAAAATGCGATCATAATTCTTTTTTTATTTCAACTACAGATATTTTTATTTATTCTATTCGTAGACACACAATCACAATGGATTCCGTGTCAGTAAACTACTCATAAACTATATTAGTAAAATATGAACACTAGACAGCTTAATTCATATATTTATGTGCACCATGTGAAACGAAGCCCAATAACAAAAAAACAATTTTATACAATTTTCTTTATATCCAGCAAACAATTTGACATGTAAATAAAACATTTGACCATATTAATAATATTTATTAAAAACAGCCAGGAATATTACAGGAGAGCGGTGGTTGATTTTTAATTTAATTTAAAAATTAACAAGTATTACAAACGCACGGTGAGAACCATTTAATTTTATTGTAAACTTAATTGTTTTCATTTCCATTCAAAAGTAACTATGTATTTTATTTACATACATGTATATATAAGAACAAATTTGGTACATAATTTTGACGTACTGTTGTAGAAACGAATACAAATTAAAATTCACTTGAACAGAAATCGAATATGTAAATACTAGAGTCCCTATATCAAAATAAATAAATAAAAATTCCATATAATTTGAAACACTATAGCTTGGCCTTCTCCATGAATGGCTTGGTGTACTTGTGGAAGGAGCTGTTGACCTGTTCCTGGTTTAGAGGACTCTTGAGGGCATCCTCAAATAAACGCTCATACACGCGACCATCGTACGCGCCCAGTGTAGAGTTCAGTACCTAAATAAAAAAAATACAGAAAATGTACATATAATTATATTATCCATTTAAAAAATATATGTAATGAGTAGTATAAATACAAAGCATTGCCGAGAGCCCGAGACGATAAATAATGAAGATTCCCACTACATTTTATATTTGTAATGCATGTTTATCAGTCTACTATATCTCTACAAGAGTTTTGATTTCTATCCGTAGATTAATCAAATAAAAGAACCACGAAACCAAACTCTCTTGCTTATATTACTTTATTTACTACCCTAGTAATAGTAATGGTTTTTGTACCGTACGAAATTTGTACGGTAGATATAAATCTACCGTGCAATCGTAATGGAAAATCCAAAATCAATTTAGATAATAAAAAAAACTTTACCTCATCTCTAATATCGTAGCCATCGACAAGACCAACTGCATTTGGCCTGAGCAGACCCAGCAGTTCTTCATATCGGTTTGTTAGAACAGCTATGTCGTTCTTCGATATTGTGGAATACTACAATACAATAAACTATGTTATTAACTGCATATTGTGATGTATTAAAATACTTACATACACTTACAATTTTCGTACAATTAAATTTAAAAATACATCAAACTACGAGGCTGACTCAATGTTTACTTTAAAAGCACTTAAAACTGTACTAAACGTTTGTTTTTGACAATTACAGGATACATTGAATATAATACTCTCTACAATACATTTCATAAATCATAGCGAAGATTCGAATCCAAATATTGTTTTTTAGGTACCTTTTAGCTTCTGTAGTGTGTATTTGTGTGAGTACTCTGAAGTTTATAATTATCTATAAATCAGTATTCACCTTACAAGCTTGTGTTTTACACCTACTTTATTTAATTAAATATAATTTTGAGCAAATTATTGGTGAAAGAAAATTTACCTTGCCTGACAAAGATTCAAATATTATCGGCTAAACAAGAGTATTTATCGAGTGTTGTCTTCACAACAATATCAACAATAAAGAATAGCTTAAGGTATATAATTATATAGTGATAAAAAAAATCTAAATATTTTTTAATGCTTACCAACAAAATATCACCTTTCTTCTCCAAAGCCCAATACACCAAATACAGTTCAACCAACTGCTGCAACACTTTGTATAAATTGGGAGATAGCGATTTCGACGTACGCTGAATCTCATTTACGAATATTTCGCAAAGGAATACTCGACAATGTGCCTGAAATTAAAATTAAAACTGTCCTTATTTCTTTCATCAATGCCGCGCCTCTTTTTAGTACAATACCTTACACCACAATACCTTACATCATCATCATCATATAAAAATAAAAATAAATGTACACGTTGTACTTATCTTACGAAAAAAAAATAGTTTTCACAATTGGCATTTCGAATGAATCTAAAATGTCTAGCAGTTATTACGTGATAGGAAGTAGGAATCAAGAAGAGAGGGATCAATTTATTTAAATTTTTGATACTAATAAATATGATGTGGATATTATTCAGAACATACTACATGCTACTTCGTCTCAGATTGTGTTGTATGTATGCGTTGATAATAGTCACTTGATAAATATGTAGATCTCTCTCAGTCGGTTTCGGTATTATTTCGTTTTTATTTAGGTTTTATTAACTCTGTGATAATTAGTTTAGATATAATGTGGTTGAAATTTTTAGTTACAAAACGCCCAAAACTAATATTAGTTTAGCGAATATTTTATTTTTGTTATTATCCATATAGATAATCACAAAAATAAAATATTCGCTCCACGCACGTCCTTACGTAGACGTTCATCGTCTTTCAACCTCTTATATTTATGTTTACTTTCATCTGTCCAAAATTTTACAGTGGTAAATAATGATGCAGAGTTCCCGTAGTCCAACTCATCTTTGATTTGCGTAGGCGTATTTAGCCTTTCAAAAACAGATCGATACTAAATTATTTCCATTTCGCCAAAAATACTCAAAAACGACTGTCAACTAAAATTTGCGCGTCCAAAATGGCCGAAACTTTGATGTGAAACTACCAAAAGACGCACAACTACATTTACAAGCTTTTATTGACGAGTGCCATGATTATTCATCCAGTTATCTTTGAGTTGAGTTCGGAAACTTTTCAGAACACCTGGGTATAAAGACTACAATATGGTATACTCTACCTCACTAGCACCCACTAGTTGCACCGAGGCTAGATTCCAAGCGTCCTCTTGACTATTCCCAGCAGTCACATATTTCACCATGGTATCGTATGCCGCTTTAATTTTTCTGAAAGTAATTGTATTAATATTTATTAATGTGTTATTAATAAAAGGCAAAATTTGTTCTGACTACTTTCAATTTTACTATCATAAATCTATTACAATAGTAAAATTGAAAGTAGTCCTAAATTTATTTTAACAAAGTAAAATACTTTAAAGAAATATTCAGTATTGCAACAAATTTTCGTCAAAAACCACCAAATCACTCTTTTTCATACTTCTGCCACTGAAAACCAACGGCTTATCGTATAGAATAAATAGGCTTTATCCTTAAAATATTATATGTACATGTTGAAATTGTATGTTTTTATTATATCATAAATATATAACAAGGATTAAATATTTTTTCTTTCAGTAATTTAACTCAAAAACACAACATATAGTGCTAGATTAGAATACATTTAAATGGTAATAAGTAACGAAAGCGTACATTCATATAATGTTACATACCCGGCTGCAACTGCCTGCAGTCCTTTTATGATGCCTTCAGGAGTGTTTTCCCATTTAGTGTCAGTGGGGTTCACAAAGTTAAGCAAGTACTTAACGGTTGGAGTTAGTGCTGTGTTACCCTCTAATACTTGCATCCACGTCTTCATCAGGTACCTGCAGCAAATGATTAGCTGTATCAACCTACCTATTTAAAAATACCGCTTCAAAATCCGTTGCGTAGTTTTAAAAATTTAAGGGACGGACAGACAGCGACAGCGATTTTGTTTTATACTGTGTAATGAAGTATAAACAAAAGAAAATGTATATAAATATATATTTCTATAGCTTGATGAGTTCCCATAATTTAAGATATGCTTAGTTTGCGACCAAATGTTTAAAAAATATAATTACCTAGCCGTCTGTAACATCATTACGGTATTTTCGCCTTCATATGTTATAGAAGCAGTTGTCACACCATAAAGTAATGGCAAGTTGGAAGATTTCATGAAGCCATGACCACCGCACGCCAAGCGACACTGCTCAACACCTAACGCAGAGTCCTGACTGCATACTGCCTTCATACAACAGGATATGGCGTGTAACTGGAAATTACATGTTTTTTTATATATAAATGGCAAACAAGTTGATAGCCCACATAAGTTATACAATATTATAACTGTTGTATAGACATGTTTTTGCATTCTACCACTTATTCGGAACATAGACTCGCCACAGGAAGAATGAGCAATCAGGTAAATAAAAGTTTGTAGCATTCGAGATCGTCAACTATGTTGCATAAAATAAATCATAAGTATTATTTATCTATCTAATGAATTGGTTTATATCTATTACCTCAGGTAATTGTTCCATCTTTCCTTCTGAGATGTCTTTAAGAATACCCATCATGGTATTCCAGAGCCACCGGCCAGTGATCCTGAAGGCATGACTTGTAGCGATATTAATGAACACCTTATGCTGTTGAGTTAAGTAGTCCAAAATTTGGGGCTCAGGTTCACTGAAAAATACAATTATTAGATTAATATTTATGAAACAATATGCAAAGAATAGAACTGAGCTTTATGCTTTTCTTTTGTTGCACATATATATAATATAACTATATATGTGCAACAAAAGAAAAGCATAAATATCATAGTTATATTTATATATATATATATATATATATATTATAATATCTGTCTAAGTCACCCTAGGCAGAGTATGTTAACAGAGTATCTGATCGATTGGAACCGATTGGGTTTAACTGATTGAGAACTAATGATTTGTAGATCTTACTTAGGTTTAGGCTTCGATTGGTGTCTAACAGCTGAGTAGCGAACAGCGATGACTGAAGCTGCAGCTAAGTTGATGGCAATATCGTTTATAAGATTTACCCGTCCTATGACCAAAGTTCCGTATGTCAACTTATCATTTTTAGACTTCACAAACGTACCATCCTGAAATAAAATTGTAATATTATTTCTATCAATTCTTATGCAATAACACTATATTATAAAAACACTGAGACCTATCTGTAATTTTTGTATATAAACTGTTTTGTTAAAGTGACAAAGAAAAAAAAAAACAATGTATTGTATACACTATAAGATAACATTTAGTCTTCGATAAACTCATGAGTGATAGCCAAAATATTCAATCAATTTCTTAAAAAAATAATTAAGTAAATAAAGTTAATAAAATTAAAATGGTAATTTATGAGTATCTTACATAAATTAATTTTAAAACTTAGTACATAACAAGACCAAGGCAGGCAACTGGTGATACAAGGCCTAATATTATTTTACACAAAATGTATTTTTATCATGGTGCCTATCATGATCAACAAAGGAACACTAAGCTATATTAAAGTTTTTTATTGATTATACTTGTAATTAATTACTCAATAATTGTCAATAAATTGTAATTCAAAAATGTAATTAGTTAAGTAAATCTCCATTACCAAAAAGTAATTAGATTAAATGTTTATCTAAATACTAACCTTAAGTACTTGTGCGTTTCTCATCAACATATTTTTTCTTGGAATCCTATAGTTTTTGAAGCCAAGGAAACCATTATTGGCAGTCTGGAAGTTAAATTTGGGTCCAATCTCTCCCACATGAATACCAGGCAGAGGATTATGTGTCTTAAAGTCTCTGATCTGGACTATAAATGTTTGTAAACCGTGATGTTTTCCTTGAGAGTACAGTTGAGCTACTACGATGCAATGGTTTGCAGTGTGTCCCACTGAAAGTATTTAAATTTAATTATTTGTTCATAATAATAGTGGTACTTCATACTACAATTTTTTCTGTGTAAAAAGTAAAGTTTCTGGTTATTCAGATATTAATTTTTCCATTCATTTTCCTAAAATTTGAAATATTTGTTTATATAAATGAAAATTGGAATTAAAAAATTAAATTTCTACATATTATATATATAAATTAATTTCTCTTCTATTTGTCACGCCATAGAGAATGACTAAACCGATTTCGTTCATCTTTTTATTTTATTATTTCTAATATGCTAATAGGTAATTTACCAAATAAACGGAAATTTTAAAAAAATTGTTAATTTCAAAAAACTTATTATGCGGTCCACAAATACTAGTAAAAATGTCTTTGTCTTAGTGTTGTCTCATTCGTAATTATATTCCTTTTTTTGTTTACTTTCAGGATGTTTTTGAATTGACATTTTGGAATACTTACGTCCTCCCGGCCACCACTTATACGCTGTTAATGTGGGAGTATTTAAGACGAATTCTTCAGTTTCAGGGTCATACGTGGCGGTAGTTTCAAGACCTCTTATGAATGTTCCATGTCCCAACTCGGTCTACAAAATATATAATACCATTTTCTAACAAATAAACAATTAAAAAATTGAGATGAATATGTTTGCATCTGCAAACCTGACTGTGTTTTAATGAATAAAAATAAAAAATATTATATACGAGTATATTGATTAAATTAATTGGCAATTTAATTTTATTCAAACTTTAAGTGTTTTAATACTAACTTCCTAGTCCCTGCAAATTTATATTGATGTTTATGTTTTGTGTGTTTGTTGGCTATGTCTATTTTATAATAGTTCCATGTTTATATACACATAACTATATAACGTCACGACTATTACCCCTAATGGGGTAGTCAGAGGTAATGTCAACTATCCACAGTTGATATTCGTGGTGAAAGCATGTCTGCAGAGAATGAGATCTTCCGCTCTCGGATTCATATTTTCAGTCAGTCAATTAAAATGAACACACAGTTATTTGATATCTGCCAGATTTATATTCAGAACTTTTAGGTATAAATCGATAGTGTATAGAAATTATAGGTACATTCCGCATTAGGTACAATGCATTAAAAAATGCTCAATAAATAGGTCATTATAACATAATTTTCCAAAATTCGTGTATGTCACTTTAGAACCTACTATATATATAATTAGAGTAGATATTGAGAGTGGCAATACCTGTGCATAAGTTCCGATAACCTTCAAAGCTTTCGCCTTTGGCATCCACTCAGCTTGCTGTTCCTCGTTCATTTGGCCCCAAATTGTTACAAGAAACATGGTGTCATGGAGAAAAAAAGGCGATATATCCTTTACCAATCCTTTTAGAATAGTGTTTACATAAGTAGCTCTGAAATAGTAAATATTATATTCTTAATTACAGTAAAATATTACTGTTATAACAATTGTCATTCTTTGTTTAATTATGAAAGTGAAATAAATTCTCAATTCATTCAAGAAAGAGCTCATTAATAGCTCTAATATTTAGTAAAGGAGAACTTGTCTCTAAAAGAGATCTCTTCCAACACAGGAAGTGGTCACAGAAGTGCAAATAATAATTGTAAAAAAAGTAAAATGACAAAATAAAACTAAAACGTTTCTATATTCTTGCACGACTCATTTGGCACTCGCATTGCGTAATCTATCCGATACTAACAAATTCGTAAATAACAAGAGTCAGCCAACATATTGAAAGTAGGTCCGATCAGTCCTTTAAACTGAAAATAGGCAAGAGACTGGATTCTAAGTAGCGTAACGTATTCAGTTTGGCCATAAAAATCACGTGCATTATAAAAACAAGTGAAGCATGATTATTCAATGTAGCTTAGGCTGTTAAAATAACAAGTTAAAATAATTAATATATTATGAATTTTACAAATCTAGTGGTATTTTTCTTAAGCATTATAAAACATCTACAACCTTTATTAATTAAATAATTACTTTTGAACGTTAATGAAGTGGTCATTAACTAATGAAATACAAAATGTACTAATTTGTAAAGAACCATAATTAGCTTCTAATCATAGCTTTCGAATTAGACATTGTACTCATGTTTATGGTAAAATGTGACATTGACAACACTTTTTCAATGATTATTTATTCAAATATATCAATATTGTAACCATATCTATACATATATATAAAATATATGTACTGTATACATACACCAAAATTATTTTTTTTACAATTTTTTTCTGTCTGTCTGTCGGTCTGTTTGTTCTGGCTAATCTCTAAAATGGCTGAACGGATTTTTACGAGAATTCTTTTGACAGGTAGCTGATTTAATAAGGAGTAACTTAGGTTACTTTTATTTTAGAAAAATAAAGTTAAATTCCGCGCGGACGAAGTCGCGGGTGCAGCTAGTTAATAATAAATTTATCATTGACTATCTGGGCACTGATTGATAACTGATTAAAGTGTTTTTTATAAGTAAGGTTACTAATACGTACTAATACTTAGACAATCAGATCCATAATAGTCATGATAACTAATAACTATATGTAGTTTTATTATAGCACTACAAATTGATTGTGATAACCCCTGGGTTAATAAAGATTTTTTGCATTATATTAAACAAAATACATACATTAAGAAAGTAATTTAGTTAATTGAACAGTGATAATAATCCCTGTGGACCACAAAATCTCATGTAATAATCTACTGCAGGTAGTAAATTACTACATGGATTTTGTGATCCTACCCACATTAAACTACAAAAAGCGTATAGAATTCATTGAAGAAACTACATTGATTTATTATATTCTTTCATTTTGTTTATTAAGATGCCGACGGCTACCTTTTACCATCACACCGCCATCGACAGGGAATTTATCCCTACATGCTAGAACCTAAAGAGGTCCGGACAGTGTTGTTTTAGAAATGCTTTCTTCCGCGTACACTTAGATTGTGAATTCCTGTGGAAGTTTACTCGCGAGACTACAGGATAAGGTTTTTCAAGAAGGTTATATTAAGGTTAATAAGAGTATATTAAAAAAAAATTAAGATTTGGGTTATTTTAAGTTTATACAGTCTCGTCTACGAATTGAAGTTCTATTCTAGGAAACGTTTTTTTTTATCATTCTATCTTATCTTTACTCATGTCTGTTGATTGTTGCATTAGTAAAACAATACTGAAGATATTTTACCTGTAAATTCGTTGATACGTAAATGATTTACATTTTATGAATATGTGTGATGACATTAATCAAATACCTTTATATAAAACATAGATGAGTAATCACTCAAAGACAAACATATTCGGTCCGTAACTCTTGTGTTAATAGAGGATAAAACATTTTGCTTTCGTTAAACAAATATCAGGATTATATATATATTTTTAAACTCTAAAAATATATAGCGTCTTTATTACGTTAAACAATGGTGAAATATCTTTTTTCATGATATATGTCTGTATTGCGAAAAGTTTAAGATTTAATCTATATTAATATAATATATTATTATACTATACATACATAAATTATTATACTTACTCATATTTTTCTGGCATAAGCGCTACTTGTAACTTGGACTTATTAAGGTTTTCCTTCACTAAACATGCTTTTCTGACAGCATTCTCATATCTGTCCTTATGACTCAAATAGTCCTCCGGTATCTCATCGTTTATTCCTTTAATCGCCAGCACTGTCTTTTCTGTGAAAATAGAATGGGTGACATGATAGTACCGATGATGATTTTATTGTTCGTAACCACCATTAGCCAGTAGGCCGAAAAGACAAAGTTTCCATTTTTATTTCTATTATCAAAATCGCAAACTGTGAGGTACCGAGATGAATGAATGATATATTGTCATTCTTAGGAATAGTAACGATGCAAGCGCTCCTATGAGCAATTCAATTTTCGTGATGTCTGTAGTACTATTGCCTTATACAGGTCGGTTGCTACTTTCCGACAACAATTTGCCATCAACATAAGAAAATAAAACCAATTATAAAATAATAAATAACATTAGAAAATATAATAATATATAAATATATACCTATAGTCCATTCACAAGTACTCGATAACAATAAGGAAAAATATATTACTAATATTATAAACGCGAAATTTTGTGAGTATGGATAGATAGTTATATGGATGTTTGTTACTCTTTCACGCAAAAACTATTAAACAGATTTTAATAAAACTTTACAGTAATATAGGTTATACATTATAATAACACATAGGCTATAAATTTCGTGCGGGTGAAACTGCGGGCACAGCTATTAGTTAATATTCGCAGGTCCGAACACTCCTCAGATTTATGGAATAGGAGAAGAAATTATAAAAGTGTCAGAAAAATGCGCTTACCAAATTTTCTCCTTTCCGACGTAATATCTGCTCCTCCATCGAAGAAATGCGTCAGTTCATTTACGTCGAAGGTACATTTTCTTCGTTCCCTTACTAGGTCTTCATTGACTTTCGTTACGGTCATATTTGTAATTATATTCGAATTAACTTTATCTTCATAGAATTTCAATTGTACAGTATTCAATATGAATACAATAATGGATGTCACGTCGATATGCCAATGTAGTTAATATCACACTGATAATGAATTGTTATTAAGGAGACTTTGTACCTACCTTTGGTCATGATTATGATAAATAAACCGTGGAGTACTACAATCAAGTCCTGTCCTGGGGGTTCCGTTTTTGTTAACTACTAGCTTCAGCCATCGAAAATAGCCTATAGTCTACTATTACATCAAATTTGATGACGAATAGTTGAGCCGTTAAAACTTGAAACAATTAGTCCATAATTTTAATATATTTGTAGACTATATGTATACATATGTTTATTCAGTACCCGGATATTTTTGCTTTTCAATTAATAACTCTATTCGCAGTTATTTTGGTATTCATCTATTTTTCTGTTCGTGTAGGTACTGTCATCACAGCCCTTATATCTTTAGTCTACGTCTGCATTAACAATATGAATGTCGACGCAATACAATACGATACGTCTGAAATTCAGGCAGGAGGCAGTATAGAGAAAAAGTCTTTTTTAAATAACGAAAATGACATGGTTTGTCATACGTTCGTCTGAGCCAGGTTTACGCTGGTGGGACCCCTTATCATCCTACGATAAGATGATTAGGTCAGCCCATTGTGGCAATTTCACTAGGAATTACAAGACAATCGTTTCCAGAGAGAACCGCGTGGAGTTCAACCTGATGTGGTCCACATTACCAACAATACTCTTCGCCTTCACCTATATGCGTTATACATATACTTATACCTGTGTACTCATATGTGTAGATATCTACATACCGATCAAAATCGAGACCCTTCTTTTTGCTGGGTTACGAGCACAGTACCTAAAATGCTACATTTCGCCGTTCGTGTAAATAGATAACGCAGGTAGATAATGCCTAATATAGATTGATTGACATGTAATGAGTAAAAGTATAACATATAGATAGGTATACTAATGCACTATACACGAACTATAAAATTTTGTTGCATTTTTAGGTGGTTTTGATACTTTTTTTAATTACTTTTATTTAATGAAAGAACTTCTCTAATTAATTATTATTACTAAACCCGTATATTTGAAATTTAGTTTTTACTTTCTAAACTGCAAATTATTTTAGATATTATTTGCAAGCTTAGCAATGTCGGCTTATAGATAAAACGTTGATATACAAGATTATCCTGTATAATCTAGTTTCATATTAATAAATACCATACATATATGTATATATAAAGTAGTCGATATAGAAGAGATCGCTAGTGATAACGCCACTTATCACCAATAATGTTCATTTCCATTTCTTCTGTTTTTGTTTATTACTATTTCCAGTTACTTCCGTTTTACTACGTGCCCGTGACGCCCATTTTACCATGGGGGCGTTGCTATATGACAGACCCACATGAAAAACAAGTTTTAACATTACACTTCAAATAAATGTTATAGATAGCTTTTGTAATCTTTTACAAAATAATTCAATGAAATTGCAAATATTTCCTATATGATAATAAATGATTAAAAATAAACATTAAATCATTTACCTACTAAAATGATAACATTTACCTAATTATGATTTCGTTTATCATTTGTATTTTCGTATTAGTGAAATATTGTATCCTAATTATAGATTGTAATAGATAATAATTTAAAATATAACAGGTGTAAAGTACTTGCCTTTCTTTGTAACGTACCTATATCTTATATATAACATTGTGACACGAATTACAATATTAGTTACCATACTCCTTCGAAGCGGCTTGAGCGATTTTTATGTCATTTTATATGCATATTCAGTAGATCTGAGAATTGTCTAGTATATATTTTTCATACCCCTAAGTGATAAAGGTTGTCCACCCCTAACATTTTCTTTTTGATTTTTTGTAGAAATTTTTATAATGTGGCATTATAATAATAGTGAAAATTTTGGGTTGTATATGTAAAAAGTACATATACAACCCTAAATTTTCACACTTCTATCACCAACCCCTATTTTTGAAATGCAGTGTCAGCTAGTAATAATTATAAATTAAAATTTAGAATTATTTTGTATTGGATATTAATTCAGACATGTATTTAGTATCTACAAGTAAACACCTAATAGCCAGCAAACGATCCATGCGGTGAAGTTTTCTAGGTATAAACAAAAATGAAGCTATCGGATCAAACTATAATGCTCTGTGAACTGCGACCCAACAGAGTATAACGATGATCAATGGGGTCATAGGCCTCACCACTTGATTATTTAATATGTTCAATATAGAGAATATCAAACAATTATCCAATGTTTCAAATTGTAGGCGTACATACAGAGAATAGAAAAAAAAAACGGCACCCGATACTTGACATAACCAAAGCTCAACTAACTAGCAGAAAAGAATAGGTATCCCAAGTAAATCAATCAATACCTAATAACTACACGCAGGTGTTCATATAATTTATCGATGACATCATAATTAATGTAGGCCTATGTGCGTTAACAAAAGTCAATAATTATCCACTAATTTATCATGTAATTATTTACCTATAATAATTAACATGTTGAAGACCGCATATTAAAATCTTATTTCTTAGGGACCGGGATTTTTTTTATTGTTAACTACCTTCCAATAATATTTATTAAATATGTTTTTAGTGTACAATAATTTGAGGTAAACTTTATTTAACCCCTAGATTTATATCAATTAAAATGCCCACAGGTAATCATTACAATGTACCTATTTCATTTTATAACAGAAAGATGGCTCTTCTCTATAGCAAATACTACGCTTATACCAAATCTGATGTCCATTGCTTGAACTATTACCAATGCAATATACGTATATCTGTTTTACAAGATAATAATAACCCTTATTTATCTACACAGCGCCCTCTAGTCCCAAGATAAGCAAAGCTTGTGTTATGCTTACTAGATAACCGATTTTTAATATATACAAAGTAGAAAACACCCAGACTGATACAACAATTATACTCACGAATACAAATTTTTGCTTCGTGAGAGGAATTAAAGCCATGACCATCGGAAGTAAGATGACCGCTAGATCACAAATCGCCGTTTCGTTTATTATAAAGGTATAGGGAAACATTAATAAAACAATATCAGTATATATTTGTATATTTTATTAATTAATATTTTTTAAATAAGTATTTATAAAAGAATCATATCCCATATACATCTACCTCGTATATACAATTAAGTTATTAATTTACAGCTTAGACTTCTCAATGAACGGCTTGATGTACTTGTGGAAGGAGCTGTTCACCGGCTCCTGGTTCAGAGGACTCTTCATGGCTTCCTCAAACAGACGCTCGTAGACGCGGCCGTCGTACGCGCCCAACGTGGAGTTCAGGATCTAATTGTAACAAGTAATATAAACAATAATTAATTTACTGTTTCCTTTATTATTTAATGCTTTTGTGTATATACTACCATGTATGTGACACACACGCACATATATACTCTTTACCTCTTTGGTAAAATTGAGAAATATTATTTGTCTTTGCTATTAATTGTCTATAGTCTTACTGAATGTCAAACATAACCATAATAAATTCATTTATTATTATTATTATTAACAAAATTAAAATAAAAGATCAAGTGAACGCTGCAGTTTATTTTGTATTTCTTTAACGCAATAAAATGATGTTTCATTTATTGCATATATATTTAGTGTTAGTAACGTTTTGTTTTAATGTATAATTTTAAAAAATTGTGAGAAATTTCATACTTTTCAGTCAATTTTCAGTAAGAAGTGGTACAAAGTATTTGCACCACGTAATAATATATAGATTATTACTATTATTGTATTATTTATTGTACACATACCTCATCCCTGACGTCGAATGAGTCAACAAGACCGACAGCATTCGGTCTGATGACTGCCAGCAGCTGCTCGTATCTCTGTCGTTGCCAGACCAAGTCGTTCTTCGTTATCGAAGAATGCTATAACAAAAATAACATTGAATAATTAAATCATTCCTAAAGATTGAAAAGCACAATATGTATCTGATATATGAGATCTCTTTTCAAATAAGTTGGTAAATAATTATGTTGTTTGAAATAAAATACGGATTAACAATACAAACTACAAACGTATGATATTTTAATCCTCAAGAATTTCAACCCATTATTACATTAACCAACCGATCATCTTATTTCCAACCCATTTATTAAGGAAGTATTAAGATAGGAATCGGATCGGATCGGATCGGTCGGAACCCTTAGTAGTGATGATCTAGCCTCCGATCTAAATATTTGTAGTCTCACACATCGTTGTGGTAGAGGAATTAATCCAAATAATACAAAATTATTAACTAATCAAGTAGCAATTACTGTTAAGTGGCTAGTAAACAACTATTCAAAATATTACTCACCACCAAGAGGTCTCCTCCCTTCTCCAGGGTCCAGTATGTAAGGTACAGCTCGGCAAGCTGTTGCAGCACTAATGCCAGAGGCGCGGAAATTGTTGACGATAACTTCTGCACTTCAGTAAAGAATACCTCGCACAGGATGGCACGGCAGTGAGCCTGTAAATTTAACATTATTACCATTACTTCAAATTATCGATGAATTTGTATGATAGAAAACTAAGGGCCCGCCCCAGTACCCAAAGTTTTGAACACCCGGGAGTAGTCTCAGGGTAATAGTAGTATTGATATAATATACAGCCTAAATCACTCTGTAATCATTTACCTTTCAAACAGTGAAAGAATTTCTAAAATTGGTGCAGTAGTTTCGTTTTCGTTTATTTTTTCCATTACAAAATCCATTTTTTTTTACTCCTTATAACATTACTACCTATATATAACCCTGGACATACACAATGCTCCCAAATAAAATATAGCTAAACATTTTTTTTATACAACACACTGTACATAGGTACAGTATAATGAAATACAACACTTCGTCGGTTAAATAGAAAAATGGCAGTATTCAAAATGTACATTTTTGTTTTGTCCTGTAGAAAGCAATTAAAGTTTTTAAATTTATTTAAATTATTTTTCCCTGTAAAGTTTTAATTTTCCACAGAAGTATTATATATCATTTTAAAAATATTTAGATAATGATTAAGACGGCGTTGTTAATTTAATTGACTTATATAAAAGGAGGCAATTCTAGCTTCTAATTTTGATGATATTTTTCTATTTATACGACGACTTGAATTTTACATTCTAGTAAACACGTCAGCCACCCTACAACCAATGTAAACAGCCATAATCGTAACGTATACATATGTTTGTACTATCGATCGATCCCATGACCATCAGGAGGTGGGGACAGTGTGTTAAAACACCACACCTGTAAGGTCGTCTTTATTGACATATATACATGTATTATAGTTTGTCAAGGGCTGTTAAAGATAAAATTACTTTGTAGTGAGTAATTTCACATTGCAGTCAAAAACAAATGCAACAGCCCATACAGTAATATCATTATAATATACTAGCTGTGCCCGTGGTTTCACCCGCGTAAAATTTATAGCCTATATGTTATTCTGATGTATAAGCATATTATATATATTATAAACATATTGTATAGTATATTTCAAAGTAACATTACCATAAAATCCTTCAATAGTTTTGCATAAAAGTGTAACTAAAATCCATCCATCCTTCCACACTTTCAAACTTCCGCGTTTATTATACATACTAGTAACATTTATTGTACAAATCTTAATATTTATAAATTTGCGATTTATGAATTTATGGCGAAATATCCTTCGCAATGTAAGTCATACAGATTATAAATAATCAGTACAATAATATTATAATTAGAACATACATCACTGGCGTTGACGAGCTGCACGGAAGCCAGATTCCAGGAGTCTTCGTAATCATGGCCTTCCTTCTGGTGTCTCTGAATAGCCTCGTAAGCTTCCTTGATTTTTCTAGAAAAAAGAACAAAAAATAATGTTAGTTCTTAAAAATGTACTATAAACTTTTCAAATCCTTTTCTCCCTCTATTTCTTGTTTTTTTTTCTTCTTTTTTGTTTATTTTTCTTCTTTTGTTTATTTTTCACTTGTCTAGAATATGAGTTCAGTACCAATTCCAATTCTAAACTACCACCTAATTTGGACGACATTTCCGTTTAAATTCCTAACTAAAGTCTGTTGATGATATACAGTCGGTTAATAGTCAAGTTTCAAAAGTGTCAAAGAGACGAATATACTCGTAGACTCCGAATGACTAATTTCGTTACTTCCCCCCACTCTTTTCGAGATGCTGCCGATCTCGTAGCAATAAACCGACTGTATATCACCAGCCTCAGTTTCCGATGACGAATTTTCAACTTTAACAATATATTTTTGTTGTAATTTATCTATCTACCAATCTATATAAGAAAAGCAAAAAAACATAATCAGAGATATAACGGTAGTCTGCTCCTTTCTACTTTGGATTTATATATTCTGGTATATCAGTTATATAAAAAAACTCTTACCCAGCAGCCACAGCTTGGAAGCCAGCAATAATTCCCTCAGGTGTGTTGTCCCATTTACGGCCGCTGTTGTTGAGGTAGTTGAGCAAATAGGCCACTGTTGGTGTCAAAGCTGTGCCGTCCACCGCTTGCTTCCATGCCTTGACTAAGTATCTGTAAATTATTGAGATTATTTAAATAAAAATTAATTCTTTACAAGTCACGTCATCTAAACTCTGTAATTTGCTGCCAGACAACTTATAGAAATGTTTAAATAATTTTTATATCTAATGATATAAAAAAATATATATACAGAATAATCATACACGCGGACAACGCTGCGGATTTCCGCTAGTAGTTACATAGTATAAAATAAAGTTGTTGCTGGTGTCTGTACGTTTACATTTTTTAAAATACGTAACAGATTTAATGCATTTTTCAGAAATAAAGTGAGTGACTCATATTATTGTACAGAAAAGGTTATATAATATTAAGAAATTCAAAGATTTGGAGTGCACCCGTGGAAAGCCGGAGCTCACTAGAAATAAAGTAATGAAATGTAATGAAAATAAAGATAAAGTAATGAAAATCGAAATTACCTAGCGGTCTGCAACATCATGACGGTGTATTCACCCTCGTAGGTGACCGTGGCGGTGACGAGACCGTAGATGATGGGAAGGTTAGAGGACAACATGAAACCATGTCCACCGCAAGCCAGCCGGCACTGCTCCACACAGGCGCTAGCGTCGCGACTGCAGACGGCCTTCAAGCAGCACGCAATAGCGTGGAGCTAAAAGAAAAAAATAAAATTGAATCTATTAAAACTCACAACAATGAGCACGACCACGACATAGATAATTGAAGAAATAATACTAACAAAATAGAAATATATAACAATACGTATTTAAGATCTTAGAAAAATATAGTCTCTCCATAATACCACAACAACGAAAATATTATTTCCAAAAGTAAGAGAAGGAAACCGAATACAGTGAATAAATTTTAATAAAGAACACAACATTTTCTGACAATTCAATAGTAGTAGTCACAGTAAATTCTGTGATATTCACAACACAAGTCCTTTTATATCAGTCAACGAAAGTTGTTTATAATCAATTAGATGAAACATCTTGTTTATTAATTCTAGGCGTAATAATCACAGAGTGTAAATATCATTAGTTATGAGAAAAACTATACCTAATAAAGATTGTAGAAACAATAATATTTTAATGGCAAGGGATTATTAGTAATGGGGACTAATACTTAGGATAGTCTGCGCAGACGAATGTACTATTTTATTAACATATGTAACTTTTTTTTTGGTTGAATTCGAAATTTGATAACTTCTTACCTCTGGCAGCTGATCCAATTTTCCTTGTCCCAAATCGGCGACAACTTTAGAGTAGGTGTCCCACAGCCAGGTACCAGTTATCCTGAAGGCATGACTGGTTGCGATAGCGATGAACAGCTTGTGCTGTTGCGTCACGTAGTCTATGATCTGTGGTTCAGGTTGACTGGAACGAATAAATTAGAGGTTGACATACAAACCAATACTATACACGATTTTATATGTAAATCCTTTATGTTTCATTATTTCTATTATTTTATATTGTATTCTACCATTCTTTTTCCTTTATCTGCTGTTCTTTCTGTACTTATGAAATATACTATTTGTTCCCTAAAACCACTGTCTTTTCATAATTATATTTACCAACTAATACAGTCGGTCCCTTTGCTCACAAATACATTATTGCATCATTACACAAATGTAATCTCTTTTATAATTACTCTCTCTTTATTACTATCTCTTTATTTACTTTTGAAAATTATACTAATTTATTTATATGGAGAAAAACTAGCAACAAAATTTTATTATAATTGTTTAATAAAATATAGATAATATATATAGATGATAGTAAAATTTTTAGCCAATAAAAATGTGCTACATTGTTAACAATATTACTTAGCCTAGTTTTTTATTAAAATTCTACGTTTTTTGTCTACCCGTAATTACGTTACTACTAAATACCACTCGAGTATTAAAACACGTGTTCTAAGTGCTAAGATGCCCTTTGGTCCACCGTCATGGAACAAATGCCATCTTATAATAGCGTTTGTTTTGTTTTTGCTCGATGACTTTCCCACGATTTAGTTCTATGGCTGGATACCCACATGTATATGTACAATTATGCGTAACTCTTTGCATCGCGTGCAACATCCAACATGAAATGTATTACACTGTCATGAGCCGTTCATTGAGTTACAAACGACGAGGTATAATTATGTAAAGTTAAATTAATTAATGTAACGAAATCGCTTATTAAGTACTCCTCACTAATAAATTTGTGTAAACTTGAATACATGATCTTGAATATATATCATGTATATTTTCATGCCAGATACTTTGGTAGATAAGTATACAGATTAGAGCAAACAAAAACCATATCTATGTTTACTTAAGGACATTTCAACGAGTCGATTTCATCTAGAAGTGTAAGTCAAGTTATATTTTTCATTTTATTAACATAAATGTAAGTTATATCACTAATATATTATCTATCTAAAGCAATATACTTTTTGGTTGTAATGATTAAAATTAAAAAAATACTGAAGTAATTTGAATAATCCTTTCAACTAAAAAAAGCTACATCGTCAGCAAGTAACATAGAATCTACTGTATTTACATAAAATATAATATTTCCCTCTCATGTAAAACTAGGGGATCATTCGAATTACTAATAAAATTATTTTTATCGTATTCATAACTCACTCGGGTTTCGGCTTGGACTGATGCCTGACGGCAGAGTACCGGACGGCAATGGTGGCAGCCCTGCCAATCTCGTAAGCGGCGTCAGCGACAATCATCACTCGGATGAGCACCATGGTTCCATATGTCAACTTGTCGCTCTTAGACTTCACGTATGTTCCGTCCTGAAAATGATTCAGACTTGTATTACCAGTCGTAATGAACTACGTAGACTACGACGCAAGTTAGAAATGTATGAGACCGCCGGATACGCGGTAGAATGTTAACGCGACCACCCGACCAACCAATGGCGCTAGATTCTTACCCATTAAAAAAACACCGTGTGGTTTTTTTAATGCGTAAAAATCCCACACACCCCCTAGTCACTCCTCTAACGAAGGTATAGTCTTTTAAAAAGGCAAAATGGAAATCTAAAAATGATGAAGATAGAGAAGATTTTTATCATTGTTTCAAGAAAATTTGGCAAATATTATTTACCACGTTTGACATCTTTAAAAGCAACTCTAATGCAATCAATTGTTGTTCCTTTATTTCTTAGGTAATTAAATATTAGGTAAGATTCTATGTAAAATTTTGTACAATCAAAACTTCACCCGTACCTTCAAAACCTGTGAATTTTTCATCAACATGCAATTCCTAGGTATTCTGAAGTTTTGGAATCCCAGGAATCCATTGTTGGCAGTTTGGAAACCTAATTTGGGCCCAATTTCTCCTACTTTGACACCGGGCAGTGGTACGTGGGTTTCCAAGTCTCTGATCTGCACGAAGAAGGGGTGGACACCGTAGCACTGGCCCTTGCTGTAGAGTTGGGCGACGACGATGCAGTGGTTTGCAGTTTGAGCCACTAAAAATGATTGAACATGATCAAAACATTATTACCGTACATTAAATTACTATAGAAATACTACGATCATACTATAAAATGTTCTTTAAAATAATATATTTACTTTTACTTTTACTTTTCGATCTGTTAATAATGCTATTGATTGAAAAAAATGAACACCTTTATATTGTTCATCGTAATATTCTGAAAATTAGAGAAATATGTATTTATTATCATTTTATATTTAATGTTGCTCAAATTCCATTAAGACAGTCATAGTTTAGAAATAATCATAACGTACGATTAATATTTTCGACTATTTTTTTAATGTCACTAAATATGCTAAATTCTGTATTATATGTAAATGAATCTGTCTTTTCAGTAAATATATATATATACGTGCAAACTAAGTAAATCATAGTAAAAATGTATAACTTACAGCCACCAGGCCACCATTTGTAAGACGTGATTGTTGGGCTGTTAATGATGAACTCCTCAGTTTTGGGATCATAGGTGGCAGTTGTCTCAAGACCTCTGAGGAAAGTTCCGTGACCAAGCTCCGTCTGTAATGTAACATGAATCTATATTATAATCTGAATACAAAAAATATGCCTATGTAATAATTTCTCCAGATTCTTTACGAGCAAACTCTATAGGGTTTACTTTTCTAAACCAATTCAGGACATTATATCTCACACTATATAATACGAGATATATAAAAAAGACTGAGTACTCTAACAACTCATCAATTCTTATTTAAAATTATGTCATTGTCATCAATCTTAGCCTATCCGTTTCCGGTTTCGTCATCCTAAAGGATCCGATATAGCGTATCAAGCCTTTCAGTATTTGCTACTATTATACCCTGGTATCATAAATATCCACGTGATCTTTCACGAGAAACTTTGGCAATTTGATCAAGAATTAATCTGGTATTTAATTCTTTATAAGTTTGAGACGATGAGTTGATCGAACTGATTTAATTCATTCTTACGAAAGTGGATGAAAAAATTCTTGCAACAACATGTTGATGCATCGTCAGCATGTATTAATAACAATGCAATCTGATTGGCTATATCCTCAACAAAACAATGAAACATAACCTTTAGCTCGTTATTCAGTTATTCATTTCGCAGACCCTTCACTAAAGAAATAATTTCTTGTTTAAGTTGCTATAGATACAGTATAGATAGTAGCTTTCTTGCTGCCTAAATATTTACATATTTAAGTCTGATTTCATTATCAATTAGTTAATGAATAGGACAGGTAATAAATATACATACAGATGTCAGACATATAATTAAAACCCATACACCTTAAACTCAATTGTAACATGTACTATACCTGTGCGTACGTTCCCACGATCTGCAATGACAGCGCCTTCGGTAACCACTCCGACATTTGTTCGGGGGAGGCCTGGCCGAATATTGTTGGCACAAACATGCCCATGTGCAACATAAACGGAGATATATCTTTAACGATACCGCTTTGAATTCGGTACATATTCGATGGTCTGTAAATAAAAATATACGCTTCAATCCACTGTATGGTGACAAATTCAAATGTTTGGTCAATTTAAGATATATAAACATTAGATATTCAAACGATTATATGACGTGACCCCTGTCACGTCATATAATCGTATTTTATACCGATGTCATATTAAAGATAATGACGGATATAGCTATCGCGATGATCTGCAAGCGGATAATACGGATTTAAAAATTAAAAACATACATATTTAGATTACAGCGTTTTTTACCTTTATTGATAACTTTAATTTAAAACTTATCGTAGCATATCATTTGTTCTGACATCATAATGTGTTGACAACTGGTCTTGTTCCAGCACATAGTATACAACATTTTTTTAAATTAGACATTTAAGCTATTTTTGAAATCTATTTTCGAAATATTGAAAATTTTGTATTAAACCGACTATGTAATCATCTACTTTAAAATAAAATAGTTAATATTCTATAGATGATACTATAGATTTTCAAAGCCGATTTTCTAGAAATCTCAACAAGAAGTAAATTTTCACAAATTGTTATTCTAATTTTGACTTTAATCTATATAAAGTAATGCATAATACATAGGTACAGATACACACAAATATAACAAATCTTATCAGTTGATAAATATATCAATTATAATTACAAATTATCGGCTTTACCTAAGCAACATAAACCAAAACAATTTGTTGTTTGTTGTAAAGAAAGTAAATTTTAATATCCACCTGTTTCAGTATTAAATGCTATAGTAACTATAATGATGGCAAACTCATGGACATTATTTACCGAGATAGACTTTGTACAATGCATTTGCATGGATAACTCAGACTCGCCTATTTAAGACGGTAAGAAAGCTGTGTTTTTGTTTAAGGGCTGAGATCAAGGTAAAGTTAAAAGATATTACAGATTAAGGAAGAACGACATCTTAGTCCTCCAGTATGACAACGTATGAGTTATACTACTCATGAGTAATGCCTTGGGTGTCGTGATAACGTGATGTCCGAGGTGCAGTTCATATATAATATATATATGTACATACTCGTAGGTCACGTAATCAATTTAATACTTCTTGATGAAACTGGTTTACCTATCACGGCTAAACCTGTATACATGAACATCTCTACGAATCATTACTTAAGGTGACGATCATGAGTTGCTATTTTTGAGGACTGAGTTATCAAAACTCCAACTTTACGTAGTCTGGTGATATTCAATATGTGCGTTTTTTAGGACTAAATTATCATGATTTCGTTGACTTATAATTTTACTGCCAAGTATAGTAAATAGTATATAAAATGCTAAGATACTGTTACTTACTTGTAGGCATCGAATGACGAGTGTCTGAGCGCATGCTCTTTCAAAACCTCGACCATCAGGACGGTCTTCCTTACAGCATTCTCGTATCTCTCCTTGTGACTTAAATACTCCTCTGGTACTTTGTCCCTTATGTCTTTGATTTGCAGCACCATTTCCTCTGAAAATATCGGATTGAAAATCAGAAATTGATTCACTAGATACCAATAATTTACGTCGGGACGTAACCTGTTTACCTTTCTAGTCATGTTTTCAAAATATTACTAGAAGAAACGGATTCGGTGGTTTAAGGGTTTAGACACTTGCTTACTTTCGATGGTCACAGTTTCGATCCCATCATATAACAAAACATTTGTATTATTGTCATATAAGTAATAATAATAATAATAATTTATATAATCTATCGGTTAACTAGTATTAAAAAAAAAATCAAGCTACAATTTGCGATGATATCACGGAACAAAATATACATAGGCATAAAAAATTTTAATAAAATGCATATATATTAATAGAATATTCATATGCTACATTCTCTACATACGGTAACAAACAAATAATATAATGTACTCTAATATTTACAATATTTCTTATAAGTTAATACGAGGTAAGTAAAATTTATTCAGATACGAAAATATTATGTCTGTAAAAAATAGTTAGCTATTAATATTATTAGAATATCCTACTTTTAGATATTTAGTTATAAAATTGATGGTATAACAATTTTTATTGGTCTTAAGGATCTTTAATGAATTTTCGACAACACATTTTCGTTTCTTGTTATACCTATATAATGTGTCAATTGTATTTCAGATTTTTGGTTCACTTTCCATCAAAAGTTGAAAACTACCGTATTAAGAAAATAAGAACCGATTTTGGTAAATTTAAATGAGCTTTTGTCGTAATAATATCCGATGTCGTAATAAAACGAGCTCGAGATTTAGAAGTCTATTTTAAAGGAAATGGAAGTATTTATTCAATTTCTTATTTCTTTAAAAATTAAACAAAACAAATCTAGCTTCTCATATACTCTAGTTTCTATAATATTATATTCAAATAGAGAGACAAAATCGCAATATAAAGATAGTCCTTTACCATTTTGGCTAAGAATTCTAAAACTTGCAGGATATGTTTATAGATTTCTGTGATTTCCATGATTAAGAGATCATCAATTTGGATTTCTTTAAGAACCATTTTGAAAAACATTAATTTCTGATTTGTTTTATACTTTTTTCAATTCTGATTTCAATAATCCTTTTTTCTAATATTATTAATATTTTAGGCAATTTTATTTAAAACAAAAATAGAATTTTCACTCCTTACTTAAACATACAAAAAAACTACTTGTCATATGAAGCGACCGAATAAATTTACTTAGTAAGTAGGTATTCGGACAGATTACCGCAGTTCCAAGTTTATTTAAATTTTATAGTTCGTGGTTTGTCTAGTTCTTAAGTTCTATTTCTTATGTTTCAACGGTATTACCGTTGCCATGGAATATAGCATTACACATATTGTCCTGAATTTTATTTCATTTAGGCATAGTAAGAAAAAGTAGATAATAATACAAATATATAATAAATAACTATATATATATTACTTAAGAGAATCTCTCTCTGCTCTATATGACAGCTGACTAAAATTTATTTCACCTTGTCAAATTTTAATATTTTGCATTTTGTATTTTACTGCGAATGTATAAAACGTTAAAAATGATACTTCTATTTTGTATAAGTTAATATGTTTGTACTACAAATTACACACAAAGTTTAACTTTCACCATTACTTCTTTATATCTTATATTATTATTAATTATACCAAATATTAAAATGTGATATATGCTTAAAAATTAATAGAATACGATACATCACATAATAGTATTATAGTACTACTACTACTATACTCACCAACTTCCTTCCTCTCCTTGGTGGCTTGTTCTCCTCCATCGATGATGTGTACCAATTCGGTCACGTTGAAGGTGCAGGCTTTCCTCTCCTTCACCAGATCGGGATTGACTTCTTTGCTCATTTTGTATTTCTCTATTTATGTATTCTTGTTACTTAACACACGTTTGCACCGCTCCAACCTACAATTCACAATGTCTTAACATAATCGATTTTCCTTCTATTAATTATTTATTATTTTAGCGTGATAAAACGATAACAGATAACATGTCATTACAGATAGTTATATTACCTACTACAAATTGTTCTATTAAGATATTTTTTTTTTTATTAATAGTATACACAATGACAAAAAGTACATATAGTTATCTGTAGATGGTATCTTACCAACATCCGCATTCAAATAGGCAATGTTGTGCATTATCTATATAGTAACTAACAGGTTATAGTAAAATAGCCCCCTGAAACAAGACTATATGACCATACCTTTTCTATATCAAGTATTTCTAAGGTACTATATGTACAACAAATGTACATGATAGGTGTAGGTACACACACACGTATACATATTACAATAAACACACATGTAACAAACAAATTAATGTATGCAATATTTATGAGAAAGAAAAGAAATGTGAACATTTTCTTTCTCTTTGTTTTAATAAAGTACAAATACAATTAGAAGTATCTATCTAGAAGTATATACTATATCACGCAAGACATGACAAAAATTTTATAGTTACGAGGAGAACTTCCGTCAACAATAAACATCATTCTATATGTACACGACCTTTGACTGAATGTTAAATGCTTACAGTAATAGTGTACAAAAATATTATAATATTAATAAAAACCCTTGGAATCGTTCCATATGGTCTAGTAAGTAAGGTACATAACCTTAGGAGCTATACATGAATAACGTTACATAAAGTTCGATTCCTTGCTCTCCCGCTCATTCTTGTCACATTTATAAGACTCTCTTCCCTAATCTGATATTACTTAATTTACGATTTTACACTTAGAAATTATTAATTATTTAGGTACCATTGGACATTTTTAATATTTTGTATGGTCTTGTCATTTGCAGGGTGCGATAAAACTGTGAATCATACGATACCTCATTCATCAAACTTAAATAAGCCGTTTGATCGAACGGCCGGCTTGAGGTATTCAAATACGTACACGTGTACCTACGTAACATGTTACAAACAATACATTCCTTTTTAAACAATTAACACTAATCCGTAATCAAAAATAAATTAATTAAATAATAGAATTGATTAAAAAATTATTATTGCAATAAAACTGAAGCACTTTTTAATTGTAACATATTTTTAATCCACCATACATTCTATAGATATGCTAGTTGTAAGCTAAAATAAACAGGAAATTTGCCAAATACACTTTTAAACAAATGTTTTACAACTTACTACTACTTCCTACCAACTATCGCCCTCCAATCGATCCCCATCCAAATCAATCAGGAATCGAAATTACGACGGCCTGAGCCGAGGTTCGAACCTAGTAATGCCCTAAGACTAAAGTCGTATCCGTCGGGCGGAGTTGGCCTTCAGCCGTCCTTCCGCAAGTTTGGAGTGCCATATACACTCGCCTCCTAGTATCCGGTGAAGCTGTAAAGCCCAACTGCGACCAACAGCATTAGAGTAGTACGAAAAAATACCAAACTGAGCAGTTTCGAACTCATATCCGAATTGAATTTTAACCACTACACTACAACGCTAACAATTATCTCTGCAACTATGTTTTAGATTATTTATAAACAAGACTTCTGACCCTATCTTAGCTACAGACTTTAAATATCTAGCACAACAATTCGTCAACTATATTAGGTGAGTAGTAATTTAAAATTTAAATTTTCTGTTACTTTTAACAATGTAGGTAAACAAACTAGTGAATACCAATCTATTACCTAAGCAAATTAGGCAATCGTGGATTTATGTAAAATCACTAATATATTGTAATATCGGATCACAATATATCAGAAATTTAACGGCCTCGATAGCCTAACGGTTTAGCATAATTACTTAATTAATTATTAACATTATGATCTGCAAAAGTAATTTATGTATTTCTATCAGTTGAAATCATAACAGCTTAGCTTGGAATTACATTATTCTAAACAGTATTGAATCAACTATATAACTAATTGATTCCGTATAACCCTTTAATGTAAATCTATTGGTATAAGATAAACACAAAATTTTAAGAAGAGTGTACCACAATAGATCAATGAGAACTACACCTATATTAGTTAATCCGTTTCTAAGATAATACTAACGCAAAGACAAACAGAAAAAATACTAATTACCATAATTTAGAGTTATAAAATCTTCTAATAATAATTTCTCACACATATCTTCCATGTGTAGGAAGCGAACTATGATATCTGACTCTAATGATATTCCACCAAATATTTTATAAAACTTAAATTATCTATTATTTTTTATTATATAAAGATAAAGTAAAATTCCACGCGGACGAAGTCGCGGGAGCAGCTAGTAATAAATATAGGTATCTATCGGTCGTTTAGTGTCCATAGTGCAAACTCTAAACAATAAAAAATAGTTGCATTTTTATTATATAATAAAAAATAATAGATAATTTAAGTTTTATGAAATATTTGGTGGAATTTCATTAGAGTCTGAACATAGTTTTGATTTTACAATAGTAATAATAGTCTATGATAATTTACGCAGGACCATCTTATCCCCAAAATAGTACAAGCTTTGTTTAAAGTTTGCACTATGGACATTAAACGACCGATAGATACCTATATTTATTACTAGCTGTTCCCGCGACTTATCCGCGTGGAATTTTACTTTATATTTCTAAAATAAAAGTAGCCTATGTTACTCCACATCAGCAAAAATTGTTTCAGCCATTTCAGAGATTAGCCAGAACAAACAGACAGATAAAAATTGAAAAGAATGTTATTTTGGTATATGTACCGTATTTATATTCTATATGCATGTAGTAAATAACGGTTATTTCAATATTACAATTTTATTTATATGTATAAACTACAAGAGGTACTTCACAATTTCAGGTAGTAGTCACGAGAACATATGGTACAAATCTTGGTGCAAAGTCAAATCCCAACAGTTAGTCTAATGCTTATCACCTTGAACAAATAATTGGACTCATACATCCTTGATTGCAAATCATTAATTTTTGTCATATCTTATCTTGAGCTACGATTACCTATTTTAAACACGATTGACGTTGTTCTAATTAAGATTGGCCTTCACGCCTTCATTTTACTTCTGATTCTAATTTATAACGTAAGCAGAGTCGAGAGCATGGCTAGTGTATTGTTAAAATGTCTGCAATGGTTTTAAATAAATAAAAAAAAATACATACACACACAAAGAAATCGTAAGTAACAAATTTAATAGATATAATAAAAAATTAATAATTAGTTTTTTAAATAAGCCTACTTATCAACATTGATATAATTTAACACATACGGTATCATAAAAGTTTTGTAAAAATAATCATAAGTGTCTGTTGAATTATGTGTAATATATCACGTAACTGAAAACAGTTGCTTCTCTCTATTATGTATATATAATATGCAACTGCCTCGGTGGTCTAGCGGTGTGTTACATCGCTTTAGTTCCTATGGTTGATGGTTCAATTCCTCGCACGATACTAACAATTGTATTCTTGAGTAAGATTGTGTGTATCAATCTGGATATTTTCTATGTATTTACATCAGTTGTTTAGCTTGTTTAAATTGTCCAAGGGTATTATTATTATCATTATATAAAACAATGTACATATATATAATAAACCAGTTAATTTCAGAACCTCTTAACAAGAGTTTCTTCCGTTAACAATATCTTAGAACACAAAATAAGTTTATAATTAATTCTGTATAAACAAAAACATGTTGAATTATGCATTCACAGTTATTAATTGACAAGTATAAGAGTATTACCAGTACTTATTGACATTCATCATTGAACATGGGACACAGTTCAACAGAAAAGTAAATTATTCTCTGCACCATCTATAGTTGAATGACGATACATGCCGCATAGTGTCAAGTCCGTCAATTATTAGGCATATTTCGCGGACTTTAACTCTTGTGTTGTGTACATTAAAACTACAAAATAGACTAGCTGTTCCGGCAAACTTTGTTTTGTCATGTAAATCCAAGTAGTATTATCGCATTTAAAAAATAGGGGTTGATGTTAGTAGGAAGGAAATTTAGGGTTGTATATATTTTTAATGGCAAGTAATAACAAAAAATTAAAAATATTCGCCTAAAAATAACAAATATTGTGGTGGACCACCCTTATCACTTAGGGTATGAAAAATAGTTTACGTTGTATTCTCAGACCTACGAAACACACACAAGATTTCATAAGAATCGGGCAAGCCGTTTCAGAGGAGTTTTGTTACTGATACAGTAACATGACAATTTTATATATTAGATAAATAAGTCTCAACACACACTGACTTATATTTGATATACGTATATAGTGATGCTGTATTCACGCTTTTTTGACGTCACCGCACTTGCGAGCGCAAGTTACAGTATCAAGTCAGAAGTTATCATAACATTTATGTTTGTTACATATTAGATTACGAATATAATAATTGTATGTTCTATTCAAAACAAGTAAAAACACAAAACAATTTTATATTAAAACAATATATAAGCACACCTCTTCTACTATGTCGCTGATTCTTTTTTATTGTGTCAGTAAATGTTAGGATTAGTGTCTCAATGTTTACATGAAAAAATAAATTGGAATAACGTACGAATGAGGTAAAAAAATTGTTAAAGAATCCACTCCACTCCACATGAAAATCGATAAAATTACAAAAAATATTCTCATTGCATATGCTGCTACTTAAATATATGCTACTTTAATTTCTATAGATATGATTTTACTAAAGAAATATTTTGTTAAAAAAGATTAGGGTGGGCTATATATTGAAGTTATTTTTAAGTAAATTCGTACTAAAGTGTAGAAATATTAGAGAATTTTATTTATAACCCCGTTTATTAGAAATTTCTCATTATTTACAGGTGCAACACTAGTAATGACTGCGAATGCATCCAATTAATACACACATACACAATCAAAATCACTAAAAATGTAAAGACGTAGTTTAATACAATGTTATTAAACTACGTCTATACATTTTTAGTGCTTTTCTAATTCGAATATTTAATAGTATTAGAAATTAATGGAACTACATAGTCATAGTATGATGAGAATATCCAGTTATCTCCTCTATATTTATTTAAATTATGAACTCTTTATAAATAAGGAGTATCGCTTACTCCTATATGTATAAAGAGATTTTTGTCTAATAATTACTTTTGTTTAGTTTTAGTATATACTTTTATATATACGTATACATTTTACATACAAAAACAATCTATTACTATTTGATGGTAACCAATTAACGCTGGAAATCTGTATTTGATGTCATTAATTATTTTTTATTGTTGATAGCGAATATTCGCGTTTAAACTGAACATACAAACTTTTCAACTATTACTAATTTGATACTAAATAGGTATATAAATATTATCTGTTTTAGACATATTATTAACCGTAATCATTGATCATTATGTCAGATACAAATCATTAATTATTACGTCACATGTCTTGCTGTCTGTGATTGTGGAATGACTCGATTATGATGAATCTTTTACATACGGGTAGCCAGTAGCAGCAGCACACTAAGTAATTGTTTTCACTAAATTGTAGGTACAATACTTCAATTGGGACTTATTAAAGGTATTTTCTTCTATATAATATGCATTTAACTTTATTATTTTGGTATTTGTTATTATTTGCTTTTCTTGTTCTTTTTTTATAAACAATCTATTTGATATAATACTTTATATACTGCGGTGAGTACCGTCATTATTATGTTGTGATGTGTGTTGTAACAAAATCTACTCTATCCTATTATTGATATGACATGACCTTTATGAATTTCTAGTATTTGGTACTTAATATTCAGATAAATCTTAATTTTCTGCTTACAATTAAGTTAATTTAAATAAAAATTATATATATTCTATTCATGATGTAAAATTACTCCGATTATATGCCTAACTCCAATAGGCGTCTCAGTGTTTTTTTATTACATTATTATATCCGTAATGCTAGTCATGTCTATTTGACAAATAGTAACGACCAGCACTGTTTATTAGTAAAGCCGTCAGCGTGTTTGCCATTCAAGTCGTATAAAATAATAATCGTCATAAAAGTAAAAATGAATCCTAAATAGAGCGTGATAATGTTGATAATCTAAAAATTACAATATGAATGTTCAAAACGTATTAGGTTATAGGTTTATAAATGTATACCTGCTCAAATGGTTTAATGAGAACGCTCATGCCGGCTCTACGTTCTAATGCGCAAGTGGTGAAATCTAACATTATGTAGTAACAGTGTTATGCCATTTCGCCAAGAAAACACATTTCAAATTGTTTACTAAATATTGTAAATAATGTGTTAAATAATATTAATAATGTAAGTAGTGAGTAAGGCTTCTAATTCAATGAAATTTGGTAGTCACAGTCAACATCATGTTACAAGTGAAATTCCAAATTATTTATTCGTATTGGACATTTATTGTCATTGCACAATAATCTGTACGATGAAACTCTTGGGTGAAATATAGAATAAAGTTCGTTTTGTCCTGATTTAATAGATTTTATTGTGACAAAATGTAATATTAATCAAACGGGTGCGAAATTTCTTGAGAAATTATTTTGCTATTGACCTTATTTGTCTGTTACCTAGGAAATTAATTATGTAAGGAAACTATTAATATTTCAACTTTACATATCATTGATATAGAAATTATGAACGTACATATATATATAATAACATGTAGTATAATATATGCAATCGTTAGAAGGCGGTAATATTATGATAACATATAGAGACACCAATAAAAATCGCAGCGATAAGGAGTAAACTAACAAATTATAATATTACTAAGTTATTGCAAAACAGTAACCTATCTATTAGTGATTTATTTCCTCTTTGATAAGAGAAAGCGTAGTAATCTATGCAAGTACAAGTTGCATAAAAGTAGAGTTATACTAACTCTAATTATTCATTTCTGTTAAAAATATAACTAATTTTTCTTTTATACGAAATTAGCTGGACCTACTGTGATAGTTGCTAGTCTATTTTTATACTGTATCCTTAAATCTTTTAACTGTTATATCAATTAAGTATTTTATAAAATTGGGAACTCTTAATGATAAAAAAAATAACTGACGACGTTTCTCATGAAGTAGTCTTAATCGAAACCATATTTAATTACAATAATTAATAGGTACACATTCTTCTGATAAAAACGTATGTATCTAATCTTTTAGTCGATAACATTTTTTACATATTTTATATTGACTCATAGCGCTATTTTGGCGAAAATTCAATTTAACGGACAAAGTTCAGTGGCCGAGGTACCGACAGGTGTGTAGAAATTACCTTCCTACCATGCAGTAGCTCAATACTCAATTACAATTTTTACAAATAAGTAATTATTTATTTATTTATATTAGAAACATTAACGGTGTAATTGAAAATGTTACTGATCATATTGATTGTGCTATGCAAATTAATAATCTTCACGAATAATATTACTAAATAAATTTGCTGATAATCCAAATACATAATATTGTAAACGTATAAAAACTTTTCAAGGAATGAATGACACAAAATGTAAAATTCTACTCATAGCCATGATACACAAACACATTTTTATATCTACAAAATAGTTACTCATAAGCAATATATATATACATATATATAACACTTAAATTGAAAGTATCGATATGAAGATGTTATATCAATACTTTCAGTGCCTATCTCTACTATAATAATTATATATTTATCATTCTATTGAATTGTATATTTAAACAATGTTGAACTACAAAAATACATCAATTTTAATAGTCACGTACTTAGATAATTAAACTCGATTGCGAACGGATGTTTCCAACATCATTTTACTCTTGAATCGATACAAATCTATCGATTTAGCCGATTTTTAGACAGAGACCGGAAATCTTATTAATAGCATATCATCGTGTTATCGTTAAATCTTATCTCTATATTACAACACTTACGATACCAGTGTCATCTATTGTCAAGTAGGTACATTACTAAACTGTATAGAACAGGTCCTAATTGAAATCACCTTGCGTTAATCAACTGATGACTGATCGAAATAGTAGTAGAAATGTTATATAAATTTATGTATACATCGCACAACACTAGTTAGAACATATTGTATAATACGGTATTCACTTATTGACACATGTGCTCAATACAAACGATGCCAGTGGACTGACCGACTCTATTGAAAGATGAATAATGTTGTACGAAGCTCATCCATGATCTGCGTAATTTAACTTCGCCTAGTACACAGTACGTAATCTCCGCGCGGTAACATTGTACGGGTGACAGGTCACTAGAACGTAATTTGCGTAGGTTCACATAAATATTGATAATATCAGTTAAAATTATTGTAAAATTTTGAATAAACAAAAATAAAAAAAAATAATTCTGTATGTTTTTTTTTATAATACGCCTTTATAGTGGCCCATCGCGGCATCGCAAGGGTACCTGCATGACTTTGTGAGTTTTGTATATATAAATATATATATATATTTACTTAATAAAGCCTATACCCTATATTACTCTAGAAGTCTAGGATACTGAATATTTCCAACAGTAAGTGAATTTCTCAAATCAGCGGTTCTGAAGTTTCTTTTTCTCTTTTACAAAATTGCTCTCTATGTTCACAGTTCTATTTTTAGCACAGAGCCAGCAAACGAGAATGGTATTTGTTTGTAGCGACCATGTTAAGTCGACCTCCACGCGGTCCTCACTCGTAATCATCGTGGGTATTTCCAGGTAAATGCTACAAGTGTCAGTGATTGTCTATAGTCACTGACGAAATCATGCATTGTTAATATGTAAAAAAGTAAACGTAGATATTCATAGATAACTAACTAGTTAACTTAAGTTATATATTCACAGCAGGTACATTTAAATTGAATAGCAGGTTCAATGTCACGGTCAATGCTACGTCAACATACGCCTAAATCTGCTCATCTACACCATCTTCCGATACAGTCGTAATCATATGTATTTATATATTACGATGGCCTCGGTGGTGTAGCGGTTTAGCACACCACTTTACATCCGATGATCGCAGGTTCGATTACTCGCACGGTGCAAACATTGTATTCATGAGTATAATTGTTTGTATCGGTCTGGGTGTTTTCGATATATTATATATTACGTATGTATTTTAGACAAAATATCAGTTGTCTAGTACCCATAACACAAGGTCTGTTTACTGGTGGACTAGATGTCGCTGTGGTAATTGTCTAGAGTTATTTATATTATATTTGTATTTATTTATTTCAAAATTAATTTATTTAAGTATTTGATAAAGTATTTTATAGAAGTACCTACTGCTTCATGATTAAAAACAAATACATAATATTATGTACTAATACGTAAGTATTATTATATATTTGTTTTTAATCGGCCCAAAAATTTTCATTATCTAACATTTGATAACAAGTAGGTACAACTGCATTCTTAGAATGCAAACAAACACAAATTTTGTATATTCTATGAATATTTGTAGGTACACAAATTACATTACATTATATATTTTACAAGCAAACTCTTTTGAGTTCGTTTATTTGATAATTTTAAACGACATACAAACATAACAACATGCAACTGTAATCCCAGAAGGTAGTCAAGAGCATTGTCAAATGTCGATGTTCTGGTCAACACAATACTTGTCATGCAAATATTTGAATCATCCAGCAAGACAGACAGAGACCAGACAAGAGAGACAGAGGCGATCTTACCGGCGTTTTTCAAATTAATTTTTAGGTAGAAGAATCAGTCAGAAACTAAACGATCATGATCGAGTCAGAGTCAAAAACAAACAACCAAATTGCATTTAATAAATTCTTTTTGTTATATATTTTATGTGTATGAAATAAACTATTGACTTTCTTTAATTGGCACATATAGTTATTTTTTGGCGTGGAAACGCCACTACATTTCATATGTGGTTGTAGCCCACTCATGCATAAACGTAATATTTCCTTTGGAAAGTTGACATTCTGTCCTGAGGAGATAAAAACCATCGCTCCTAAGAATATCCTTCAATTATTGTTCCTGACGGGTCTAGCTAGCGAACTCTAATAATAGATCCAAGCTTCTAACAATAGCCCAAATCGCTCAATGAAAAAATTCAAAAAAATCGATGTCGACAGATTTTAACTCGTGACCTTTTGAGTATAATTCTTGGTAGTAAAACACTAGACCATAACTTCTTATTATTATATTTAATAATAATAAGTTCAATCTAATTGATCTTGATATAAAAGCAAGCGGATTTAAAATAATACTATTATAATAAAATATAATATACTTACGCAGGGAAAAGATTAAACATACAGCATACAAATATACTGCTAAATATCATCAAAACAACCATTATTTAAAGTCAATAATTACACCCCAGTGAGAGGCATTTCACGCCGGCCTCACAACTACTTGTATACAAGACACAAATCCGGTCGCACACGAATTACTATTCTCAGTAATACCACGTAACACTATGTTGAACTGTATCGCCAAACACAACACCAGCTACTACCATTACACCGCATACGAAGCCTGGCCCTTCGAATCGTAGACAGGTTTTTAACATAATATAACTAGGTGGGGAAACAGTTGGCAATAATTGCGTTTAATGGTCCAAGCGCCTCTGGAATATAACCTCTCTGGAAACCATTGGATTATTTCTTGATTAATTCGCCAAACCTGAGTACTCTTAGAATTAATGAATGAATTAGTTCATCATATTTTCCTCTACGGGTTCAACATCCTTCATAATTATATATTCATATATTGAAAAAACATAATTAATTTACATGCATTACATACATAGCTAATTAATTAATTTCCACATTAATTAAACGTTTCCAATATTTCATCAAAAGAAAAATATCGACTGGAGATGTCTTTGTCATTACATAGTATAAAACAACGTCGCTGTCGCTGTCTGTTCGTCCCTATGTATGCTTAAATCTTTAAAACTACGCTACGGATTTTGAAGCGGTTTTATTTTATAAATAGATTCAAAAGGAAGGTTTATATATATAATACATGTACACCCATGCGAAGCCGGAGCGAGTAGCTAGTGTATAATAAGAAGAAAAATAATAATATCTCAGGACAATTCACACAGCGACGTCTAGTTATAAATTAAGTAGAGCATGTGTTATGGGTATTACACAACTGATATAATTACGTAGATACTTATTTTGTTAATACATACATATCTAATAGACATAGAAAACACCCAAACAATGATACTCATGAACACAAATGTTAGCACTGTGAAATCGAACCCGCGACTATCGCAATTAAAACGAGGTGCTAAACCGCTGGACCACCGAGGCCGTAAATCCTGGAAGCTGAAAATGAAACGATGGACAATCAGCTGTATCTTCAGTTGATCCGTAATAAGCAGGAATACTCTTGTGCGTAATTTAAATATCGATATCGTAAGTCACCCATACATTAGTTCTAACAGCGTCTAAATATCGGGAGGTCGCGAGAAAGATAAAAATAGTATCGTGTTAAATAATAACTTGTACTATTATACCAATAAATAAAAACATAACAATAAAGTCCAATTTCCAGCGAAGCGGCTCAGCTCACCCATCCAGCATCAATATTTATCTATGTCGTCACGTGGTATGCTGTCCAAACTTTGTACATCCATAACAAGAATCTTTATACTTGAATCAAACTACAGTTTTTATAAAAATCGTTGGCAACATCCCTGTTATCTCAAGGTCCAGATATGAATGTCAGAGTGTGAAAATTGATTAAGTCATTACAAATAATATAATGACATTACACGTATCTTATGAAGACGAAAACGAGATGATAATTAAGTAGATATTTTATAATTACCAAGACATGAACTTTGTTTATTTGTTACCTATTTCTGATTTAACAGCCCAGACAGCCAGCATCTTTATGTAGTATAAAACAAAGTCGTCGCCGCTGTCTATTCGCTTATATCTTTTAAATTACGCAGCAATTTTAATGCAGTTTTCAGCTGAAAACTGCATTCAAGCTGAAGATTTATATGTATAATATAATATAAACCTTTCGCTTGAATCAGTAGTAGAAGGTATATAGTATATTGTAGTATAGAACAAGTCCTTGTATACATAGTATAGAACAAGCATTCAACGATTTGTAATGCATCCATGCAAAGCCGGGACGGATCGCTAGTTAAGTTGTCTAAACGAAGTTTATAAATAGGAAATATTTTATACTTTGTTTGTATAAGAAAATCTAAAAAAACATTTCATTCAACATTGTCAGGAAATAATAAAGACGTATATTATTTTAACAAATTACGACTCTACATAATTTGTAGTATTTATAGACAAAATAATTATAGACATTATATGGCAAGTACATGAAATTATATATATAAAATATATATTCTATAGTATAAAATTCACCTTTGCAGTAAATTAAACTTAATTAGTAAATAACATAAACAGTACAAAATAATAAATTACTTATACAAGCATGATAACCTGCGAGGAACTTTCATAGATACGTATGAGTACATCATGTTCATTTCATTAGGTATGTAGGTCCGGTAGAAATTACCACAAACTGGTATAAATGGCAACAAAATTTACCAGATTGTAGAGTCTAAATATTCGTTTGCTGTACCTCAGTGAAATTACAGTATAATAGGCATGATATCTTAGTGATCTAGAATGGCAACGCATTAGTGCTATCACTGGTGTCACATGATGACGTGATGTCCATGACGCTATTCAGGTGGTTACTGCCTAAGACGGGCGGTTACTGCATAAGCATGTTTGTTAGCCATTTCAATTACAAAAAATAAAATATTCTGCCAATGTCTTTCATCTTACCTTTTTGCACTATCAGCCATTTCCCTAATAAATTTGTAAACGCTTCATTTCGGAACAGATACCTATTAGACAACTTTTTGGTTTGTTTGTATTTGTCATATAAAAAAATAATGACGGACACCAGTTTTATTTATTTTATATCATCGCAAGTTCGTAACTACTAAAACGTAATGGTTATTTGCTTAGTGGTATAGCCAAAGGAAAAGGCAGATTTGGCCTCATTTTCTCGTAAGTCTACAAAAAAAATACTCTTCGTTGCATTTGTTTCAAATTAACATTTATTTAATAAAGCACCGCCAATATTACAGTTGTAGTATAGGTATATATCTACAATAAAAATTAAAAAAATATATACATTTGTAAAAAAAATATCACAACTCATTTATAACAACAATAATTCTTACAATTATGATTAGATATAATAAGTACAAGATTTAAATCTAATTTAATTAATCCCAGTCCTTATATATTATTAATCGTTATGTGTTTCAAATATGATAAAATATTCGATACATATGTCAGTCAATACACAGCCCTATTCATACATAAAATAATGAGATAAAACTATGCTTAAAAACTCAGATTTATATTAAGAGATTGGAATTGAATTTGATAAATTAATATAACTCTTGATGTGAGACTCTGTTTAATTATTATGGTTAAAATTAAGTTGTAATATGTGATTTAGTATTATGACCCCCATTTTATACATATCTAAATAATATACTATTGAAGTATATATTTTTATTGCTATTATCCTAAATGTGAAAGTCATTACTCGACTTACAATTAGACAGGTAATTATCATTTGAAGCCGTCTTGGTGACCGGAAGAATTAACATGCCCACATTTCAATCGTTTTACTTTAAAATTAGCACAATGAGATCGTAATCAACAAATACAATATCATAGTTTTCCCTGCATGAACGGCTTGAGGTATTTGTGGAAGGAGCTGTTGACTGGCTCCGCGTTCAAAGGACTCTTCAGGGCTTCCTCCATCAGGCGCTCGTACACGCGGCCGTCGTACGCGCCCAGCGTTGAATTCAACATCTAAAATAGATGTCAATATTTGTAACTCATGTGTTAGGAAATTACGTCATTGACAACAAAATAACTACAGCGGTAATTATTTCATCTCCATAATAATATTATAAACTCGAAAGTTTGTGAGTATGGACGTTTGTTACTCTTTCACGCAAAAACTACTGAACGCATTTTGATGATATTTTACAGTAATATAGCTTATGCATCAGAATAACACATAGGCTATAAACATCATAAAATTTGACACAAGCTCCCGGCTCTATTTAGTTAAATCCGACAGGTATTCATTATAGTGATAACTAAAAATGTTTCCAGAACGAACAAACTAAAAATATTTTATTTATTGAAATTTATATATTGTAACGAGAGTGAAACCGCGGGCAGAGCGGCAGAGAGCGGGCTGAATTTTTATGTGTTTAATAGTATTAAACAAATAAAAATTAACTGACAATTTAATCATGTTATTTCCTACCAAAAGATTTTAAAGATTATTTTGAATAACAGTGTGGTAATAGAACATAAAATTTAAATTTAAAGTAATGTATGTTGCAATTTTTTTTACATGTTCCTACTTACTGGAATTGCAGGCAAGACCTCGAGCGAGTTATATTTTTAAACATTACTACAAACAGAACAACAAATAAAGTAGCTTACGTTGTCAGGTATGTCGAAAGCATCCACTAGACCAACTGCATTCGGCCGAATTTTCCTCAACAATTCTTCGTACCAATACTGGAGTTTGTCCACGTCTTCTTTACCAATTGATGTATACTGTAAAGTATTAAATATAATTACAAGGAGCGGAAAATTGATAAACATTTCTTAAAGAAAAAATATTACATTATCATTTTTTAATATTTAAAGTAATCAACAGATGGTTTAATTTCAGAGCCCAGAGAGCAATTTTGTACGTCCGAAAACTAAAGTAGTATTTTAATAATAATAATAATAATAACCCTGGACAATTCACACAGTGACATCTAGTCCCAAGGCAGAGTTTGTGTTATGAGTATTAGATAACTGATATAAGTAATGATATACATTTTTTTTATAAATACGTAGTGTGTGTGTATCGCCTTTACACAAACGACAGCATCTCAGTGTATTGTTTGGTCAAGGCTGATTTTCAGGTATTGCCCAGGGACATACACGATACAGATAATTTTATTAAAATTAAGAATCTTACCAATAATAAATCACTCAATTTTTCCAAAGCCCAATAAACAGCATACAATTCCACCAACTGCTGGAGAACAGGTCGCAGCCGCTCTGATACTGATGGCATCATTTTTGATACCTCTTCGTGGAAGGTCGAAATTATGATTACTCGGCAATGTGCCTAAAATTATAGTAGGTACTATACGCATATTTTTTCGTAACTATTTTATTACGGAAGTGGAAGGACATGCCAGCCGATATGGTCTACCTGACGGTAAGGGGCAAGCTTCACCCATATGCATAAACAACATCATGGACATCACGTCATCATATAACCGTGGTATAATTCCGATGAACTTAAGTCTCATATCCTAATACCCTGTAATTGGGGTAAAGGGATTGTAAGTAACAGGAACTAATTACTCCATCGCCAGCAATGTTGACTACCATGCAGAGACCTCTGGAAACCATCATGATAAAGTCCTGGTGAATTTGTCACGATGGGCCTACTGACCTGACCTCTTGGTCATCCTATCATCCTCCACTGATGCCCCGCCAGTGTAAACTGTTAGCGCAGGCGGGTGCATCATTCAATATTCATCAATAAAATAAAAATACAGATTTATATTAAGAGATTAGAATTGTTCAGTTATAATGTATATATCTAATATAAAATTACTTGAATTTGATAAATTAATATAACTCTTGATGTGAGACTCTGTTTAATTATTATGGTTAAAATTAAGTTGTAATATGTGATTTAGTATTATGACCCCCATTTTATACATATATAAATAATATACTATTGAAGTATATATTTTTATTACTATTATCCCAAATGTGAAAGTCATTACTCGACTTACATATAGACAGGTAATTATCATTTGAAGCCGTCTTAGTGACCGGAAGAATTAACATGCCCACATTTCAATCGTTTTACTTTAAAATTAGCACAATGAGATCGTAATCAACAAATACAATATCATAATTTCCCCTGCATGAACGGCTTGAGGTATTTGTGGAAGGAGCTGTTGACTGGCTCCGCGTTCAAAGGACTCTTCAGGGCTTCCTCCATCAGGCGCTATACTCTATAATTTTAGGGTGCCTATAGCTGTCTATGTCCGTTCTGAGAATTTTTCCTTATGTAAAGTGATCCATGCAGTACGATTACAATAAGTTGCTATGATATAGTTTTATTATTAATAGCAGTATACCTCAGCTGCGGCGACCAACTGCACAGAAGAAACGTTCCAAGAATCTTCAAAGCTCATGCCGGATACTACTCGCTTTTTCATGTTTTCAACACATGTTTTTATTTTGCTGTAATAAAAGTGAATACATTGTTTTTATGAGACTGGAATTTCGTTCTATTTAAATACGGAACATACATTACAGCCTGTAAAAACACCAGTTACTTCCAACGACAAATAAGTAAAAAATGTTACTTTTGCGTGGATATACATTTACTTTCTTATTTAGTACAAAAAAAAGTTACGAAGTTACATTGGTATCAATCTACTAACAGCTCATAAACAGGTTACAAGTAACTCGACAAGTAACAGTGCCACAATTATCACAGAATACTAGTAGCAATATTCTGCTCATTTTGCGAATTAGCGCTAACTTCAACTGTATAATGTAGTAAGCAACTAACCTTTTGTCCCTTTCCAGTTACCGTTTCACGATTAAACAACTGAACGGATTTTAATTAATTTTGGCGTATAGATAAACTATATCATGAGGACGCACTATGGCCAATCATTTACATGAAAAAAGCAGCCAAATTTGCGGGTAAAAGGTGGTATAAAATAAACATTTGAACTGACCTGGCAGCCACTACTTGTAGTCCACGAATTATTCCATCAACACTATTCTCCCATTTGCCAGCAAAGGCTCCTGCAGTTTTCAAATAAGACACCGTTGGAGTTAAGGGCTTTGTGTCAATTTGCTGCCAAGTCTTGACTAAAAATCTAGAAAATATTTTATCAAATAAAACACCTAGATTTTCCGGTAAGGTATACTTTTTATAGCATAATTGCAAATACCCTTGAGACACAGTCAATGGTAAATGCAACAGCAGATTAATTGCAGGCACGACTAAGTAGCCGGCCTTTTAAGGACAATAAACAATTTTGTTAAAGGTTTCAATATCGTAATTTTTGTGTATACTGTATTGGGGATGCCATCAGGGCCTGGTGCTGAATTGGGAGCTTTCTTTTTAATTTGAATGTTGATTTCTACTATTAAACAGACGGTTGCTGAGTTTTTGAATTTTTTGATCCTTTATATGGCATCTCGCGCTTCGACGCTTCGTATATGCTCTTTGTTGTATATCCATATATAGTAAATCTGTTTGTTAGTCAGGAGAAGTTTTCCATTTTTTTTTCCATGAAAATATTATTTGAGTACTGAAAGATGAGTAGGCATGATATCCAAGTCCTCTGGAATGGTAACATCTGGGAACCATGGTCACATGACCATGTGATGACCGTAGTGTTGTTCTTATATTTAAGCGAGGATTGTCACATACAATTAACGGACCGACAACCTCTATCTACTTTCTCGGTAATTCAACGATTTAGCATGGCATGTACTTAGATATAGTACAAATATCCCTAAATTTAAAATAATTTAAAAAAGTAACAGTTTATCCACCTCACCTAGCAGTTTGTAATAATAATACAGTATTTTCTCCCTCATAAGTACACCCGGCAGTGACCATGCCATACAAGGTGGGCAGATTTGAAGATCTCATGTATCCATGGCCACCACAAGCCCTACGGCAGTTCTCTACCAGTGCCGTAATGTCAGACGTACACATCGCTTTCAGGCAGCACGCCAGTGCATGCATCTGGAAATAATTGTGTATATTAAAAAAATATATACTAACTAAATATAGTAATGAAATAATGTTTTTATCATTTGATCTTTGACATGAGCAATATATTCATCTGTTTTTCCATTTTTTTTTTCAGAATAAATTATTATATATTATTTTTATGACAATAGACATAATGATAATGACTAATCTCAAAAAGAACATAACTAAAAGTTAAAAAAAAATGACCTCACGTCGGATCTGATAATTCCAAAAACAAACTTATTATTGTTTAAAATAACAGGTGTCTATAGGTACTAAATATGTTAAGGCAAATTTAGAAGTAGATGAAAAAAATCGTATGTGTGGGTACCTCTTTCTCACCAATTTCAGCTGTTAAACAGCTTGCTTTGTAAGCTGGTTTCCGGTTGTAGGATTAGTACTATAGTACTATGTTAATAACTATAGTACTATATCTCGATTGATTTTAATGTTATTATTAGCAGAAAAAATTGACATTATTGTAAACAAATATAGATTATTATTATTATTAGAAAACAATCAAATTACAAAATACAAACGTATGATGCCTTTGCCCTCCGGAATGGCGACAGATACCATAAGATTTAGATTATGACGACGTAATATCCGTCCATGGTGCTAACAATGTATATATGCCACGATTGCTAATTGTTACCTTGCCATCAGATGATCTGTCATTTTGTTTACCATTCCTTGTAAAAAGAATACTAAAAACATTCAGCTCAAAACTTAGCCCCTTCTATGGCACAGTCGTGCATAATTAATTTAGAATGTAGGCTGACTATATACAGCTAGGTCATTTCTCAGATTGTCCGAATACGACAATATTTCCTAAAGATATTGATACATTTGGTTGCTACTCCACGCTTTCTTCGGCATTTAGAAAACCTGACGACTAACCGACTGTATACCAGCGGTTTTATCGCATTTGTATTCACTAGTTACCTCTGGTAACCTGTCCAGGTTACCACCTTGGAGTTGTTCTTGAAAATCGTGAAATGTATCCCACAGCTTGCTACCAGTTATTCTGTAAGCGTGGCATGCTGCTATACCAATAAATAACTTATGCCGCTGCATTATATAGTCCAATATTTGTACCTCGGGTTCACTGTCAACAATTATTTTATTAGCTTCACTTACAATGGAAAAAAGTGTTACCTATGTGGTACCCACATAAGAATCGACATTACAGAAAAACTTAAATTAAATAAAAAGTCTTTAATGCTAATTAATATTTGACTAGTGGTCGATACTAATGGTCGATTTTCTAACATAACGTTTTCCTTTCGTTGAATGCTCTATTATCACCTATTATAAAAACCAGTTGAATTATATATATTTCTTTAGCGTTTTCCTTTCGTTGATGGCTCTATTATCACCTATTATAAAAACCAGTTGAATTATACCTTACATTTCTTTAGCGTTTTCCTTTCGTTGATGGCTCTATTATCACCTATTATAAAAACCAGTTGAATTATACCTTACATTTCTTTAGCGTTTTCCTTTCGTTGATGGCTCTATTATCACCTATTATAAAAACCAGTTGAATTATACCTTACAGTTCTTTAGCGTTTTCCTTTCGTTGATGGCTCTATTATCACCTATTATAAAAACCAGTTGAATTATACCTTACATTTCTTTAACGTTTTCTTTTCGTTGAAGGCTCTATTATCACCTATTATAAAAACCAGTTGAATTATACCTTACATTTCTTTAGCGTTTTCCTTTCGTTGATGGCTCTATTATCACCTATTATAAAAACCAGTTCAATTGTACCTTACATTTCTTTAGCGTTTTCCTTTCGTTGATGGCTCATTATCACGTATTAATATTATAAAACCAGTTGAATTATACCTTACATTTCTTTAGCGTTTTCCCTTTCGTTGATGGCTCTATTATCACCTATTATAAAAACCAGTTGAATTATACCTTACATTTCTTTAACGTTTTCTTTTCGTTGAAGGCTCTATTATCACCTATTATAAAAACCAGTTGAATTATACCTTACATTTCTCTAGCGTTTTCCTTTCGTTGATGGCTCTATTATCACCTATTATAAAAACCAGTTGAATTATACCTTACATTTCTTTAGCGTTTTCTTTTCGTTGATGGCTCTATTATCACCTATTATAAAAACCAGTTGAATTATACCTTACATTTCTTTAGCGTTTTCCTTTCGTTGATGGCTCTATTATCACCTATTATAAAAACCAGTTGAATTGTACCTTACATTTCTTTAGCGTTTTCCTTTCGTTGAAACATGTAACATTTAATTAATTACATCGCAACATTGTCATTCATAACAATGGCGCCCTCTGAACACCTTTGTTTAACACAAAAACCATTGTCTACAACTTGTCATCGTATTTATACAAGGTGTTATTAAAAATTTTATGACCTCGGTGGTCTAGCAGTTTAGCACACCGCCTTACCTCCTATAGTCGTGGGTTTGATTCCTCAGACGGTGCAAACATTTGGATTCATGAGTATGATTGTTTGTATTGATCTGGCTCTTTTTTATGAATTCATTAAAAAATATTAATATATTTGTTATCTAGTATCTGTAACACAAGCTCTGCTTAGCTTGGGACGAGATGGCGCCGTGTAAATTGAGATATTATTATTACTATTATTCATTCATAATATAAAAGCCGCGCTCTGGTCGGTAGAGCTCTTGCCATTTTCCACGATTTTCCATCAATCTCTTTAGTTGCAGATACTACAGGAGTCCAACTTTTTTCTTGATCTGCTTGATATAGCTGTATCTTGATCTTCTCCTTTCCAATTTTTTTTTCTATTTTTCCCTCGACTGGAATATTCCTATATTCGTATCGTATTTGTATGAAGTGCCTCTACATTTTTCGCCACCTATTCTCAATAATATTTATGATTTTATCTACATTACAATCTAATATATATACATACCCCTCTTTTAACTGTGACTGTCTACGGACAGCAGAATAACGGATGGCAATAGTGATCGCTCTGGCCAAATAATTCACCATGTCAAAAACAATCACCACCCTCACAAACACCATGGCCCCGTAATTTAACTTGCTGTTCTTCGATTTCACATATGTACCATCCTACGAATAAATTAACTATATAATTAATGAAGGTTACAAAGTTAAAAGCAATTATTCTCTTTTTATGTTAATTTTTACGTATTTTTATATTCTGTACTAATGGATGGACATTTTTAAAACGCATGCGCTGAAAGACTATAAAAAGTTATATTAGGTATATGGTGGTTTACATTTTTGAACATTTAGTGGGGATCTCTATTTTTATATAACAATAAATACGGTATATGTTACTCAGGGATAATCTAGCAATGCAGTGGTGAAACAATTTTTGCGGTCCAGTAATTTTAATGATTGTTATAAACATCGTTGGTATAGCGGTTTAGCTTACTGCCTTACTTCCGATGATATGCGATGATCCGCGGGTTCAATTCCTCGCAGGGCACAAACATTTGTATACATGAGTATGATTGTTGTATCGGTCTGGGTGTTTTCTATATATAATATGTATGTATTTACAAAAAATATATCTGTATCAGTATAACACAAGTTTTAGCTAGCTAACTTGAGTCTGTGACGCTGTGTGAATTGTCCTGAGATTATTATTATTATTATATATTTACAAAAGAAAACACGTATTTGAATCAGTTTTCTAGTACCCATAACATATTCTGCTTAGCTTGGTACTAAATAGCGATGTGGGGATTGTCCAGGATTATAATTATTATTATTTAAAAATACAAAATTTTCCTTTTGCAATATTAATATTGATTAAACAGACACAAATTACCTCTAAGACCTGTGCGTGTTTCATTAGCATCTGGTTCCTGGGTATCCTAACATTATCCAACCCCAAGAATCCATTATTGACAGCGTTAAGTCCCTGTTTAGCCCCGATCTCGCCGACCTTGATGCCAGGTAAAGGCTCATGAGTTTCCTCGTCCCTCAACTGGACTATGAACGAGTGGATACCATGGCATTCACCTTTCGTATATAATTGCGCTATGACAATGCAATAATTCGCTGTCTGCCCCACTGTAAAAAACAAATACGGACTTCTTAGAATTAGCCGTGTCCATCGCGTGGCAGAGAGAGAAACTCCGAGCAATTCCCGGGACCTGGTTGTTGGTTTAAGGGCCCTACCGACTTACGTCAACACTCACCTTCACCGTTCGTATTTCTCTCTCTGCACAGCGAAAGCTGATAGGAAATTTCTAGTGCAGCTTTAGATATACGTTGTAGTACATATAGTATTATAAAGAAATATAGTGAATTTTAATGTTCGAGGGTAATCTTCAGTACATCAGATCCGATTTTGAAAATTCATTCATTGTTATACAGGCCCTTTAATTCTATGGGCTATATAACATCATACTATAACCAATAGGAGCGGAGCTGATATGAAAAATGTTGCAATAACGGGGAAAATATGACGCAAAAGAAGTTGCGCGGATCAGTCAGTACCTACCATATATAGAACTGGCTGTTGACATTTAAACTTATCCGATTTATAGGTTTATTTTATTTTATCAAAATGTATTTCTGGTCATTACATTCAAACTTACCTTTTAGTACCTAATACCATACGTAAAATCATATTTCCTATCATAGGAACGCGAAAATTTGTAATGATTGATGAATAGATGATTGTTTGTATAAAAAATAGTACTTATACATGTAGATTATATTTAGATTTAGATTATATTTTGCATTAACTATAGTATATATTTTACATATAAATGACTTACATCCACCAGCCCACCACTTGTAAGAGCTAAGGGTGGGAGTATTCAGAACGAACTCTTTAGTTGCCGGATCGTATGTAGCTGTCGTTTCTAAGCCTCGAATAAATGTGCCATGCCCTAACTCCGTCTACAAAGAAATATATTATTATTACAATCTCTGATAAAGGTCCATACGCCAAAGCTCCACGTCAGGGGGTAGGGGATTGTTAGTAATGTGGACTAATAATCCTAGTGCTAGCAATGCATTGTGCATATCAGGTTGACCTCCACGTCTTTCCCCCTAGATACCATCGTGATAAATTCATGGTGAATTTACCACACTTGGCCAACTGACCTGACCTCATGCTCTTCTTATCATCCTCCACTGGTGCCCCGCCAGCGTGATACGTTAGCGCAGGCGGGTGCATCATTCCATTGTCATCGATAATAAAAAAAAAAGCTCAACGTCTTAATTCTGCTGTGCCGACCAATTCGAACGGGGATCCAAAATTACGATGCCTGAGCAGAGGTTCGAGCCACTAGCGGTGCTTAAAGTCGTATCCGTCAGACGGGAGTTGGCTTTCAACCGCTCCATAAATCCTTCCGCGGGTTTGAATTGCTATTTGTAGTCGCCCCTCCTATCCTCCAGTGAAGCTGTAAAGGCCTACTACGGCCAAAAGCATTAGAGTAGTCCGAAAAAAAATCTACAATACCTGCGCATAACTACCAAGAATGTTGAAGTCCCAAGCTCGTGGTAACCACTGCGCTTGCTGTTCCTCGTTGCCTTGGTTCAGTATTGCGGGCATGAACATAATGTAGTGCAAAGCTAATGCAGACCCGTCACGAACTACTGCTGAGCCCAGTAAACCTGATAATGCATCCCTGAAATGCAGGTAAAAGTGATTTTTAACTATCAAGAACTTTAGATAACTATGCTGATTATTTATAATTATTTTTTCATATAAATACCAACAATTGCACAATTTTCTATATAAAATCACTGTATTCTGCAAACAAATAGTGAATAGATGTTTGTTACTCTCACGTATACTCTACTGAACAGATTTTGATAAAACTTTACAGGAATGTAGCTTATACATGAGAATAACACATAGGCAACAAATTACCCGAGGGAGAAACAGCGGCCACAGATAGTATGGTATATATTTATTGGAGAACGTAGTCTGCAATTATGACAAAATCAATAGTGGACCACTCGTTAGAACATGTTTACAAGAAGTTTTTTTTTAAATCAGGTATCGTGTTAAAATGGGACGTTTTAAGAATCGATTAAAAATAAATTCCTACATAGAATAATTAGTTATTCTATGCTTACACTAATCTCGTCGTGAAAGCTGATTTATAATATGTATAGCTTATTACCGTTATCACAATCTAGACAAGTCTAGACGTTCTATACTCATAAATAAAAAACATGCATGAGTAAGTTAATGAAAACAGCTGATCACGACGTATTTGGTGTTTCATTTTCTCTGCCTACCAAATGGAAGGCAGCATGTATATGTAGAGTAAGTAATATAATTAAATAGGTGAAATATGCCATTCAATATGACTATGAATTATTGCATCTTACAAATACAATATTATGATATCTGTGCAAATACCTACTTTTTGGTAAGTACTCAATAATAAAGTAATAACTCATTTTATGCTAATCAATATTGACCTGAATTCGTTTAATTGCACCTTTTACGCGCGACTTCATAATTCGTGGGTCAGATAACAATGTGTAGGTATAAGTTCATGTATCAGCGACGGTTGCCACTTGTTAACAGATGGGCCAGCATTATCATTGTTTACCATTCCAATTACATAAAGAAAATCTATTATTATATCATTAGTAGTGCTCTACTACTGACAAACGTACAAGGCAATAGTTGTTCATGCACGGGATTTTTCTTTAATGTAACAAAGACACCTATATCTTATTAAAATCATAAACACAAAAGTTAGTGGGTATGAATGGTTGTTTGTTAATCTTTCACGCAAAAACTACTGAACGGATTTTGATGAAATTTTACAGTAACACAGCTTATATATCAGAATACCAAATACTTAGGCTATAAATTTCACGCGGGCACAGCTAGTAAGTACAATATGTAAGTATACGTATGTCTTTGAAAAAAAATTAAATCAGTTGAGCTTTTTGCCAGTTCTTCTCAATTATTTGTATAATGAACTGGACGATAGGAAATAAAACTTGACATTTATAATCGGCTAAAATGTGCTGTATGAAGAAATAATTCTCAAATCGGTGCATTGGTACAGGAGTTTACGTCTGCTACCTCATAAGGATATCCGCTATCTCTCTCTTTATAATATTGGTACAATAAATAAATAAATGTATTTACCTGTAATCTGTAATACTAGTAAGTCCTTCCCTCTGCATTTTTCGTACTAAGCTAAATATGGCCACTGATTTTTTTATTCCGTCCTCATAGTGTTCCTTGTGACTGAAATAATCTTCGGGCACTTCATTGCGGAATTCTTCTGAACCGCTCAACATTGCAGTATCTGGGAATTTATACCAGATGACTTTGTTTATAATAAACAATAACCCATAACAATTTATAGAGCGCTATCTATTCCCAAGCTAAGTATAACTCGCGTTATGGATACCTTCTATACTATACAATTGATAGAACTACTAAAATACATTTACATTCTTTTAAATACATACCTGTACCAATACAACCAATCATATTCAAGAATACAAATATTTGTGCGGTGCTAGGAATCAAACCCCCGACTCGTCGTAACCAGCAAGGCCGTCGAGTCGATTTATCGTACGAAAAGACGAACATGATTAATATTAAATTATTTGGTCACAGAATATAATTATAAAATATGCTACTGGTCACGCAAATGTTAAATATTATTTACTGCTATCATATTCTTATTAGAAACTCCAATCCAAGGTTTAATCCAATTTGTTGTTTATTATTTGTTTGATTGATTTTGATACATTGTAATGATATCTACTTTACATCGATGACAACATTTTAAGCAACACATTGAGTTCAGTCACCTCTCTGTTTCCGGTTGAAGTTTTTCTGCGGTCCTCCATAAAAAAATGTTGTCATTTCATCTATATCAAATGTACATTGGAGCCTTTCTTTCAGTAAATCTTTGTTTACTTCACTCATGATGCTGTTGAAGTAACGACCGTAGATAGACAAGATGCGCACACGACCGACCTTCGGAGAATACGGTTTGATACTGACATATGGGTGTCCCGAGTTTATGAGCAAATGCAAGTAATGTACATAACTAGCGGTTAAAATTTATATCGTTTAATTCATTCAATCATAATATCAATCACGCAACACGCAAGCCATATTACACACGTGATCAATTTTAGTATAGTTCAAAATCTTCGTGTAGACTTTGAACGCAGTGATAAGTTAGGAGTATTGTTTTGCGTAAGTATCCCAGGTCGATTATCGCTTGGACAACAAGACAACTTTTTTGAATTTCGTCGTATGTAGATGTTTTCGATTTTCCACATCTTCCGCATCCATAATAGAAAGTATTATAATTGAAACGTTGAAAATAACTTGACATATGGAGTTTCAATAGTTTAAATTAATACGTAATTAGACACTGATACTTATTCGGTCATGGAACCAAAATTATGATTTTAACTAATAAACCAATTGGTTCGGACAAATTCCATGAAATTTTTAATTAATTAATGTTTCTGGTGAGTATAATTGCTAACAGTTTTTATTCAGGGTCTCATTGACAGCAGAAACGCAAATTTTACCTTCGTCATCGACATTCATCAGTCATATCATAATTTTACTAGACAGGCGGTTTCTCTTGTATTATTAAACTTTAAAAAAACATCATCATGACTGTTATCTCAGCCGGACACCGGATTTTTTTAATGTATGATGATTAAAAGATGCTGTCGCCTACGTTACGGTATACGCTGGCAGGACATCAGTGAAGGATGATACGATGAAATTAGAGATATTATCACAGTAATGTTGTACCCAATACTAAACATTTCCACATTTCACTCGGTATACTTGTATCCAAAATGCGATCATACCGTCATGTCTAAGTTTTTTTTTCTTGTATGATTTCGGATTTGGATGTTATTCAAGGTCAAGCCATGTCACTGTCTCTCTTGCTTTGTTTTAGAATTTGTGATTCATTCCTTAATTACCTATATGACATCCTTGTAACGGCGAGGAGTGGTGTAATTTGTTTTCTTTGTCACCAAATTTCCACATCGTTTTGATGAGATTGTTACCACTAAATTATCAATTTTAAAGGATTTTTGCGTCGAGTATGATGTTATTTTGGGTACTTTAAAATGAAAAATGCGTTACGATCCCAGATCTTTATTGGATCATGTATTTAAGAACAATAAAGCTATCACTTCTTGGCGGTGACTGCGGCCTCGTCTTCCCTCGCAAAGGTCTGTAGAAGCTCTTCTTTCTTGGCGGCAATACGTTCTTCACGTCGCTTGCGCGCCTCCTTCACCTTGTTACGACGGGCCTCAGCCTGGTCACTGCAATAAAACAGGCAGTTTAATTTTATATAACAACTAATAAATATTCTGCCTCAATTTCGTATAGCTACAAATATTGCATAAACTTTTTTTAAATAATATGGCATTCCCAGCTGCTTTCTTTCTATTTATTTTTTTATTGGTTAAGTAGATTTTGAATATTAAAATTTTGATACAGAAATCAGATGTGATAAATTATTGCAATACTAATTGAAGATGAAATTCTTTCCATTAAAAAATAAACATAATGCTAGTAATTTTTTTAGAACTATTCTAATGCTTTTAGCCAAAGCTAACTTTTACAGCTACACCGAACGATAGGCGGGCGTCAGATGGCACTCCCAAACAAGCTAAAAAGACTTATCGAAGGACTGAAGGCCAACTCCAGTCTTACAGATAGGACATTAATCTGAATGCAAAGAATTGTGACCAGAATTACTAGGCTAGGCTTCAAGTTTACATTAATATAAACATTTTAATTCAATTTTTTAGCTGCCAAGCCAAATTTCTACAAAAGCCGTTTTAATATAGACTAATATTAAGATCATACCTAAGCATCTTAGTCCTAGCCTTCTCAGCCTTCTTCCTGTGAATGTACTCCATGAGTACACGCTTGTTCTTGAACACATTACCCTTCGCCTTCATGTACAGCGCATGGTACAGATGTCTGTCAATCTTTTTTGCAGTTCTGTACTTGAGTAGCAGTTTTCGAAGAACTCTTTGTCTTTGTACCCAAAGTTCCTGTGAATAAAATGTGTAAATACAGTTAAACCTCACTTAACACTGCTTCTTTTAGCACTCCTTTATTTCAACCTGGGGATTCAAAACATAATGGAAAAACATTGAGGAAATAGTTCATCTTTCTAATAATGAGCTCAAGGAATTAACTGAACGTAAAAAACAAAAATATTAATAGTAGTGATTCTGAAGAAAGACAGCCTTGTTTAACAATTTCATTTAGAGCTAGTACTTATTGGAACATATCCCATAAGTGAGGTCTTACTGTATAGTTTTTCTACATACAACTAAAAGTACACCTGTAGACAAGCGCCAATCATTGGGCCATGTATAAATATAACAGTACCACATTATGTGATGCTCCTGATATACCTCATGCAATGTCATACTAGTGGACTGTTCTAGCATGTCTCCACAACATGTAATTTCACTGAAGATATAGCAGCCTTCAATCAAAACACACCTTACAAAACAAGCAACTTAGCTGCTGAAATATGTGCTATAAAGGTCACAGAGGACTCTACAAAGTTTGTTGTTTATTTTGTTTATATATAACTTAGATTTAACAACAGTGTAAAGTAAGTACCATGTAGTACACTATTAAATAAACTTACTAATGTAGTTCAATTATTACACCTGTATATTAACTACCTCCATACTACACAGGAAACGAAAAAATTAAGTAGTGACAACTCATTATATCATATATGATGCTACAATACTACTCAAAGTATTACACTCTGCATCCTTTATTTGTTGCTCTCTTTAGAATATATGCACTTTGACTACATTCCCCAATGTTAACATCAGCAGAATTAAGCATAGCAAAATGGCTACTAAATATGCTAGGAATCAATCACTTAGCAAGATTGCTACATATAAAATTAAAGCTTTAAACTATACAAATGAGTACACTATTGTATATTGTATCTGATAATATTTTAATACCATCAATATAAAAATAACAAAATTTTAAAATATTGAATGTATAAAAAGTTTCAAAAAATTTCAAACTTTATTTACATACAGTAAAATTTTATTTTATTTATATTATAGTGAGGATTTCCAGCTTATATGCCCACAAAAGTATAAACTGAAAACCAGCACTGGGCACACTGCAGTCCAGCTATAGCCGTGTTTGTGCCTATTGCCAATAATTATAAATATTTTGTTTTTTTTTTTCGGACTACACCTATGCTGTTGGCCGCAGCTGGTCTTTACAGCTTTACCGGACATTAGTGGGCAAGTGCAGATGGCACTCCAAAGCCGCAGGACTTATGGAGTGGCTGAAGGCCAACTCCTGCCTGCCATATTTTGTATAATTCTATAACTGTATCATTGTACTATTGTAGGCAATAAATAAATTTGTTATTAGTGGACATACAATGAAACGTGGATGAATATATTTCCAAGTTTTTCAGAGAATAAACATTGCAATGTTGACAAGCATTTAAAACTTACCTTCTGTGGCATACGCGCATTGGCAGTACCTCTTCTCTTACCGAAGCCGCAATGACGTCCTTTCCTACGTGCTTCTGTGTTCTTGCGTACTCGGGCGCGTGAATGTACCGCTACTGGTTTTTTGATTACGAGACCATCCTTGATCATCTTACGGATGTTTTGCCCTGAAAATAAAAAAAAATAAAAAATTTACATATACCTACTTATTTATAACTTTCATTTTAGTGATATAAATATTTATTATTTACTGAATTCATGACAGTTGTTGAAATTTTAACTGAACTACATGATTCTAATCTCATAAACAATATGATATTAATGGGGATACAAGCCGACAAGCAGTCCCATGCAGCCGTAGTCGATTCAAATAAATAGACGGTACTCACTCGAGTTGGTATTAGCGATTTCGCTGATTTCATTTGGATCCAACCACACCTTCTTTTTGCCGCATCGCATAACAGAGGCTGCAAGCCTCTTCTGTAGCTTTAAGGAACTGTAAATAAAAGAATAAACGTCGTGACCACATGGTGCCGTAATGGTTATCACTTAGATACCCCAGTTTTCTGGAAAAGTCGCAATCTTCTAAGAAAACATAACAATTCTTCAAATAAACATTGAATTTACAAAATTTACACATTGAGTTTAAAAATTAGATGATTATTTCGTATTTTTATAAAAAACTAACCTCATCGTGACACGGTGAGACCCAACGCAAACAAGAAAGAAAAATTAATATGGCGGAACTAGAGTTGGACTATACATCGATGTTATTAATCGATTTCAATTTAACCTAGACTGTGAAAATTAAACAGAAATTAAACATTTTTCTTATTTTAATTTCTTTTATATTTGGTTTAGATAATAAGTAATTTTACACTAACCCAAAATGTGTAAAAAAAGAGCCCTTAAGGCTCATGTAATATATGTATATTATGTACTATATGATAAATAGTCTAATAGTGAAAGAGCAAAGTATTTTTTTCATTAATTAATATAATATGATCAATTATATTCCATGTCTAAGTCATTCTCACTTATCCGTAAACATTAAACATATATATATACCCTATACTTTCATAACGTTTATCGAAATAATATATCAATCGATTTTTGTCTTTAATCGTAGGGCGATAGCAATGTCAATCCAATTAGAGAAAATAAAGATTGTTAAGGTTTTTTTAATAAATAATTGACAGCTTTGTAATGAATTGCATATATCAAATAATAAACAGAATGCTATAAAAAATAAAACACTTTTATTTAATTACTGTCATTAAATAAATTGACGACAATTATTGTCATTAGGCTTGGCGTACATTACATGTTTTTACAACTCTACTTATTTTGTCTTTGGTACGTTACTGAAAATTGACAGTGACATTCACTTCGTGACGTATACTTCTTGCTTTTTATTGTCTAATTTATTTTTCATAGTTGTCATTATTGCCTATTTTTACATATATCTGTCCGGCTCTCATATAAAATCTACGTTATTCTTGCAGTCTTGCAATCATTTCGTCAATTTAATTAATTAGCTTATCTCTTCCTTTAAACTCATTAACTATATTCCAAGATTTTCTACTTCCGAAAGTCACTATCTTTCCATTCTATTCCATTATTTACTAAATAAAGAAAGTTTAATTGTATAAAATGAGTAAAACTAAAGTTAACGATGATTTGCAAAGAGAAAGGGACAAGTGTACTTTTAATGTAACGGAATTAATAAATATAATCGATGGAGGAATACAAAAAACCGAAGAAAGAAAAAAACAAGGTACTTAATTTTATTATTTCCTTTTATTATAAACTACTTTTTACGGGTTCAAAAACTTTCTAAACTTGGTTCAAGTATTATTCTGGTAACAGTTCTTATTATACAAATAATCTTACAAGCAGAAATGTAAATAAAAGTACAATGAATTGTTACAAATATTTTTGTAAGAAAATGAAAACTTCATTATTAACTCCTAAGCAGATATATTAATTTTAATAAAAACTTTATTAAAAGTATTATTATATTTCATACTACCATTACTCATTTTATGTTCTTACATAATATAAATACTTGAGTAGTTACTATTTTCACCATTCTTGTCTGAAGACAAAGGACAGCTTCAGAGCCATTCATTCTGTTTAGTAGTAGGTCAGCATAGTTCAAAGTACACCTGCCTTTAACCTTGTCTGTAACCTTTTGTGTCCACTAGATTTTGAAAAATATTATTTATATTGAATATTTCCAAATATAGGATATCAGTGTTGTAGTATTGTAGTATTTTCTCATATCCTTCCTAACTTATTTGAATGTGTCATTTTATTTTTGTTTTTATAAAATTTTAAACTCTTGTCTTTTGTTCAACTAAGTTAATAATATCTTTCATTATAATCATAATAAAATTAATCTCATATAGCTCAACTATGAAGTTATTTAGTCCAATATAGCTATCCCATCAATATGAAAGGGTTTATACTTTCTTATTTATACAAAATGGTGTTCTAAATACATAAGTCCCTGTCATAAAGAATCATGCTCCCTACTCTTAAGGGACTAAACATATACAGATGCAAAATTTGAATAAACACTCAATATAATTTTTTAAAAATCACTTATAAGCTACAAAAACTATTCTGAATATCACCACATCACATATTTCATATTAGTAATAACAATGATATTGATAAGCATCTTGTTTCTATATAATGATAGTAAATAGAACAGTGGATTATAATAGTTATTATGTAAGCAATTGTGGTAACTTTCTAAAATGAGCACTGGCTAAAGCCTCAACAGTTATAAGGAACATCACAATTTCATGCAACATGGAAAGTGTTTCATATAACTTGAAATCAAACTTTTGCTTTATATTACTGAACTAGTAGTCAAATTGTAGCCTTTATTTAATAATTAATAGTAATAATTATAATAGAGTAATCATAACATTTCTACATAATATAACACAGGAGTTCCTTATTCACTGAGAGAAGTCCTCAGAATACCAAATTTTTTCTTTCAATGTTGTCGGTTGGACTCCATTTTCCGCAATTGGCCTCTCATTTGGGCCATTGTGCATGTAGAGCCAGGCTACTAAAGGAGCCAGCCAAGCTACTCCCAAAAGCGCAGAAGTCTTCTCTTTCGATGTTATAGTGAAGAGTACATTCACTTATTTCCCTCTGTAAAACATTACATCTGTCTATCATGATTTTATTAAGATTTTTCTTAAATCTTCTTCTCATTGTTTCTATAGGCTTGTATATCATTTTCTTTACTTTGTTGGCAGATCTCAAATGTTCCTACAATTGCCATGAATAATTTATTAAAATATTCATATGTATTGTGTTGTCATATTACAATAATTGCAGGTCAAAGTTCTCATTACTCAACATTTAATTTAGATATATCTGTTTGTAAAATATTGTATACTAGCACCCCGGCCTCGCACGGGTGCAATGCTGATACTAAATATACCTATCTACTACAGGATCTCCTTATAAACAAAGTTTATTACGTTTTTGTCATTAGACAATACAAAAATGATTTGTTTAGCGCCGCCGGCCGGGCCGGTACCGCCGCACCACTATGTTCTTGTATTTTATATGTCTTTAGAAATATTCATTTTAAATTACATACTGTAAAGAGCCATATTGATCTATATTAAATTGACAATGTATTTAAGGTACTTAATTGGATAAAAATTAATGCCGTATTGCTTAAAATAACTACGTAAAAAAGCCATTTTTCCCATAATTGGTTATGTGGGTTATCCTCAAGAGATAGACATATACCATTCCAGACTTTTATGTTGACCTTTTTAAGGTGTACAATACTGTAGAACATTATTTTGATTTAACTCGTGGGGTTCAGCCAGCGTTTGTAATGTAAGCGCAAAAAAATGTTTATTTACGACAACACATTAGAAACCTCTTAATTGATTTATTATTGTGTCTCTACAATATTATGCATGTATTATACATATAAACCTTCATCTTGAATCATTCTATCTATTTAAAAATAACCGCTTCTTCTTGCGTAGTTTTAAAGATTTAAGCACAAATAGGGACGGACAGACGGCGACAGCGACTTTGTTTATACTTTGTAGTGATGATACATTTTTTAGTTCATACTAGTCTTTAATGGCAACTACATATAATAATATATAATACACAAATTGACTCATAAAAACTAGTCACCTCATCCTTATTTCCAGGGCAGCTATAGCATTAGAATAGTTTAAAAAATCCTTCATTCCAACTACTAAATGTGTATAATTTTCTATATGAATGATAGGTGTTAAGTTGCAAAAATGAAGAAACTTGTTCATTTTTCCAACTTAACTTATTGACATTTTAATATAAATCATGGTTTTTTAAATTGAGTTTGGCAGTTGGTTGTTAGTTGATGGTATTGCATTAACAAAAACATCTGTATAAAACACAACACTTTACCAATTACCATTTAGAAATAGTATGGCAGTAATGATGATGAGGTCATTAAGTATGATCAATAAGTAACTGATCCTCTGACAAAACTTTTGGCACACATAACACTAACACACACATAACATTTTGATATGATTCCTCTCTCTTTGTTGTAATCAAATGTATATTTTATTTTCATTGCAGAGGACATGGTCCTGAAGGAAGGCATTCATTTAGAGCAAGTGCCTTCTGAATATCTCAGTCACAAGGAAAAGTATGAGCTTGCTGTTAAAAAGGCATGTTTGTTATTCAAAGTGATAAGGAGGATGCAGGAAGAGGAGAATGCTGGCATGGAGAATTACAGGTAAAAATTAGCATACAATTATAGTACTTGCTAAAAATTAGAGAAATGGAATATATTTCATTGTTTAAAATCAAATTTGCCACTTTGTGACCAACAGCAACATAGGTCGTAAATAAATCTATTTTTACACAGTTAAGTGTGGTGAAATATCTAAATTTATTTATATGAAGATACTGTATTAGGTACTAATATTTTACAATACCAATGTTTTCTAATACTATCTTTCTCCCACTGCTCTACTCTCTACGGTCATGGGCTAGGTCTGCTTTTTTTATTCAAGTAGGAATTATTTATATTCTGTTCAAGTATACCATGGTAAAATAAAATTATATAAATTTATTTATTTTTAGGGCTGTACTAGGAGGGAAATTAGGTTCAGCAATTCTGCAAGATGGTTCACCCTTAACTCTCCACTATGTAATGTTCATACCAACACTGATGGGACAGGCGTCAGTGGAACAGCAAGTGCACTGGATAGGAAGGGCGTTCGATTTGAACATCATTGGAACCTATGCTCAGGTTTGTATTAGTTAAACACTGAAGCGGGTGTGAGTGCGCGGAACCATTAAGTTTCATTACATATTTATTACAAGTCACCTATCAGTCCTTACCTAATTAATCTAAGGAATTCTGTGCAACATTTCTTGATTATACCATATCTATAATTTTAACTATGTGTTAATGAGTTGAATTTATCGTGTGATAAATTGTTAGTGATTTGTCATGATAGGCGATCTGATCTGAGCTCATTTTCATCTTATCATCCCCACTGGTGCCCCCCCACTGGTGTCGTAATGACAGCGCAAACGGGGTACAATTCCATTATCGTTGATTGAAAAAGAAACATGTATGTTCCTTCAATATCGTTATATAGCCAAAACAATGCTAAAAATATCATGCAAGACGTGCCAATGCAATGTGTCACTATATAATCTGTGGTAAACATTGTATTGTTTGGTCTACAGGAGTTTGAACCTGCACTACTTTTTAATAATTAATCGCCTGTTACTTTATACCCAATTATTGTACCAGACGTATGACCAATGACGTCTGAATTATGAACCCCACCGGTCAGTTGATAACCTACGGAACGATAAATATTTGTTGTCTAATAAAATCAACTACACTTATTAGTGTTATTATTATTAGAGTATATTTCGTTTCGAGTCGTATGTTTATATATTTAAACTAAATACAGAATGTAAACAATAATATATGTTAAATACAAGATTACTCTTAGTTTATATTGTAAATTTGAGAATGCATCTTTATATCATCATCTAAGACAGTCATGTCAATGATACGAATATAGAAAATAATACAACGTAAATGTTAGTTATATTTAAACATATTTTCACTTATTTATTTTCCCGATTTAACTAATGACTCCCTTGCACCTCCATAAAGAATATAGAATAGAATAGAATAGAAAATCATTTATTCAAATAAACTTAATTTAAGCACTTTTGAATAGTCATAACAATTTGTTTTTTATCTACCACTCGTTCGGAAAGCTGTCTCATCACAAGAAGAACGAGCAAGAAACTTGTGTGTTGCTCTTTTAAATAATCCTTGTAAGTTTACATTTACAAGTCGAAACGTGTGAATACAAACTACCAACAAGCACTAATTTTTTGGGTCAAATATAATCATGCAATAAGATTAAATCAGTCGTAGTGATAAGAGCAGACCATACAAGCAGCACTCGTTCACGAGTATGACGGATGAGCCAATCACTGCGCTCGACCATATTTTAGGGAGCCCATTGACCCGGCCCACCACGCCGCCACATGTCTGGACATTTTAGTGAGCATGACTACTCATTCCACACGACCACGTCACAGCTACAAAAATTACTATATGGTAGTTACAGTATTCGCACTTTACATAAGGATGCATGCGGCAATCAATACAAAAGCCGCTACGCTATCATATATCAAGAAAGCAGTATGAAAATTAAAATTCATTAGATAGAGCGTTGTCTAAAAAAGAAATCGAAATACGATATCAATTTGCAGTATAAATATCAACTTTAATATTTTTAGACGGAACTCGGACATGGAACATTCATCCGAGGCCTGGAGACTACAGCGACGTATGACCCCAAAACAAAAGAGTTTGTGCTTCACAGTCCTACACTCACTTCATACAAATGGTGGCCCGGCGGATGTAAGTTCTTTTGTTTATTTATATACAAAAATAGACGAAATAAGATGGCTAAATATTTAGAGCTAATACAACATAATTAAGTTTTCTGCGCCTAAAAACATCTAATTTAGCCATACTTAGACATCTAGTCATCCGTACCCATCTGCAACCAATAACTATTGAAAAAAGGTTAAAAATGTCAAATTTAAAGAAAGATAATAAATAAATAACCCTGGACATGTAACACAGCGCTTCTAGTCCCTTACAACTGATATAATACTTAGATATTTTTATTTTGTAAATACATACATAATATACATATAAAACGCTCAGACCGTAACAAACAGTCATACTCATGAATACAAATGTTTGCACCGTGCGAGGAATCGAATCCGCGATCATTGAAAGTACAGCGGTGTGCTAAACCGCTAGATCACCGAGGCAGTCAATATGTATATAGATAAAGAGAGAATGTTTAATTTGCACTTTATAAGAATAACAAGTGCTTAAGACCGAACATTCTATTGTTTTATGACTTACATAAGTAACGACATATTCAATTTCTAACTTGAAGCCAACAATATCGAAACAATGCTATTATTTCATACTAACTATTGCCACTTCATTACAATGGTCAACAATAACATTAATATAAATAAATCTTTCTTTAAAAAAGTTCTCTAAAACGGCTACTATTGTATAATAGGAGCCTAAATTATTCCATTAAATAATATAAAAATACATGATTATTCAACATTTCTACCTAATGAAAACAATATTTAATCAATCTGTTATTTAACTAGCTGATAGAAAAAGATAAATAATTTCATTATCTTGTTTTTATTTGTTTATCAGTTTTTTTTTCGTAAGCATATCGTATTTTGCACCAGAATATCTCGACTCTACATTAAAAATGTGGACCTTCTACTTACGAAAACAAACAGATAAAGTACCAATAATAATTGATAACAGGACATAAAGGACGTCACTGTAATTGTTTGGGTTACTGGGTTTGTTGTCCTCAATATTAAAATTGATAACTCCAATAATTACACAAATGAGTATAAGTTGTATTGTATTTACAATATATGTATAATATTTAGAAAGCTATGTGAAGACTAAGCTATCGTTTCAAAATGGATTACAAAATCAAAAAAATCTCGTTCTAGAAACATTTAATTATTACTATAATGATCATCCATCGGATTTAGCTGACTACAAAATGGCGAGAGCTTGTATCAAATTATCATAAAGTTCCATTAAAATCCATTCAGTAATTTTTGCGTGTAAAAATAGTATTATAAACTTCCGCGTTTATAATATTAGTAAGATTACTACTTTCACAGTAGTAGGATATAGTTTTATTGCCCCAGCTGGCCATATTCTCCAATGAAAAATAGTGGTAATACATGGCATCTTACTGTATTACCATATAAAAAATAGTAGATATTTAATATAAATCAACTGTTGCTTTCGTTCTTTTAGTGGCTCACACTGCCAACTATTGCATAGTTATGGCACAACTTTACACAAAAGGACAGTGTCATGGCATCCACCCATTCATCGTCCAGCTCCGTGACGAGGAAACTCATATGCCACTCAAAGGTATAAAGATTGGAGAGATTGGCGTGAAGCTTGGCATGAATGGTACCAACAATGGCTTCCTGGGATTCGAGCAAGTGAGAATCCCACGGGAACACATGCTAATGAAGAATTCTAAAGTTCTGGAGGTATGTGAGGAATATTTCTCTTAGATGTCAATGAACGTAATAAATATGAATACAATATTAATAGCAGATTATTAATAAATAAATAATACAATTATTATTATTAATTATTACAGGATGGTACATACGTGAACTCACCAAGCTCGAAGCTGGCGTACGGCACCATGATGTTTGTACGCGTCGTACTGGTGACAGACATGTGTAATTACATGGCAAAGGCGGTCACCATAGCGATGCGGTACTCCGCAGTCAGGCGTCAGTCGCAGCCGAAGCCCAAGTTAGTATTTTATATAGAATTTGAAACATTTTTTATACATACAAATTTAATGTGAGCACTTTTGAATAGACATATAATATTTATTTTGTTCTATCATTCATACGGAGAGGAACTTGCATGTTTCTCCTCTAGATAATATATTATACGTCAAAGTCGGCGTCTAATGTACCAAGATTACCAAGCATATGTTCAAAAAGCGATGAATATTTGTAAAATTGGAAAGGAAGGCTCATATTAATTTTGTTACCATCAGTACATGTTTTTATGAAAAATAATTATCACAACTTGCTTTTATACATTGATTTAAGCGAAAGGAATTGTTATAATAAACTAATAATATATAAAGTACGATTATTAATTCCAGTCAGTAAAATGACAAGTGCAACTGTCACTGATACAAAAAAGGGTGACCCGCTACAATAGTGATGTTCGGCAATCAATAGACTTAGACATTTAGTCACGCTTTATTTTATTAGGTATCAAAACCTTTTTTTTATTTTTAATATTTAATACATATCGTATTAAATAATACGATTTTAGAAATATGGACCTTACCAACATATTAAAATTTCTCATTATAACATTATTACAAACGCTGGGAAAAAATGTAAAAAGAGATTCAGAGAAATTAATACTACAATTTTTATTTAGTTAAAGGCAAATTGATATTGAATAAAAAAAATGTAATCTCGAGTAACATCACTATTTAATTGGGACTAAAAACCTGCAACACTGGAAATGTCATTTTACTGACTGGAATTAATAATCTTACTTTAGTAGTACCTAATATGCTCTTGTTTGTTGGTTTGTAGCGAACCGGAGCCTCAGATCCTAGACTACCTGACGCAGCAGCACAAGTTATTGATCGGAGTGGCGTCGGTGCACGCGTTCCGTCTTAACGCTGACTGGCTCTGGAATATGTACAACAATGTCACCGCAGAACTGGACGCCGGTGACCTGGAGCGGCTCCCTGAGGTATTGAATAATCATATATATAATAATAGTTAGGCCCGCGTGAAATTTATAGCCTATATGTTATTCTAATATATAAGCTTTACAGTTTCATAAAAATGCGTTCAATAGTTTTTGCGTGAAACAGTAACAAAAATCAATCCGTACTCACAAACTTCCGCATTTATAATATTAATAATATGATATACCTGGACAATTCACACAGTGTCATTTAGTCCCAAGTTAAGAAACCAGAGCTAGTTATACACTACACAACTCATTAGAAGTACTTCAGTTTGATTTGTAAATAGTTAGACCAATACAAACAATTATACAGGGAATCGAATCAGCGACCAAGCGTAGATATTAGACGATATATAATAATATTTATTTATTACCAGAAAACAAAGACATGCTTCTTCTATATCTTATATATAAAATTCTCGTGTCACAGTTTTCGTTCCCATACTCCTCCGAAACGGCTTGACCGTTTCTCATGAAATTTTGTGAGCGTATTAAGTAGGTCTGAGAATCGGCCAACATCTATTTTTCATCCCCCCAAATGTTAGGGGTAGTCCACGCCTAATTTTTTTTTTATTTTAAGACAAAACAACGTTTGCCGGGACAGCTAGTAATACATATTTTACATACTATATTTTGCCTGGTTATGATACAATGTATATTTCGTGTTGTAGTTGCATGCGTTGTCGTGTTGCCTGAAAGCTGTGAGTACAGCGGACGCGGCGGAATGTGTGGAGCGATGTCGGCTCGCGTGCGGCGGACACGGATACATGCTGTCCTCCAACCTGCCCTCCACGTACGGACTCACCACCGCCGCCTGCACCTATGAAGGCGAGAACACTGTGCTGCTGCTGCAAACCGCCAGGTAACACCATTCAAAGTTAATTAACATAAAATATCTTTATTTATGTAGGTCTAATATAGACTTATGATCAAATCTACCGTCAAATTAAGGATATTCTTAGGAATTATTCGGATTAATACAAGGTGCTGAATTTCATCGCACTACCTGATAAAATATCTGGACTGCGTACTAAAATTATAAGTTCTTGACTTGACCACGACTTAGTGACCCCCTCCTGGCGCCAAAGCTGGATCCGCCCTTGATGAGTGGTCTACCACCATTTTTCCAAAAACTTGACAACGCACACACTCACGCTCACTCTGTGCGGTCACGTGACCAATTCATCACGTGTTCAATATACTACGAAAAGTCGAGAATTTATTTTCAAATTTCGATATTGCTTCTCGATAAAAGTATTTCTGTTACATGAATATTAAGCCTGGCTTGATTTGGTGTATACTTTAGATCTAAACTGATAAAATCTTTAAGGAAAAAACTTAACCCTACTACAATGGTAATAAGGTCGATTTTCCTTGATCATGATGATATGATGATGATGATATTTGCATAGGTATCTGGTGAAAGCGTGGCAGCAAGCTATCGGTGGCCACACCCTCACACCTACGGTGTCATACATCGCGACAGTGAACAGTGGCAGGAGATTGCCGCCCTGGGAGAACACTATCGAGGGGATCATCACAGGCTTCCAGAGAGTCGCTGCAGGGTAAGTCCTACTTATTACTACCTACAGTACTTTATAGTTATTATCATTTTATTACTGTCTCACCCAGAGACGCGTTGCCCTAGTTCAATACTTCTCTTATTGAGATCATTAAATTATTATATACTAGCTGTGCCCGCGGTTTCACTCGCGTGATATGTAGCCCATGTGTTATTCTGATATATAAGCATTTTACTGTAGTTTTGTTAAAGTTCATCCAATAGTTTTTGCGTGAATAAATAACAAACATCCATCCCAAAGTATTATTTTTTCATAGTATATATCATATATCCATTGGACATGCACTTCAATTAAAAATAGATATACTAGTAAAAACAAAATTAATATATTATGTTTTAATATTTTTTTTATAGAAAAATCGGCTTGTGCGTATCAAACATCGAGAAGCGTCAGAAAACGGGCTTGTCATACGAGGACGCATGGAACATAACCTCAGTTCAGCTCGCCTCAGCATCAGAGGTACGCACATTAATTCATAATTCTTTAATTTGTATTGTTTCTAGGCTTAATAGTTCGATATCTATCTCATGGATAGAATATAAAATCATTAATTCAAGTAAACTTACATTGAAGCACTTTTGAATAGTCATTACATTTTTTACATCTACCGTTTATACGGTAAGCTGGATCACAAAAAGAATGAGCAAGATATTGCGTGTTGTCTTTTTTAATCTATGAATACTGTTAACGTATCTCAGGGAACTTTTTAAAATCAGTGAATAGAGTTGGGAGAGAATAATTACAGATACTACGTTATGATGTTATGTTCCTCACCTTTCAACACAGAAGTAAAATCGAAGAGTAAGGTGTTTGCCAGGAAATATATAATAAAAATTTAAAAATAAATTAAACACTAAGAATGACACTACTTCTTAAGTTAGCTTATGTTTAATCTAATTGTATTTTTATTAAGTTAGGTCCCTAGCTTAAATTAGTTTTTTTAAGTAAGAGAGCTCTAAATGGCTCGTAATCATAAACCCAGGGGTTGTTGCCCCCAGAGTTGATGCTGAGGCAAAGGGGTTCGCCCCGACGCCCCAACCTTCACCCTCTGGGGGGGTGCGGTTGACCAATCTCAGTCAATGTGTGATCCACACAGATGACTTTATATTACTCTTCCTCTGCCTAAACTTTTAATAGAACCCTATTGATAGAATTATTTAATCTGTAATTAAATCAATGATGTTGTGCAGGCTCACTGTCGGGCAATACTTCTCTACACTTACTACACGGAGACAGAGAAGCTCGTGGAGACTGTGTCGCCGGCGTTGAAACATGTCTTAGTGCAACTAGTCGACTTGTATGTAGTTTACTGGGCGTTACAGCGACTTGGCGATCTGCTCAGGGTAAGTAATTTAATTTAATACCAATTTATTTATGCCACGCGTATGGGCTACGCTAATTTACGTAATTAGATGGAAATAATACATACATGAAGTCCATTCTACAATGTATAATATAATTATACTAATATCATAAATAAGTATATATCATATCGTATAAGCTAATATTACTGTAAAGTTTCATCAAAATCCGTTCAGTAGTTTTTGCTTGAAAGAGTAACAAACATCCATACTAACAAACTATCGCGTTTATATTATTAATAAGATGTACTACAGAACTTTTATAAATTTAATATAAGTACTTTATGATGTCCTAGCCATATATTACAGTGCTGGTCACATGTATCATTTACTGCCTATGTTATTCATAATGATTGTCCATTATGTATATTATTATTATATGTAAATTTAGTTTTCTTAAAAATACCAAGTAAATTTACTTTCAATGTCTTCTTCAGTTCACATCTATATCAGAAAAGGACATCGACGAGTTACAGAAATGGTATGAAGACCTACTGACTAAGCTGCGACCAAACGCCGTTGGATTGGTCGATGCCTTTGACATTAGAGACGAGGTGAGATGAACTTATTTCTTCTTTCTCTATATATAAATCAAATAATATTACTGGCACAAAAAAATATATTACAATAAGATTATTAGGAATATTGTTTGCTGGAGGGATATTGCTATGTGTGAAGAAATGTATAAAAAGTAAAACAAAACAATATCAATGTTCATTTGTGATGTTCCACATTTGAATTTTAGTTTAGTAAGTAGATTTTGCTCAGTAAACATGATTTAACCATGTTTTAAATTTATTAAAAAGTAATTCCAGTATATCATTAGTATATTATTATTATTATTAAAATTTTATACCGATTCCCAAAAAACCATTGAGTTTTTCTAAATAATATTTAGGAACAGCAAGTTTATCTTTAAATCATGTAACAAATATAGCTTGATAATAGAAAATGTTGTAGATTTAATTTTATAAATAAAAATATACAATAACAGAACTATAAATTTAAATACAAATTTAGAATAAATAATACATTTCTGATTAGCCAGTACAATATACAACAAAAACCAACAATATGCTGAAATTCATACTTATATTACAGATTTTACGTTCAGCACTGGGTGCATACGACGGCCGTGTGTACGAGCGCCTGATGGAGGAAGCCATGAAGAGTCCTCTGAACGCAGAGCCAGTCAATAGCTCCTTCCACAAGTACCTCAAACCGTTCATGCAGGGAAAGCTGTGATCTTATGACATTATTTTCTTTTTTTAATTATTTCACTTTGTACTTAGTCCTTAACTGAAATGGTTATAAGAAATTCATAATATCTATTAATCACTGTTACTATTATAATGTTGATGATTGTATCCCAGGTAGGGTTGCCAGAAATGAGGCCAGGATTGCAAACTGTGTTGTGGTGAAGAAAAGATTTGGTAAACCTACATTTTACCCAACAATATTGACGTAACAATGTCACTTTTAATTTATTTAATGTCAATTACAACTCGGTTGGTAATGAACTTTTAAGAACTTCTCAGGCATTTGCTGGAGAACAATAACGAAGGCTATTCATTAAAAGGCTATGATAATAGTAGCTAATATTGTTTGGTACCATTAAAAAAACTTAAATACAATATAAATTGAACTGATAGATGTATCATGCTTTGTAAGTAGTATAATTGTTTATATGCTTTATTTATTGTTCTTAAGTCAGAGAATCTTAAGAAATTTTTATTTTTGTTTATGAATTGTATATAATTTGTTGCTCTACAGGCGAGGTGAACTTTTAAGTACTTATTAAAAGACAATACCGAGATTTCTTTCGTAGGGTTTCCTGATTACAGGGAGCCCATTAATACTTTTACGAAAGATGTATTTCAGAATCTGGACTGTCAATAATATATTGCATCTAATATATAAACTAAATGTTAAATAATAATCTGGTGTGATGTAAATGAGTCTACTATATATCTCTTTTAAAGGACTTTCTGTGAACAGAGTACCTAATATTATTGAGATTAATTAATACTAGTGTATTATTGATGAACTTTATATTTTTATAGTCTAATCAAAATGACATTACTATATTATGCAATTTATTAATATATACGCAGGAAGAATTACGTGTGAATTTAAGTGATATTATTAATTTAGGGCCAGTGTTTTTCAATCTGTAGGTCAAACCCCAGGGCATAGGGACAATTATTTATTTGTTGGCACTACAGTACAATAAAATGTACAGTTTACGTTACGTTTTTACAGTAACTTGTATTTGGTTTAGGGTCATAGCGGATCGCCAGAATTTAACATCTTAAAAAGGGGTCACATATTTATTAAAAGTTGAAAAACACTGATTTCGGGTGTCTGGTCTGATTAAGTTTTTCTCTAATAGATTTTTATTTTGATTAGGTGATGGTTGTAAGACATTCCATTTAAGAGTGTAATGAACAATTTTATGTAGTGTAAGATCGATTTTGTTATAGAATTTACTTAAAAAATATTTTTATATAAATAAATTTTATACATTTTGTTAACATTTTGTTTTATTTTAAAACCTTATTTATAAATATACGTGGTAATATGACGTTATTGTATGAAGATTATTAAAAAAATGAAATAAGAAATAATATTTCATTAATTTCTTAATAGACTGTATTTATAGTTCACATCTAAATATAATAGAGTGTGTTACTTGATTAAAATCATGAAATCATTATAACATCGATATTTTTGACAACCCTATACCATAGTCTGCAATCGATAAAAGTATTGAGTTATTATTATTGAAACGTATTTATAAAAAAAACATAGACTATGTTAGTCTGAATTTCCAATAAATAACTTGGAATATTATAAAAATTCCTTTCTAAAATACAATACGTTATTAATTAGATGATACAAATAAGATTAGGCTGTACAGGACTCAGTCCCTTTGCCTACCTTTTAAAGTATATAAAAATCAATCAAAATATTATTTTAATAAAAATTACATGTAATTTATAAAATTAAATTTCTCAAAACTAGAAAATTAATGTTTGTACTTTATAGTGAACATAGAATATTTTTATAAATACTATGTAATCATAAATAAATGTGTTTAATTATTATGAAAATGAAGATATAAATAATTTGTTGAAATGCCAAAAGGTATATATTATATTATTATACATTATTTATTTTTTAGGTCTGAATTTTATTATCTAAATAATCGGTGAAATTGTGACGTGATTCCTTAATTTGACAATTATATCGTTGCAAAAACTTACATTATATCCACTCATCAAAACATATTTCTGTTAGTATTGTACGTAATTGGTATGTACCTATTAATGGACATTTAGTTCATTATACTTATCAGCCTGTTTTTATGCCCATCTACATTTACTATATAGACAAATGTTTGAACATATTACAACACAATTATTATCATTGTGGTAAATGGCTACCAATTCCTTTGGACGCTTGAAACAACAAAGATGACACAACTTTTAAGTCACACTACCTAATAATAAAAAAGTTTAAAGGATAATTCTCCTTAAAAAATGTATTGAAGCAAGTGTGAGTGTAACTGGTTAACAAGCCGACTTTGTACAAAATCTTCCACTACCTGTTCATCACTAATATTAAAACATAATTATTAGAAAAGTTGCGAGTAACGGATGCCCAAAATGATGTCCTGTGCAGATTCTTTGAAGAGCACCCTGAAGTTATAAGGGGTTACAAGAAATCACCCAGATACATAGAAGCAGTGCAAACAAAATGGAAGAAAATTACACCACACCTCAATTCCCTTGGACCACCAAAAGATCACAAGAGTTGGGCTAAGGTATGTACTTAAAACAATTAAGTACCAGCACACAAGTGGTAATCAATGCAATATCCTCTTTAAAATGAATAGCTGTGACAAGACATATTACCTCTTTAGGAAGAGCTCATTGTAATGATATATTCTTATTATTTTTCTACATAATGCTAACTGTATTTTAAAAAAACACTAAAGTGTTTTATTTTTTTAATAATTGCAGTATTTATGCAACATGAAGGCGAAGCTGAAACAGAAACCCATAAAATGGTCAAAGACCAATGACGGCACTGGATCTATAATATGCAATGCTGAAGACTTCAATGAAATAAAACTGAGGATGCTGCAAGTTTTACAAGTCTCATTAAGCTCACAGGACACACAGGTAATATATTTTTTGTATTAAATTTTTGTTTTTATTTTCAAACATGTCGGCCCCATTATATCAAACCTAATCATAACAATTCTTAAATATAATAAACAAAAATTAAATAATTATCAACTGAAACGGATCTATTTATTAAATTGCTTTTATCAGTGCACACAAACACATATTATGTGCACGTATATTAAATACAGGTGTTTTTATTTAATGTATACCACAGCACTGCGACTAGACTGGAGCTTGTTATTTGTTACTCAAAAAATAAAACAAATTGGAAACATACATAAAATCACATCCTACTTCTGTATATTAGTATGTACTGTTAATTATAGTGTTGAGTACTGAAGTCTCACAATGTGTACAAAATTTTAAGATCTCATATTAATGAATCATCATTTTACAATTAAATTCAAAGGCACAGAACATAAAGCAGAATTTTAGTCTGTTAATTGTACTTTAATATATCAGGGTGACATAAATAAATAAAAAAGACTGTTCTATGTTTATTTATAGAAGCCAAATACATCTGATACTAGTCTAAATCAAGAAGAGACAAAAATTGAGCAAAATGATGAAGACAGCTTTGAAGATCCATATCCATGGCATGAAGCCGATGACAGCAACAAAACGGTTCAATCACAATCCTACATAAAGCTTCGAAGAAGCCAATCTCCTACTTCAACAACACCCCAAGTAGTATCAAGCCACAATGAGTGGAGTGATGAGTTCGACACCTTTGGTAAAAATATTGCTCAACAATTAAGGACATTACCATTGCCCCTTGCATTACATACACAGGAGATGCTATTAGCTGTGATACGAAAGCAAAGATTGAGGATGCTGAATAATACTCAGAATAGTGTCGATCCTTTAGATAAATAAGTTATTTTTATAGTCTTAAGTACAAAATAATGTAGAGAAATTAAAATTAATTTTATTTTGTTTTTTTTTTGTATTTGTACTATTCTTGTTAATGATTAATAAAGCAGACATTACAACAAAAATCATACATGCTGTAACAAGACAGACTACATTCTGTCTGCACTGCATTGCACACGATTTTCTCTACCGACAAAGCAGTATTTGCTATTGTCGTAGCCTGCCCAAAAAGAAGTATTAAAAAACCAACTGTCAAAATTTGACAATCTGATTATTGACAGTTCTAAAAAACTATGTCTCATAATAAACACAAACGATAATTTTAAATAAAATTATTTTATTTTTTCTCGATGTCTTATGGTTTTGTATTCTTTTATGCTATTCATACCTGATAAAATAATTCTCATTTAAAGTAAATTTGAAAGAGTTAATAAATAATAGTTTGTTTCACTTGTTTTCTCGGCTTAGGGCACTCAGTTCCTTGCGCTCCTTACTTTATTCAAGGAACTTTCTTGTACGATATTGTACGGATTGCTACATCGCGTTGTTTATGCAAGGCTATGGCTTATTGGAAATTATGTCGCGCATGTCTGGTTTCAAGGGAGTCATTTACTTACAATTTGTATGAGAATGTGTCCGCAGACATCTATAATTTCTGCACTTCAGTTGAGGTAATTTTATATTTAACTAGCTATTGCCCGCAGCTTTGTACATGTGCTATAATTACATTACATTTAAAATGAAGTTGCATATTTTAAAAGATACATGCGAACAGATAGAGGAATCTGTTCGCATGTATCTTTTAAAATATGCGACGGATTGTAATTCAGGTTTTAGCAATTGATAGAGTAATACAACCAGATTTTTTTTTGTTAATGATAATGGAATTCTGCACCTGGTGATGAGAGTGGAGGATGATAAGATGAGCATGAGCTCAGGTCAGTTAGCCATTGTTACAAATTCACAAAAAAATTATCACAATGGTTTCCAGGTAGGACTGTGTGGAGGCTGACCTAATGTGGTACATTGCTAGCAATGGGAGTTACTAGGTCCCGTTATTAACAATCCCCTTCCCCCAGAAAATATTTACATTTAATATGTACATCTTATGAAGCCAGGTTGGGTATAGAATAAAACTATATTTAACATTGTTAAACTTGTTCCATCCTCGCAGGCCAAAACAAAAAATCTAATACTGTTTTTTACTGACTTCATAATAAAATAATTAATATTATTCTGTTGAATATGCTAATTTGTATTAATAACATAAAACTAATAGGTACCAAAATATTGTTTCAAAATTTATTATCCAATTTAGATTCAAGAAAATGAAGATCTGCCAAAAGGTCTTTGCAATACATGCTACGAGCTTCTTGCAAAATATTCAGAATTCAAACAGACATGTATACAATCACAGAGTACATTAGTAAATCTGGATCTAAAAGGTGGTTTGAAATATGAAAACGAAATATTTCAAGAGCAAATATTTCTAGATGAAAATGACAAAATTAATAAGGATACTAATTTTGTGATAGTGAAAGAAGAGAACCTATCTGACAATTATTGTGATGACACAGCTGATGGTGGGTATAAACCTAATAATGATTTTTGTAAATTATTTAGTTATATTTACCAGAAAGATGAATCCCATCACATTATACAAAAAAAATTTTTTTTGCTAAGATTTTATTCATTTAAACAATCATTTTTGATAAATATTATATTTAGTAAATTACTTACTTTACTTTATCCTGATAATAATAATAATAATTTCTAATTCTCTTATTCTTCTCATATAATCTAGCTTCTATAATAAGCGACATATGTTTCAACTGATAGTAAGTTGTCTTTTTTAGTAATTTTACCTGCAAAGATAATTCTATGATCAAATTCAAAGGAATGATCCTAAAAAAATATGTATAATAAAAATTTTTTTTACTATGACACTAATTAATTTATTCAAATATTTTTATAAGTTCAGTTACATTATTCTGATATTAATAATAATTTCTAATTCTCCTATTCTTCTGATTATGATAATTAACAACATAAGTTTATTAAATTCAATTCAGTTTCCTCCTGTTAAATTAGTTTAAGTGAATATTTTAGTATATATAAAACCTTTAATTTATTAAATTAAGCTTTTAATGAGACATGATAAATTTTTAAAGAAATTTCTAATTGTCTATTCTTTTAGATTTTCAAGAGACAACAAAATTTTCAACAAATACAACAGTTAATGAAATGAAATTGAAGAAAAGGTTGGTATGTTTTCCAACAGTTATTAATATTGTTTAAATAAATGGCTGTGTAGTCCATCAATACTAGTACAATATTGATGGATTATGAGTATCAATGTAATAAAATACACTGTATTTAGAAAAAGTATTAATAACAAGTTTATTACAAAACATCTTTTAGACGAACAAAGAAATTAGTGAAGATAAAAAAGAAACCTAAAGTGAGAAAGCATTTCAACTTCACATGTGAACTTTGTAATAAGAAATTCAACTATTTAGAAAGGTTTGAGGCACACAAACAGGAGCATGAGGGAAAAACAGTAAGTTCAATAGATAAACATACTAGGTTACTTACTTAACTAATTTCTTTTATTTGTCTTTTGTAAATATTCCTTTATATTGATCCTAACTACTAGGTATTTTGAAACTGGATCTCTATGTAATCCAATTTTCGCAAAGTTACATAAGTAGTCACACAGATAATATTTTTTCTGTCATCAAATTGTGAATATATTTTCAGGCTCCTCTTCCCCAATAGGCACACTGGGTACGTGCCCGGGGCCTCTAATAGGTGAAAGACGATCTATTGTAATCTAATGTACTCAATAATACTTATGTATAAACCACATTACCAATGCTATAGCAGGCGTCAGGAACATAATCAATACAACATAATAGAATAACTATTATTTTCAGGTACAAATCCATTGCTTACCATGTAATAAAACGTTCATGACATGGAGTGGACTAAAACGCCATACTGAGAATGAACACACGCTGGTCAATCTAGATTCTTTAAAGTGTGACACCTGCGGGAAAATCTTCAAGAATCGGGAGTCTTTAAAGATGCACAGGAAAACACATGGAGAGAGAAAATTGTATGTTTGCGATGTCTGCGGCAAAGGATTTACAACAAAATTTATTTTGCGGGTACAAAGACTATAAGTTTTATTTCTGTAGGGTATTAGGTATAAAATTGCACAATCACTGATAAAAAGGCGGGCCATCTCATATTGTTAAACGCACATGGACAACCTGCCAACGACATATTCTTTTCAAGTCAGGTCGCCTAAAGAACGTAAAGGCAACTGTATTTATTTTTTATATTAATGTTTTTGCGCACGAGATCTCTATTTCATATATGCTTTTCCTTTGAAACTTATGTTTATTAAATTACATTTTTAAATTTACATAAATTTGTAATTAGATTTCGCTCCACGATCAGATGCCAATCATTTTGCTGAGATTATTTAATACAAAAATGCGCGAAAGCACGTCGATTGCACGAGCGTTTTATTTATTATTACCGTTTCTTTTCTTTTAGACACACTTGGAAACACATAAGGAAAACAGAGAAAGGCAGTATACATGTGAGCACTGTGGCAAGAAATTTTATACCAATACAATATTACTTTCACATGTGTCCAGGCGTCACACAGGACGTAGGTTCATATGTCAAATATGCAATTACCCTTTCACAGACAAGTGTAATTTGGCCAAACATTTGCTCATACATGATGGAAAGAAATTATACAAATGTGATATTTGTCTCAAATCATATGGCACACATTCATCGTTAATAGAACATAAGCGGATACATTCTGGGGAGCGTCCATTCCTTTGCAGTTATTGTCCAAAAAGTTTCCTATCAAAGAGAAGGCTGAATGACCATCACCGGACCCATACTGGGGAAAGACCACATAAATGCGCCGTCTGTGATTTGGGGTTTACTCAAAGAGGTACTTTGAAGAGGCATATGAAGGTACACGACAGAGTAGTACCTGTGGTTAACTAGTAGTTTATGATAACCATTAAGAATATGACTATAACTAATTTATTTTTTAATACTGACTGAAATGACTGACTCTAATGGAGAAATAGATTACAGATATGCTAACTCGTAATAAGCATGATTAGAGTTAATTCGAGTTGAAATTCAAGTAACTGGAGTTAGTTCGATAGAGACAAAGGTATAGCTACGAGTACATCAAGCAAATTAAAGACATTGTAGTCATATCAACATTTAAAGAGGATGATGGAAGATTGTGGATACAAAAGTTCCACCGCCAAGAGTGTGGCTCTTAAATTATGAATGAATGAATAGCATTTTAAATAGAGAAAGTCACATATTTTTATTCAATTCGAAGAATGCTCTCGCGATCCTCTTCAAACGCTGCTATGAACGACCGGTAAAGAACCACTCGTAGAAAAGATTCCAAAAAACAAGTCGCAGTCAAACGCGAGAGCTAGTCTTAGTTTAGCAATAATAAAATATGGTCTGATTTAGCTTTATAATAAATAAAATAATTTAGTCTGTTAAAATATATCTTGTATTTATTTGTAACTGTGTATATAAATAGTGTTGTTTATACAGTAATTATGACAATTCGAAACAATAAAATTGACTGATGGGCAATGTTGTTTTCTTCACATATTCTATAATAAATGGCAGTAAGACTTGTACTATACAATTCAAAACTTATAGCATAGGGGACATACGAGCTTGCGGTTCACCTGATGGTAAGTGATTACCCGCATATACCATCAGGGGAATTGCAAATGCGCTGCCGGCCTTTTAAGAGAACAAGTACTATTTATTTTTGTTAGAATTCATTTGAAAATTCCAGTCTTCCAGTCCCATCATCTCTAAAACAAAATTTTTATATGCAATTTTAACAAAAATATAATGTATCAGAAACTAAATATATGTATATAAATTTCATTTGTAACAACAAATAATATAAAGCAACCATTGTTTTCCATTTGATACTGTCTCCACTATCATTTAGAGAATATATTTTGAAAGGTTTATATCATAATACTAACAAACCACCGAGATTTACATGGGTGCGTTCCATTACTTTTTTTTAAGTTCTCGTCGTTTCTGTACTATAATATACCTGTATTATACATATAAACCTTCCTCTTAAATAGCTCTATCCATTGCTGAAAACACCATTAAAATCTGTTGCATACTTTAAAAGCGTTCAGACAGCAGCGACTTTGTTTTATACTATGTAATGCGTTAGTCGCAAAGTAATAATGTAACTCTGATAACAATTTGAAATTTTAGTTTTAGAGATAGATTTAAAGAATGACGTTTCATAATCCATTTCACAACCTCATTATTCATTTTAGTTCTCAAGGTAAACTAAGTATTGTAGTCCAATTAGTTTCATTGCTTCATTTCGTATCACGCCTCGCCATTCCAATGGGCGTATGAAACTGCAATTGGCGTTATACTTTCTACTTGTATGGGCGGCCTGAGATCTATTTCGTGACTCTCATTTTTGCCGTGTCCCTTCATATGCCTGTTGAGTGCACACTTCTGTATAAATGCTTGGTTACATAGCTGGCATTTATGTGGCTTCTCTCCCGTGTGTATCATACGATGGTTGCGCATATCCTTGCGCGCCATAAACCTTTTGGGGCATAAGTCACAAGCATATGGACGTTCACCTAAAACAATAATAAGATAATAATTCTATTTTTTTATATTTAACTTCTAAGTTATAAATAACTCTTTAAAAAAACATATATGGATATGGAAGAGTGGGATATTTCTGATACAGACATTTCTATAGTAACTAAGTCATGTGTCATACTGTGTTATTGTAATACCATTGTTTTTTAAATGAACTAGACAAGAAATAAAAAATTTCATTATTTCATTTTCAATAATATTTTATTATGAGATTAGTACGCAATATAAAAATATAGTTATAGGGATAATAATTTTTTCAGTCTTAATTATTTATAGTTACTAAGAATGCATTTTAATAATATGTTTTATTTATATTCAAAGACATTTTTTGTTTTCTTACCCGTATGTGTTCTTAGATGGACAATTTGAAAACTTTTGCATTTGAATGTTTTATCACAAAATTCACAAGAAAATGGTTTGTCGGCTGAATGGGATCTCATATGCTTGTATAAATCACTCTGAAACATAAATCGTAAACTTTACCGAAATACACTTTGTAAAAAGTCATCTGCGTGGATAGAATCAGGTTAACACATTTTAGATGGTAAGCAACTTGCTTTGTAAGCTGTTTCGGTTATAGGGTGGTGGGGGTGGTGGTGGTAGGACACGAGATAACATTGACTACATCTTAGTCCTAGGTATCACAGGCACTTCATGATAGCGTGATATTATACAGGCGATAGTTAACACTTTCGTTGTTTTGCCTTTCCAATTACATAAAAAATAGAAAAACAAAACTTAACATACATACTAAATAAATTTGATTAATATATGAATTGAATTAAAAACTTGAAGAAATTGAAACTAGGTACCTCTCAATAAATTTAAAACTTGTCAAAATAAATCAATAGAACAAAAGTACCAACCTTAACATAAAACCTCATGTCACATAGGGAACATGCAATATTCTTGATGCCTGTATGCCGTATGAGATGTATCTTCAGGTAGCCCGGCTGCGCAAACTTCTTACCACATTGTCCACAGCCATATTTCTTATCTTTCTTATGTGTTTCTATATGAGTCTGGTAAAAAAAAAACAACAAATCAAGTACACTACACAACCTTACAAACCTATACTTGTAATAATTCTGTCAACACTTAAGATCCTCCCATAAGTTTACGTCTCGACATTAAATAGATTTCGGTCCAGTGTAAGTCAAGTCTACGTCCCGATTCCATGTCCAATGTACGCACTACTAATAAGCTATGTAGCACGCTACCAAATAAACTTACTAATGTACAATAAATAGTACAATTATTTCACCGGTATACTCACTACTTACATACTACAATAAACAAAACATTCTGTAGCGACAATCATCACATCATACATAATGCTACAGTGGTGAGGTGATAACCACTGCGCTACTAATGAAATAAAAAATAATATAACATTTTGAAATAAAAAATAATATAATAAATGTTTGGGTTTCCAATATATGGAAACCCAAACATTTATTTAGGCAATTATTAGTATCATATGGCAACACTTCTATTCTCTCTTGTGACTTCAATGGAAATACAATAATACATAAGGCTCCTACCAATTAAATTGTTTTTATTACTAATGACCGTAATGACCGTCCACAAAGTAATAGTACAATTTTATACAATGGGTTAAGAATTTTAAATTTTAGAAATATATAATATACCAAGCCACTTACCCATCTCAGTAAAGTAGTAAATAAAAAAAACGGTTTACCTTCAAATTATATCTCTGTACAAACTTCGCATTGCATATATGACAAACATGATTCTTAATTCCGGCGTGTATTAGTTCGTGATTCTTGAGAACATTGAGGTAGGCGAAGTTCTTCCCACAGGTGAGGCACTGGTACTTCTTGATGCCGGAATGGGTGCGGATGTGGCTGTTCAGATTGCGGAGATTTGGGAATGTCTTATCGCAGTGCTCACATTTGATATCTGGCTGGAAATAAACGGGTGATATTTAAAAAAATAAACAATAAATTGATACAGTATAAGTTATATCGTATCAATTTATTGTTATAAAAAAACAATAAATTGGTCAATATGGCCAATAATGGATAAATATGGATAATTAATTTTATTTTCTATTCTTCTCTTTCTGTTTTTTTTTTATATTCCATATGGTCGAAATACAACTTTTGACACCTAGACTGTTTTGTATGGCACATCATAAAAAAAATCAAATTTCATAAGTAACATTTTATAAAATATAAATTAAGATTCTATAAATTTGTCAAATCATAAGAGTAATATTTTTTAATTTAGCATACATCATGCTGTCAAATATAAGTGAAAATACAGATAATAGAAAATACCTTTATTTTAACTGCAGGCACAGCAGTCCAAATAATAATCTAAAGGTGGAAAACAGAGCCTCTTTTACCTTTTTTCCAAAGTGACTCCGCATATGTGCTTCAAAATTTTCATATTTTTGGAAAGTTTTTTCACACTTGGCACATTTCATCCTTGTTTTCTTTTTGACTTGTTTTGGGATACCAATTCTTCTACTTCTCCTTTTAATTCTGAAATTTAGTAACACAATATAATTAATATAAAATTATTATTGTTTTATATTTTTATATTTATTTGTAATAGAGACAAATGACATGACATCATTGTATTCATAAATATTTTATTTTTGGTATTTTCAGTTCAATTTATGAAGTAAATCATTTTCATTTTATTTAATACCCCACACAATAAAATGTAGATGAACAAATTTCAACTTTCAACTTTTGATAGCCTCAGTAGTGTAGTGGTAGCACACTGTCTTACTTCCAATAGTGGTTTCAATTCTTTGTATGGTTTAAACATTTGTATTCATGAGTATGATTGTATTTGTTTGGGTGTTTTTTATGTAGAGTATGTATGTATTAGGGTTCATTCCCGGGAATTCTCGGGTCGAGAATTCCCGGGAAATCAAGCTCGAGAAAAGTCGAGAACTCGAGAAATCAAGTACCTATATAGAAATTAAATTGACGTTTGTTGTATTGCGTGGCGGCGCAATAATACAAGATATTAAGGTTTTCTTTCATGTACATTGACGCGATATTTTAAGTTTTCCATTTTGTAAGCATGAGTGAATAGCCGTATAAATTTGAAATTGAAATTTCTAACCAAAGAGGAGATATTTAAGATCAAAGTGGCCAGTACGACAAAACGCTAATTTCATATTTAAGAACCTAATATATTTCAGTATTTAAAAAAAAATGGCTTATTCATAATATATATAATGTTTTTAAATATACCTACTCAATAAAAGTTTTATAATTAATTTTATAGTTAAATTTTATAATTAATATTTAACAAAAAATGCAGTGGTTTTCATCTCAAATGAAACCACTGAGTTTTTTTAAGTAATTGGAACAAAAAATAAACCAAACATACGTAAATGTAAATTTCTCGACAACCCGAGAAGACCCGAGAAATTAACCTCGAGAATTCTCGAGACCCGAGAAATTGAAAAGCTCGAGAAATCATGAACCCTAGTATGTATTTAATAAAAAAAATATTTAAGTATTTATATCAGTTGTCTAGTACCCATAACATAAGATCTGCTTGTCTTGAACTAAAAGAACTGTGCAAATAGTGGTTTATTATTATATTATTATTATTACTAGAATCATGTACATATCTGAAAACATACTGAATATCAGGTATTTCTTCATAATTATTGTCTTGTAAGTTACAGTCATTTGTTGGATCTGGTATTGATGTGTCATCTTGAAAGTCTGTTATAACAATTTCAACCGTGTCATGCACATCACCCTGCTTTTCTAATTTCACCTATAGAGAGACAGAGTAAATTATATTATTATTTAATTTTGAATAGAATACAAACATGAGATAAAAAATGTAAGCCCTTTTCAATAGTCACATTTTTCAATCTACCACTAATTCAAATTGTAGTCAGCTATTAACAATGAGCAAGAAACTTACTGGGGTTCTTTTTAACAATTAATTTACACTATATGGATAGTCAAAACTTGTGTATATACACAAATTTTATATATTATTTTAAACAAATTATTATTTAAAATATTAAATACCACACTTGATCAAAATAAATCAGTTGATCATTACATTTAAGTACATATCAGTAAGGAAAAATTTTTAGTATTGGAGACTTTTAGCACAAACCCTATTTCCTGTAATGATATAGTGTCAGATAGATATGAAAGTAACTGCCACAGATACTTGCTGAATTTGACACAATATGTGAGCTGATTGACTACCTTCTCATACAATGCGCTTCCACTGCAATATAATAAATATCAGTCATTCATACTTACTACTGGACAGTGTTGCTTCAAAACTGCATTGGATGTAATTACAGTTTGTTTGAAATAATACAATTTGTCTAGTAAGTTTACACATGCCTGGCATACTTGTTGTGGTAAATGGTCACCGAGTGAAATCTACAACAAAAGAAATAAATTGTTTACATTTTAAGTGAAGTTATTCGGTGAAAACAAAATAAGTATCTAATAATTACTTCACTTATGATTTTAATTTACATACATATATATTTGAACATTAGTCTAGTCATACTATGGAATATTTTTTAAATTTATTTTTTATAAACATTCAATCTTTCACAAAAATTTCAGTTATTGTGGAACTAACTAAAACAAAACATATCAATTTAATATTAATAATAAGACAGTTCTCACTTGTTGATAATACCAAGTATCCACTAATATTGATTATAATCACAGGTACATGAATTATTTTATATATAAACATTCTCAGGCAACCTGGAAAATACTTCTGAATACATCGTTGCCGGTCAATAGACATCTTCAGGTGTCGAACTGTAATGCGCCATATGTGTAACTACAGCATATCTAAATCTACACGACAAACTGTTGTGCTCATAACTAAATAAATAGAATAATTTTCACCTCAACGGATGTACAAAACTTGAAAATTTCAGCTGTACACACTGAAAACAAATCCTTCATAGGTCCCGCGTCTGATAAACAGGTCCGGCATATTTTATTTAGGTCTAAATTGTCAGCCATGGGACCGATGAGAGGTTACAAGCAATCACACAAGAAACATATGAATGTAATTGTTATTCATTTAAGTAAGCTGAAATGAACAACGAATTGAAAGAATTAATCTATGATGATACTGACAGACAGAATGACAGAGTAGGAAGGATATTGGGACGATACTCTGTAGAAATGTGTCAACTCGAGTTTAAATATCCCAACTCGAGTTGGGAGAATTCTACTTGTAAGTAAACGAATCAAGTGAAAGAGCGAGAGCGTGATTCAGTCGTTGGGTTCGTGCATTAGTGTGAACTCCCGCATTGCACCGATCAAATTAAATTGACAACGACATGAAGTTATCCGATCATATCATATCATACTATTTTTGAATCAGATACATATAATTTTAAAAATGCTCGGATTCATTTTAAATATGTAGGAAATTCCAGCTAGTTATCGAATAATATTAAAAAAACATTGAAATAGGATGAGGTGATCTGCAGCCATGAATGCGCTCCATAAGCCCTTCCGCGGGTTTGGAGTGCCATTTCTACACGCCCCTTATGGTTCGGTGATTCTGTTAAGCTGCAACCAACAACATTAGAATAGTTCGAAAAATAAAAAAAAATATAAATAAAAAATACTTTGTTCTAGGTAAGTCGACTTAACTCGAGTCATGTTTATTACAAGTTAGCGCATCTCTAGTATAGAGATCGAAAGTAAAATTTCCGCTAGGATATTAGTATTCTGTGGATGAAATTCTTAGAATCAGTGTTGCCAGAATGGATATAAAAATGGAATGTCCAGAAGCTCTTAAAAATTCGCTTTATAGTTAGGTATAAAGAGATGTATCTCTCAGAAAAAAAAATCTTTCATACTATGAGTACCTACACCTGTTTTATTTATTTTGTTCTTTACTAGGAACATTCCCTCCGATCGATCCCTCATCCAATTCAAACGGGGATCAAATTACGGTAGCCTGGGTTTAAACTCGCTAGGTGTCCTCAGACAAGTGGTATCCGTCAGACAGGAGTTAACCCTCAACCGTTTCATAAGTCCTTCTGCGGGCTTGAATTGCTATCCGCATTCGACCCCTGTCGTTCGGTAAAGCTGTAAAGGCCAGCTGCAGCCAACAGCATTGAAGTAGTTCTAAAAAAATCCATAACATTTTATTTCTTTTGCACAAATGGCCAATACGGTGCGATCAGTAGCTAATTATTTGTCCTAAACTATATACAATAATTTGTATATTATTAGGTTTGATAACTTTACAAAACATTCAGTATTGTTTATTAAAATTTATCTTTTTATCAGTAGCAAATTCTTTGAAACACCCATTTAAGTTAATTGCAACAGTAGATTTAAAATTTTCTACTAACTCTATCTAATCATTTGATTTTGTTGATGAGTTCCACTTCTATGATTACTAACAACAATATCTGAAGTTATTGTTGATATATAAATAAACACCTACTTCAATTACGGCTAGGTTACACTGTTTCATTTGGATTTCGGTACCTACTTACCTTCCAATTTCATCATCGTCTGATGACGAAGTCGAATGACAGGCAATTTATTTAAATTCTTATTGTGACCCGACAATCAACTGAGCAACTATAATTAATAAAGCAGACTACTAAACCTTGTTAGGATACCCTTTAAAAAAAATTTAAAATAAGATTTCTAAATGACGGAGTAACAAATATTTAAAAAATTACAACAGAAATAAAACCCTTTTCTTTTCGAAGTTGGTTAAAAAATATGTTATGTGTAACATGAAAATTTTGATATAATTACTTATTTGATAAAGCCCTGCGTAGCGTACCTACTTATACGTTGTTATTATATTACACTTATATGGACATACACCAGGCTATGTACCTATCAAGCGATGAAGAAACTATTGTTGCTGATAGTATATTTATTTAATCTTTTTAAAGGGTGATGCATTCGGGTGCACTATTCCATTATATCCCCCCTATGTGGAGTGGAGGATAACATAGCATAAATATCAATAATTTAGCATATCATGGCTAGTCCATGAGGGACTAATCAACGATGGTTTCAAGGAATCACTGCGTGGACGTTGACATGACATAGTACCTTACATGCAGTGGGGTCACTGACACAGACACATCCAAATATAAGTATCAATTCAATAAATATGCACTATTTACTAATATCACCTTATAATAGGTAACGTAATATTTAAAAAGGTAACTAATTATGTGAAATACAAACAAAATTATAATTTATATATGTACTAATTAATAAACGATAATGGGTAAATTACCATAACTAATTGTTAAAATAAACATCTTATGTAGCGTCTCCGGTCTAACCACTGTTATTCACATAAAAGTAACTGTAAATTGACGTCTACACTCGTTTAATTATTACCTATGGAATTTAATGCTGAATAGACGCCTATGTGATTATAGGTTAAGTCTGAAATTGTTTTTTTTTTCTTTAATTACAATGAATTAACAGTCATTTTATGCTGATAAGTTGTTTATGTCTTATCTTTAAATGCTTGTAGCTCGTGCTATATCTACGCAAGATTGTAAGTAGAGTTCATTTTAATACAAATAGTGGCTACGTGTTTCATACTCGGCGTTGTTTACAAAACTGTTGACATTGTATTCTGTGTAATATTGTGTATAGTGTATGTACTTATATGAATTACACGACCTATTTGCGTCGTTGGTGTTGATAAAGTTTTTAGTTCCAATTCCGGAGAGACACAGAACGCTAGCTTGCTTTGTTTACAAAACGGTGTTGGCTTTTATACTTAAAAAATGGACGGCAAAGTGAGCAGTAACGCTGTACCGGTTGCTAATGTTCCAAATTCAGATCGTATTTCACGTTTAAATAAACAATTTTTTGTGGAGTTCAAGTGCAACCCATCTTTTTATGTCAAAGTGCCAGGCCGGGTGAATATAATCGGAGAACATATTGATTACTGCGGCTACCCAGTGTTGCCAATGGCATTGGAACAGGATATTCTAATCGCTGCTCGAGTATTAAATGAGCCTAAAATACATATACAAAATATTGATACGAAATACGGTAAATACGATTTACCGATCACTAATAATTTTGGAGAATTAGAAATTAAACCAGATACGAATGGAAAACCTTTTTGGTATAATTATGTACTTTGCGGTATAAAAGGCGCATTGGAGTTTTTCAATAAAGAAAAGATCAATGGAGTACAATTTCTAATTGACGGCAATATACCTCCAGCTTCTGGACTTTCAAGTTCTTCAGCCTTAGTGAGTGCTGCGTGTCTTGCATTTATGTATGCACAAAATGAAATACCAAATAAAACTGAAATAGCTTCATTATGTGCCAAAAGCGAAAGATATGTGGGTACCCAAGGAGGAGGAATGGATCAAGCCATTGCTTTTCTTGCAGAAAAATATAGCGCAAAATACATAACATTTAAGCCATTGAATGCATTGCCAGTTGCATTGCCAGAAGATGCTGTTTTTGTAGTTGCACACAGTCTTGCTGAAATGAATAAAGCCGCAACTAATGACTTCAATAGACGAGTAATAGAATGTAGACTAGCTGCTAAGATAATTGGTGTTCTTGAAGGAATATCTCTTGATAACAAAATTGTCACTCTAAGTGAAGTACAAATTAATCTCTCAAAATCATTGGAAGAAATGATACTCCTCGTGAAAAAGCATTTACCAAATGAAATTTACACCAAACAGGATATTTGCAAAATTTTGCGCATTAATGAACAGGACATGGACAATTTGTATTTAACTCCCAATACAAAAACTTTACAGGAATTTAAATTGAAGCAAAGAGCTCTCCATGTATATGAAGAAGCAAAGAGAGTAGAAGACTTCCGTAATGCATGCAGTCAATGTAGAGAAAATGAAAATGGTTTTGTAAATACCTCTAATGGAGATGTTACTCAAAACGGTAAAAATTCAAATAAAACTCTTAATATACTCGGCCAATTAATGTCTGCAAGTCATGAAAGTCTGAAAACCCTCTACGAATGTTCTCATGACAATTTAGATCGTATTGTAGATATATCTAAAGAATTAGACGTGCATTGCCGTCTTACTGGAGCTGGCTGGGGTGGATGTATTGTAGCTTTGTGTCCAAAAGATAAAGCCGAAAAATATATTGATACGCTAATTGAAAAGTTTTATGTAGATTATTGTCAACTAAATAGGAGCAAAGCAAAGCAATATATTTTTGTTACTACACCTAATCACGGTGCAATGATTTATACAAATTAACATGATACTATCACAGACAAGAGAATATAACATAGTCATAGCAAAAGAACTGTTAAAATAAATTGTATTATTTAAGTAACATTTTTTGTAAATTTAAAAAGTACCTAGGTATTGTGTATAGTCGAAATTTTTACTACTTTTCATTCTTTTGTCTGTTTTCTATAGAATTTATTAATAAGTAAGAAATTAGTAGTTTTTTAAGTCGTCGATAATTGTTAAACCGGGATTATGCTGTAGTTATGAGTGAAACAAATTAACTTCATTCAACTACAATGTCAGTAAACTTTTTTTTTATCTTGCAAACAGCATAAGATGCATATCTTTTGATTGGACCGGTCTTTTGATGACAGATTATGATAATTATACATTCATAATAAATTGTATTTATTTAGAATTTAAGTACCATTAAATTATAAATTTAAATAAATGGACTCTTAATAGCTACAATATCTGTATGCCATATATGTATACAGATTTGTATATGTATGTCATTGTAAAAAACCTATTGTCATCTATCATTATCATTCTTTTATGTCACATAATTTGTGTTCTGTGTAATGTTTTTCACTTTTATAAATACCGCTGTGGACGGCAACAATGCTAATTAATGTTCACTGTCGTCCCGGTGTTCGCTTCTTTTCGCTGTAATATTACCTTGCATGGTCAATATATCTCTTTTTAGGGTATAAAACATCGATTCTTAATCTCTTTCTGTAACATCTTTTTAATAATGTACGCTAACTTCAACAGGTGGTTTAATTAATCATTAGTACTGTACTTGATAATGATTATGATATTATATTATTATTTACAATATCGTTTTAATTTATTTTCTACTATATACGAATAAAATGTATCACTATTTTCCTCGGTCACAGCATCAGGCATAAATAGCTTACCGAAATTTTTTGTCTGTGTGTTCTAGTTAATATCTGAACGTAGTATATTTTTACTCGCAGCTAGCTTATGTTATATGGAATAACTGTCTTAGTTACTCCATATAACATAAGCTACTTTTATATATACTTTTATTAAAAAAAAAAAACATTATTAATAAAAATAGTTTATAATAAATCAAAGAGACTATTAATTCCAGACATTAAATTTTTTGTATTGACAACTATTAATTAGGAAGATTATTGACATTATTGCTCTATTAATGTTACGCTAACTTAAGTAGAATGGTGTTTGCCCAATAATAAAAATACTAATTTAGTTCTATTTAGCACTAGCCCAATTTATATATTTTTTATTTTGGACTTATACATAAACTAAGAGACAGAATTGTCTAATCTATGATTTACCTTGAGAATTACGCATTATTGCGCCTTGGCAACACTGTTGTTTTCCTGTCACAAATGTCATTTCGTTAAACTACTTTCAATTAGAAGAATTTAAAATAAATTTAATTCGATTACGACGGAACTTATTATACTTTAATTATTTTGTCAATAGTATTATTATTTATTTACCAAATTTATTCTATATATAGTACGTATATTACACTCTTTACTTGAGGTATTGTGAAAGTAATAACTAGAAAATTAAAACTATTATAGTAAGTATATTATATTTACACACATTTATAAATGAAACTACTAATATAATTCCCATATGCTGTCTATTTCATAGCTTTCCAAGGATTAGCAGCTATGGTTGTTTCTAAGGTATTGGTCTTATTTACTAATTTATTAGTGACACCTGGCAGATTTTGAGGTTATAAACAGAATGATGCAACATGTCTTTATCGGATTAAAGTATACATATATAATAATTTCTTGTCTTAGAGGCTGCTAAGAACAAGTTGAACACATGAAACATCAAATACCTATATTTAGAGCAGATTATTATAGGCTATCGTACCTTGACTAGCCTTCACAATTTGTTAAACAAGATTATTATTTTTATATTAATTTAGTGGGCCTAATTTTTACTTGAGAGAGATTGACTATGAGCTTCTAGTGTTGGTACAGCTATACTCATAATATATTACTCTCCTATTATGTGAAAGGAAACTAACCATAGACAAATGTCAATAAATCTAATTGAAATTAAATTTAAAATACAGATTACTGGTTCTATAGATATTAAAGATAAAGTAAACCACTTTATTTACTTTTTATTATTTTAACTCTTTCTGCCTATCTGATAAGGGACTTCCATAAAAATATAGATTTGTTATACATTTTTTTTTCAGTTTATCAAAGGCTTTTTATACATTTTTTTGTATATCTAAAGTAAATATTTTTAAATTTTATAGTGGTCTAGTGTGATTTTTTTAAATCATCAATTTAATTTAATATGTCTATATTTAACAACAGGTATCTAGGAATTAATAATATGTACAAACAATATAGACTCTGAATAGAGTAATATTAAAAGTAAATTAAAATTAAAAGTAATATTAAGCTACCTGCCAATAAAAGTTTCGTCAAAATCGGAACTTTTAAACTACTTTTATTTTAGAATAATTAAGTTAAATTCCATTTGAATGAAGTTGCGGGTGCAGCTAGTTTAGAAATATGTGGCATAATTTACACTAATGTATCACTACCCTTCACTTAAAATTTACTGAGCATAAACTGTTGCTGTTCTGACCATACTGATAGTGCCAATATACAAGTACATAGTTGGGGGGCTTTAGCTAATAACATAGTAAATGTTAGATTTCTTCTGTGTCTGCCTCTTAAACCATCAGACTCCGTGGGCTTGGGGTATTTTACCATGACATAGGGTGCTACCCACAGTTGTAGATATTTAACTGAGTTGTGGAATTGATGATTATTATTTCTGCAATTTCAAACATTGGAAGATATTTTCCAATATTGGCTTATGTTTCCCAATACCATCTTGTTACTTTAAATAAATACCTTGAAAAGTATTAGTATTCAAAGTTAAGATATAAGTGTTTTACATCTGATATGAATTATGTAATTATAAATTTATATTACTCTTGCTTAAAGATAATTTTCTATTATGAGAGATAACAGTTATAGATAATGCTTATATTGTAAAGAAGTTGACAATCTCATATGAAACTGAAGTATCTTGCAATATACTTAACATAATTCAAATCTAACTATCTACAACCTAGGTCCTTTACAGGGAAGACAGAGACATAAATATCCATAATTCTCTCTTGGTTTATAATTATTGTGTTCTATAAAAACTTATTCTTAATATATTTTTTCTTTTCTTAACAGCTAGATAGTGAAATATATTCAGCAATAGAGCAACTTACAACATCTCAAAAAAGAAGAATAAGAAGGAAGAGATTACAAGCTGCTCGCGCTTGTGACAACTATCAACAGAATAAAGAAATAGAAGTTAAAGAACATACAAATGACATTTTGCCAATAGTAGTTGATAGAAACCCTTTATCTGTGATTGATCAAATAGGCAATGAATTGAAAGAGAGTATTGAATTGGGCAGCCGTATAGAAAATTTAACAATGTCTTCAAAGGAACCATCTAAATCTAGAGAAGAAGTATTAGCTGCCAGAGAAGCCAAAAAACGATCCAAGTTAAAGGCTAAAAAAGGTGATACAGTACAAACTGAAGGTATAGGAACAAAGCCTGTAAAAGGTACAGTTAAAAAAGATGTTCCTAAGCAAGGTACTGATGAAATAAAAAATGCTAGCATAGAAAAATCATCTAAGTTAACAAATACTGTAATTAAAGGTGAAGATGAGGTAGATCATTTAGTAGATAGTAATACTTCAACAAATGTAGTTAGCGTACATAAAGAAATTATAGATAAAGGAGATATTAGTAATGAAAAAAGTAAAGAAAAAGTAATTGCTGAAAGGGCAGCGAAAAAGGCAATGAAACAAGCTAAAAAGAAAGGGCTGGCATCAGACGGGGTTGAAGTTGTAAGTAAAGAAAAAGAACTTGAAATTAAGCATTCTTTGAAAGGTGATAATCTCCCAAATAATGATATGACAATGAAAGATGTAGTAGAAACATTGAAAGATATTTTAAATGTTGCAAAAGAGGTACAAGGTGTTACTGCTAAAGTTCAGGCAATCAATTTAGAACCTAAAAGAGTAAGCACTTTGATTTAATATTTCTATTATTTGATATAACACTATTGTAATGCTTGAATATATAAATAAATGCAGTATGCCAATATTAGATGTTTCACAGAGATACCAATGTTTTATTATTACTTTTATGTAAATTTTTCAAATTTAATCTGTAGCAAGAAGAGCCAACAAAAAGTAAAGCAGAATTAAAGGCAGAGCGGCGAGCAAAGCAAGAAGCTCAAAGAGCAGCAAAGCAAGCTGCTAATGTGGTCAAACAGAAAGATGTTAGTTCTAAACCTGTAAAAATCGATAAAGAAGTAGTTAAAGTTAAAGAGGTATGTAGGAGCATCCATAAATCATCACAGATATAACTATATTTTCTTATTATTAGAGCTATTTAAGTAGTTTTCCTATGCTTTAAAGAAACTTGCACTTAGTTTATTATCAGAAAACAATTATATTGTAATAGTTTGTACTTGTGATAAAGGAAATGTTGAGGTTTGTTTACTGAAAATAATATAATGTATGTGTTACATTCTGAGCCTAAACAATTAAAAAAAATTGGGCCAGATAGTTTAAATTTGGAATGGGCTCACTTTTTTAAATTAGTTTTTTTTTACAGGATAAGCCCAAGACAAAGTTATCAGACAAGACAAAATCGAAACCTCAATATACACAAAGAATAAACTGGTTCCAACACTTGTCCACTGAACATGATAAGGAATCATTAAAAAATATAGCTATTAACTCCAAGTAAGTATTGAAAAAAACTTTTTTTTCTAAGTCAATTGTGTCCTTTTATTTATAATATTATTGTACAATAAAGTATTACAAACAAAACAAACTTTTTACAAGATATTTCAAATGTACTTTTATCCGTGTTCCACTTTACAATATATTTATTGTGTTAAATACCAAATTCTAGATTTCTATATGTTAATAATATAAGAATCCTGTCCTAATGGGAAAAATAAAACTCACATTTGTCTCTGCTTTCCATGATGCTTTGTTTAAAAAGTTTAATATCTCCAGTCTGCATCCTGCCATAGTGAAACTGGGTGTGCAGCTTGCTTCGCGCGTGGTGGCCGGTTCCAACGCCCGGTGTATAGCACTACTTGATGCACTGAAAAAGGTCAGTTATTAATATAAATTGTATGGAACCTTTTTTTAATATTATTAAATTTTCATATCAGTTTCTATCTATGTTTCTCTTTGCATGACCTGAACATTATTGAAAGTAAAAGTAGTGAAGTAAGTACGGGAGTAAAAGTATTGAATAAAGTTAGTTAGTTAGTGCTAAAAGTAACACTCTATATGTATTCTAAAAACTAAAAATATTGAGAATTTGATGGACTGCCACTAGGGTTTAGATTCTTTCACAGGCTCCATTACACTTTGTATGTTATTACTGTACAGATGGTGACAGACTATACTTTACCAGCGAAGACGGAGTTCGCGCGAGGACTGGAGTCTCATTTATCGGCAAGTCTCGACTATTTGTGGTCGATGCGACAGCCGTCCGCCTCGCAGACTAATGCCATCAAATACTTCAGACACAACCTCACACAGTTGGAAAATAATATTAATGAACATGATGTAAGTTAATAGGTAATAGGTGTACAATACTCTTTTCTAGTGCATACATAGTTGTGGATAGATAAGAATTTTTATTTATATCTTAATACACACATATATGTAGTATACACAAGTAATATACATTACAGAATATTTAAACCAATGCAGTAGAATACAGTTGTATATTTATTTATCCTCATCTAAGGGACTATTCATAAATCACGAGGTCCTGTTGTGACGTCCTTATACATATATTTTAAAATTTAATATAATACATAAAACTGAAAGTTATTTACATAATAATAAATTTTTTTAAATTACAAAATATGTAACGTCCCACTAGGGAGTTTTCACAAATGTGTCTAGCTGTGACAAAGACGTGGTAGAGGGAGGGAAGAATTTTAGAAAGGCTAATGTGGGACATGGCACAACAAAGATGGGGAAACATTGCACTAGACCAGAACGCTCTCATATCTCTGTGTTATAAAAACAATAATATAATAATATTTCTTCTACAACTTTAATATTATTTGAAATTGTGGTTTCTGGAAAGTTGTAACACAGTATAATGTTCATATTTTTTATTTATAGGCGAAGAAAATTCTGCTAGATCTAATAGACAATTATGTAAAAGAGCAAATAGACAAAGCGGGTGAGGCGATAAGTTTGGCGGTGCGAGAAAAAATAAGTGAAGGCGACAATATACTAACATACGGGTGGTATGTACATATTTAATTACATTTGATGCTTTATTGTATCCTGATAAACATGTATTTAATTTCATGTAATAAGGTTTTCTTTCGCATTAAAATAATCTTTGCACTGGGTGTGTCAGGGCGTTTAACCCATCGTAAAATATTCACCAAGTATAAGGAAATAGAAATAATCTTTAATAAACTTAATTTACTTTTGAATAGTCATATAATTTTTTAACAGACTGACTAGCCCCTAATTATAACAATCCTATTCCCCCGATATATGTGTTTTAAATAAAAAGCTGCATAATGACTTCTTTACCCATCCTGGTGAAGGCGTGGGCGGCTGGCATGGTTCGGTTCTCCTGCCAGATCATAATACGCTAGTGCAGTTCTGAGGCTGCTTTATTGAAGTTTGTTTTTATCAGCTGGGTGTCTGCTAGTATGCCACTTCTTTATTCTTTCACACTTCACACACCGAAGTCTTCTTTATTCTTCAATAACAAACATTAGTGCGGTTTATGTGTGAATGATATAGAAGTACAAACGTGGTGGTGTGTCGCAGCTCGTCGCTGGTGGAGCGCATCCTGGTGGAGGCGTGGGCGGCGCGCGTGCGGTTCCACGTGGTGGTGGTGGGCTCGCGCCTGCAGCGCTCCGCGCGCGGCCTGCTGCAGCGACTGTGCGCCGCCGGCCTGCCCTGCACCTACCTCGACATCACCGCCGTCAGCCACGTCATCAAGAAGGTATACACTCCACTGTTATTAATTACATTAAAATTAATTAACGTAACTACTTTTCAAGTTAAGTTATTTTAATTTTATACTCGCCCTAAGAGGCTTCAACCCAGCGACACGGAGGTTGTTGCTCCCGGAGTCGAAGCCGGGCAAAGGGGTTTGTCCTGATGACCTTCACCTCCCTAGGGGATGCGGATGACTGACTATTCATTCACTCTCCATTGTACCTTGTGTTAATCAATCTTTTAAATTTACTGCAACCATATAATTTGTTGATTTTTTTTTATTCTTTATTATTTGTATATTTTATTTTGTATTATAAAAGCTTTGAATGAATACTTTTTCTTTCTTTCGTATTTTCTTCTTTTTGTAACATATTATTATACGTCTTTATGCTTAGATACTTAATGTCAGTTCGAAGTTCGCTCAGTTTCGATCGAGCAACATGAAAGTATTTATACGAGTAGAAATTCAAACTAAGTCAGCTTTACAGCCCACTAAATTTAGACATATGAAACATCTACTGCCAGCCGATGAAAATTCTCCAAATCACAATATAATATTTGACACTGGGCGGGCAGTAGTTGTTATCAACTCCATCGATGTGGGTATGCAGATAGACAAGGTGGTGGTCGGCGCGGGGTCGCTGCTGGTGAACGGGTCGGTGCTGGGCGCGGCCGGCACGGCGCAGGTGGCGCTGCTGGCGCGCGCCGCCAACGTGCCCGTACTGGTCGCCGCCGAGACGCACAAGTTCTCCGACCGCGTGCAGACCGACGCGTTCGTCTACAACGAGATCGGTTAGTCTATGCCAGAGATTGATAGAACTATCCTCAAACGTCTACCAGAGATGTGTTTCTAGATTTTATTTCTCATACGAATCAGCTAAATTTTGAAAGTAACCTCTATGGTCTACGTTCAATATTTAGCTGGTTCCGATGGACTCCCTGTAACTATATTTCTATCATGTTTATAAAACTCGACAAAAATGTAAAGATTAGATGTATGGAAATTTGGGTAGTGGTTGAATTCCAACCACAAATTATTATATTTGGAAAAAAAGTTAGAATTGATCGCGCTGTGAGTGGGATGTCAAAAATGTATGAAAGCAATTTTTACAAGTAATACTCGTGTTATCTGCCTACATTGATAGGTGAAGTCAACATGTTAATTCTTCACTATCGAAAGCAGATACATTTTCGCAGATTTACGAATTGTGAACCCTCACCTCACTCACCCTTTTTTTTGTCACGCGTAGAATTCATTGAATCTACCCAGGACCCCTTTGGGTCCACTAGGATCGTTCTGGGAAACCGACCATGACAGACTTTATAAAAAATCGTCTGCTTAGATATCTCTGCTTCATTTATTGTTGCCGTTAAACTAATTAATAACTGAGTAGACTAATAGACTGTGAGAGAACTATATATTTTTTTTAATAACTTGAGTGATAATGTACTAACATTAATGTTATCTTTAATTTGAAAGGATTAAATAATGTCTTATATAATTCTTATCTCCCTATTGTATTATACTTTTCATTTTAATAAAAACTAAACGGACAAATTAATTTTAACTATTAGTGATTAGGTCACTTTCTGGCAAATATAAAATAATTGCAAAGGAGTAAAATAAAATATCTTAATTGATACAGTATGTGTACTATCCATTATACATTTTTTGTTTCCTTTATTTATTTTTTTTATTCTTTCCAACAGGTGACCCTGACGAATTGATCGACAAATCGGATGAAAACTCCCCATTAAAGGATTGGCGGTCGAATCCGAACCTAACGCCCTTAAACCTACTCTACGACGTAACACCCCCGAGCCTGGTGACGGCCGTCGTGACCGACCTGGCCATCCTCCCTTGCACCAGCGCTCCGGTCGTACTGCGAACAAAGCTTGCCGAACATGGAGTCTGATATTATCCTATTTTTCATCGAACTTCCTCTCTACATTAGTTTTTTTTGTAATTACCTCAACAATTGGATGTTAAATTTAGATATATACATTGTTATTTATATTAACTTTAAACAAATTGTAAATGTAATAGATGTCTATTAGATGTACACTCCTTTGTATTGTCCTGTTACAAAAGGTTTTATAATAGCAAATTCTTAATGTGAATATATAATTACTTAGATGCATTATATATATATAAATCCTACTTCTATATGTCATAATACCAATTCTGACAAAATTAAAACTTATTTATTCAGCAGCACCCAGTTTGAGTCACAATTATTATGCAATGCTACAATAAATCACCAAAATGACCACCACCATTGTGTCTATCATTTCTTAATATAATATTAACAAAGGACAAGTAAATATAACTTAGATAAAAAATACCTACAGGTATACTGAGGTGAGCAATTAAGATAAATAAAATAATAAATATTTATTATTTTATTTTCTATCCACACACTTTTCAGTTAATGGTATAATTCATTTACAGTTATCTAATTCAGAACTTACCTATCAATGATTCAGTTACATAAATCAGTAGTTTGATATTATTGCCAAATGTCATTCTAATAACCTCAACCTCTCTTTTTTTATATTGTTAACTATCAGAAATTTCTTATAATCAGTAAGTTATTGTACTGAAATTTGTCATATTGCATGTAGCAATTTTATTTGTTTATCAGACTGTCACACTCATGGAACTATTTACAGTTACTTCTTGCTAACTAGCTAGGCAATAAAATTAGTGATACAACTAAATTGTTTTATAGTTGTTCTTATTGGCATTTTATACTTTTCCAATTTTTAAAAGAAAAGTGGACTAAGTTAATTTGTAATAATCCATGTAATGCTCAAATATTTTGTACATAGTAATAAATTTACATGAAGGCATGGTTGAAATTAAAGAATATTTTTAAATATTTGTCATTAATACATATTTCGAAAACTATAATTCTTTTTTTTTATACCTTTAAATTATAACTTACAGCTATGTAGTACCACAGATAAGATAATATTACATAGTAGTACCACAGATAACATAATATTACATACAGATACCCCATCCCATACAAGAAAATGGTTCCTTCCTAACTCGGGCTATTCTTCGGGCTATTTTATTTCGCCACCGTAGCCGCTAGATGTCGCTAGATCTGAAGCAGTTCGGATTACTAGTGGGTGCTTAGTAACAAAGCATGAAAATAGATGGCAGTGAATTCAGTCTACATGACATCTGTTTTGCAAAGATATGTATATAATAGATATGTAGGTAACTGTATCGTGTACCTCATTAGGGACGATTCAAGATTCAATGTAAATGTGTAGGTATAATATCGTTAGCCGACACTCTGCAGATATGGCTTATGTGCCAATGTATATACCTATTGTGTTATGGTTTATTTTACATTCCATGCCTATTTTTTTGATATGTTGTAACGCGTCTGCGCTATACGTATAGCCTGATTTTGATACGTTTATACTCGTACGTATCAAAATCGGGCTATACGATTTTTTATTTCAATCGTTATATGTATGAGACTGATTTTAGCTACAATTAATTTACTAGTATATACCTCATGTATTCTACGATGTACCCCTCTTTTACCTAATGAGAATTCCGCTATATCTTATATATAAATTTTGTATCACAGTGTTAGTTGCCATATTTCTCCCACATTTTGATGAAATTTGATATGTATACTTCCCAGGTCTGAGGTAGGGTTGTTATCTATTTATTATACCCCTAAGTCATAGGGGTGGCCTACCCCGAAAAAATATTTTTTTTGTATTATGGACAATTTTTTATTTATTTATAATGTTACATTGAAAATACATACACGCCTAAATTTTCACCCGTCTTTCACCAACCCCTATTTTTAATAGCGATATTCTTACAAATATTATAAATGCTAAAGTAACTCAGTCTGTCTGTTTGTCTCGCTTTCACGCCAAAACTACTGAACTGATTTAATTGAAATTTGGTAGACAGATAATGTAGACCCTGAGAAAGGCTACTTTTTAATGCGAAAAAATATTGAAAGGGGAAATGAAAGGCTATATGGGGATATCGTAATTTTTAAAGTCAGATCTTGTAAGATTAAGTGAACAGGGTCGGTCTAGGTTTTTCATTATTAGAAATGTGTAACGGGGTAACACGTTATTTAGTGCGAAATTGTGTATATTACAATAAAATTTAACGAGAAAATATTATAATGATATCACTGGGACACTCATTGCCTTACTACTATATCGTCCGTTAGTCGCGAACTTTCTGGACACGAGAGGCGCTATCCTATTGGTCGGTCGGCGCGGTTACCGCGCGTAGATGAGTAGATGAAGTACTTAGACGAGTCTCACGGCGCCGCAGCGTAAGTACTTACTATACATACGTAGTATACATATGGGTATTACAAATGTTTTTATTACTAGTAATATTACTCTGTTATCTAAGCAAGTAATGTGTGCTTATTTTGAACTTGATAACATTCTGAATTACTCGTATATCTTTCAATATCTTTAGCGGTATAAACCAGGTTATGTACTACTACTAGTATTGTTAGTGAGGGATAAAGTTGATGAACAAAAATAAAACAATATTCGTATTAAAAATATATTCATCTAATATTTTTGGCATTATTTTTAAGTTTCTTCCAAATATAAGGGGTCTGACATGGGGTGTTATGTACCTACATTAAAAAATACTTTTTGAAATGTATGAAAGAAACGTATTGTATGAAATTTTTGAAATGTGTGAAATGTATGCACCTACATTAAAAGATAATTTTTGAAATGTATGAAAGAAATGTATTGTATGAAATTTTTGAAATGTATGAAATGTAAGGACCTACATTAAAAGATAATTTTTGACATGTATGAAATGTATGAAAGAAATGTATGTACCTACATAAAAAGTTCACTTTTGAAATGTATGAAATGTATGAAAGAAATGTATGTACCTACATTAAAATATAATTTTTGAAATGTATGAGATGTATGAAAACAATGTATGTACCTACATAAAAAGTTCATTTTTGAAATGTATGAAATGTATGAAAGAAATGTATGTACCTACATTAAAAGATAATTTTTGACATGTATGAAATGTATGAAAGAAATGTATGTACCTACATTAAAATATAATTTTTGAAATGTATGAAAGTAATGTATGTACCTACATTAAAATATAATTTTTGAAATGTATGAGATGTATGAAAGAAATGTATGTACCTACATAAAAAGTTCATTTTTGAAATGTATGAAATGTATGAAAGAAATGTATGTACATTAAAATATAATTTTTGAAATGTATGAGATGTATGAAAACAATGTATGTACCTACATAAAAAGTTCATTTTTGAAATGTATGAAATAAATGTATGTACCTACATTAAAAGATATTTTTGACATGTATGAAATGTATGAAAGAAATGTATGTACCTACATTAAAAGATAATTTTTGACATGTATGAAATGTATGAAAGAAATGTTTGTACCTACATTAAAATATAATTTTTGAAATGTATGCACCGTACAATAACAATACACGTTAAACATCATACCACAGAGTCATACGCAAGTTAAAAACAAACTGCTATGATATTAATGAGAAAGGAAAATAAACTTTATGGTATTCGAGTTAGGGTCGATTTCTCTCTTTTTTTTAAAACTATTTTAATCTTACCAGTTGCCAGTATTCGAAGACAGCTACGATTCGTACTCGATATTTTAAATTATTATGTAATCGATTTTTCAGTACAAATGTAAATAACCAACGACACTAATAATGTACTACTATATTCCGTTCTTTGAAACGGAATACTGCTATACTTAATACAAAATAATGAAAATTTACTGTTCACAACGACTCATTAAAAGCATCATCGAATAATGCGCTGTAATAAAATCCTGTTATCGATTATTAAAAAAAATCGATAATACATGTATTTATTTTTAATATGACAACACTTCATACATAAGTATTATTGGAAATAGTATTATTTGCTTGTTCGGCTATTTTTAATTTACTTAAACTTTTTTTATATGTTTAATTTACAATAATAATATATTAAGTGCTTATTATTGGAAAATATAAAAAAGACATTTAATTAGGCCGATACAAATAACAACAATGCCATCTATGAAAGCATTTTGAAAACATTGAGCCCCGTATTAGCACTGATTAAAGTGTAATTAAGTACTGGAAAATAACAAAATGAGTAAATATATGAAAATTACTTTTCTAAACGCATTATTTCATTTTAACATGTATATATATTTTTTAAAAATGGATTAAACTATTTTGAAAACACAGTTTTGTTTTTTAAAACGTTTGCAAAACTATGAAGAATTCCATCGATACCAATCACGCCATCTATATGCAACTTTTAGCAATAATAATGGCTATTTCCTCATTGAGTGCCACTGGTAGTACTATTATTACTTATTCTGTGCAAAAGAGAGTTTATGTTGCATGCACTTAGCATGAAACATAAACTCAAGGAATATATTATGCCCATACTCTTGATAGAAATAAAATTTATGGTTTGTCAAAATATAAATGAGATTAAAAAAGAACAAAATATTGTTATAAAAGAATTTTATTTCTACACACCATCATTTGCAACACATAAATGTGAAATGATAACATTCATACAGTGCAATATATTATAAAAATTAATCTTTATGCTGATGTTCAGACTTGTGAATAGAGAAATCTAATCTTACATAAATAATAACACATAAGAATAAAGTGTAAAGGAAACCAACAACAAGTAGTGGCTCCTGCAACATCAGCAGGCGAGGGAATGTATAGCGCAGTTGGAAGTCCTGGATATGGTTTTCCACAATATTGGTTTTAGTGAATGTTATGACTGGCCGCCCTTTAGTGTCCAAGTAAGTGTAGTGGAGACTGTCAGGCAATCTGGTCACTGGATATGGAACATTAAGTTTTATACTTGTAGAACCTTCTGGTAAAATAATCTTTGTGACTAATTCATTAACTTGCATATCATCAAATATGTGATCTACTACCCTCATCTTCAGCAAATATTCATTGCCCGAGTGGTATAAATACTCATAGCTTGGCACATTGTAACCAAGAGTGTAATGAGTTCTCCACCCACCAAAAAGAGGGTACCTAGGCCTGAGATCCAACTCAACAGAGTCCTTTTTCACTTTCATGTTAGAAGTGGAAATGTTTCCATTTGTGTCTCTATAGTACACATCAGACGCAGAGGCAGGTAGTACTGTTTTGTAGGAACGGACACTTGCCGGACCACTGTGATGGTCTTGTTGGTAATCATACCGAGAGAAAGGTCCTTTGAGCTTAGCTCCAGTGTGTTCAACTTCAATCACCTCTTCTATGGCTATATTGCCCCAGTGAGAAACCTCAATGAGTCTCTCAACTCTAGTTACAGTCAAGAATGGGGAGTTATTCTTGTAATGAACACTTAATTCTTTCTCAGTGAATGGTTCTGTATTTGTATATGGACCATAAAGAACAGCGCCGTCTTGCTGTGAGTATGGTTTCACCTTCGTGAATGACTCTAAGTTCTTTGTATTTAGAATTACATTTGTCTTCTGTGAGACAACTTGATAAGGTGAGTAGATATACAAGTTTCCATTGTATTTGACCAATTGATCTTCTTGCTGTCCAATTGCAGTAGGGTATGGCTGTAGAGCTCCCGTGAACACAGATTCTGCACTGATAGTAGTTGTCGACCCTGCATTGATAGCTTCTTTCAGTTCAACACGCCAAAACTTAACATTGCTTTGCCCTTTTACAGTAGTTTCTGTAACACGAAGATCTTTACCGTTGGTGTCTTTAGCTCCAACATGTGCAATTTTACTCTGTGCTGAAGCTTCTACAGCGAGCAAAAAGCTCTTTGCCGGCGATTTACCACTGTTCTCCAGGGTTATTTTCGATGTAACTTTTACGAGTTGTGACGCGATATCTATCGTTCGGTCTACATTTTTTATTCTTATATCACTTGATATTGTATCAACATTGGCACTATTGCATGTTATAACAATGTGAAGTAAAAATATTAAACAAAATCGCATTTTTGCCATTGCCGGTATTGCTTTTTGACATTTGACAACGCACTCGCCGGAAGTACACGCCATCATATTATATTAACAGGAAACAGAAGGTTTGTTTGCCATACTAAAAAATAAAGATTCTCAATTGCGTAGAGTGGCCAACAAAAACAATTTTGACACCACACAGATTTCTAATCTTATCTATGTAATTTATGATATTATCAGTTTCTATGATCTGTGACTATACTATATATTTGAGATCAGTTTCTGATTTTGACTAAAATATTTTAATTTTTACCGAATAGTTTAATTTTTATAGTAATATGGATTATTAAAATTCAGTTCAAAATATTTTTCCAAGCTATAAGATACATAGATTGTTCCTTATTTTTTAGTGTAGTTTAAGTCAATTTATATAATTGAAAAAAAAAATTGTTGATTGTTATTTTCGGCTCGCAAATTCACCAATATTTTTACGCAGAAAGCCACGACGATGCGTTTGTTAATACGAGTAACTTTTCTTGTTTTTCGTAAGTATATGTTTTAATAAATAAATCACATAGATATTAAATTAGTATAAAATAAGTAAACACAATCATTCTATTTTTTTTATATTCTACTATTAACCATTTATTTCTGAATTGAAATAAAATATCAAGGATTTTTAATTATCTTAATGTAACTGTTTTACAAGTACTTTATCACAAAAAATATACAGTACAACCAGCCATACCCTAATTAATTAAATTACTTGTATATTTCAGTATTAAATCAATTTTTTTCACCATGCACTGCTCTCAAAAGTGTCAGAGACTATGGCGGGGCTAAGTCCAATAATAATGTCGGAACAGGACCAAAAACACTAGCTGGAACATCTTCTGGATTGCCTGGACAAAGTGCCACAAGAAGAGGCCTAGGTATTTCTGCATGGGGCATAGTTGCTGTAATTATTACACTAATATTAGCAGGCATGGGTATGTACTACTTTGCTACTTGCTATCCCATCATTTGCCAGAAACAAGGCAATTATAACATGATGGGAATGACGCCTGTTTAAAGTTTTTATTGTCCTGTTTTTTGGGTGAACTATGAAAAAAAGGAAATACTTTAAAATTAGAAGCTATATTTTTTTAAAATTTACATACCAACTTGTTTTTATTGAATGCTTGACAGAAAAAGGTGATTGAAAACAAAGAATTTAAATCACATTTTCTGGTAATTGAGTGCTTCCTGTAAATAAATCCAATTATGAAAGTAGTAATTAATACACATATTTCATCTTAAATGAATCAACAAATTTAACATGTATTGGTATATTGTTCATATAATCTGAAAACAGCATAGAGAGTTTAATAATATTCATTTGAATATCATATGCATATCTTATTAGTTTAGTACAAAATACTATTAATTATAATTATATTCTTTACTTGTAATTGTAATATGTATGTATGTAGGTTGTGATTAATCAGGCACAAAATTGAACAGAAACACAATAAACTTGTATGCTCATATATCCAATGTTCAATAATAAACTGCATTAACTGAATAATTGCAAGTTTTGGAATATACAATTTAATGTTTTAAATTTTAAGTTGAGATTTTAATGATTGAGGTTTTCATATTGATCTATTATATTGTCAATGTTTTAAAGCACCTGAAATGAGAGAATTCAACATTTTATTACATTTTGGAACCTTTACAAATTTACCATTAGGTGCTATTTCATGGAATTCAAAATCTATTGAAGTTCATAAGAAGACTGTTTTGGACCAATTAAAATAAATGTATAAATATACATGTATGATACATATGGTGTCAATGTTTTAGTAATTTAATATATTAAATGTAGTATTATAATATTGTATGCAAGTCTATGTTATACAATAGCTCATATCATATTGAAAGATCTCATAAATAAAATTTTACATTTTATTTTCACACAGTACCAAGGCCCTCATGGACTAATTATAATAATATAGTACAACTAATTCTGCATATCCTATTCAAACATTAATGAATATGATTGTTTTTATTGGACTGGGTATTTCATATGTATATTATGTATTTACTTGATTAATATCAGTTATCTAGTACCCATAACACAAGCTCTGCTTAGCTTGGGACTGGATGGTGCTGTGTGAATTCTCCAGGGATATTATTGTTAACTGTAGTAGTATATGAATGACTGCTAATATTTTAGCTTTTACTGTGAAAGAAATATTTTTTGTTAAAATTACTTTGTCTTCCACTTGTGTGATCCACTGATATGCTGGTATAAATGATCATAAAAGGAATTATGGTTTGCTATAGAAGAAAATATGAGAACTATATTTTGTGAAGTATTTGGAAGACACATGGGTACAGTAAAACCTTTGTAAATGAGCTATTTCTTTAATTTTTAAGTATTATATTCCTATAGCACATTTGAGTTTATAACATGTGGAATTAATGTGAAAACTATGTCTTTCAATATCTAATAAAGATATTGCAAATTATTCCTGTTTCAGACGAGATTGCTTAGTTATAAGGCCGCTTATTGTTATCTCAATGTTTTACTCATTGTAATATGTTTCTATTTTCTGTAATAGTGTATGAACTGACTGAGAAAAAAAAATCTTCCATTCTCACAACTTAGTTATGTGGGTCATGAAACCTATAAAGTAACCGGCTTAAACAATCTCAATTTTTTTATGTATAATTAAAATACGTTATAATTTCCGTATCAGTCATCACCACAACAGGAAAAATGACCACGTTTTTATATTACGTATACAGCTTTAGGAAATACAACACATATCAGTATGTGACTATCTTTTATAACTGTTCAGTCATAGAATGAGTATTTTTACTTTTAATATAAGAGTCATACTATAGGGACAATTTACAACCTGTATGGTGACGGTTAATCTTATCATTATATTTTTTTTACACAAAGAATCTCCTAGATAAAGGTATTTTTACCTGACCTTAATTATTATGTTCATTATCAGTATTATCTTTGTTGTGAAATGTTTTTAATTTTGGCACATGCCTTTATCTATAATTATGTACATGTAGTACATAAATATTTTATATAATTTTTCTGCTGTAATCAATGTTTTTAGTAGTAGTTTTAAATATAATAGTATACCTGTCATATTATGCTCAAATAAATGTTTATGTAATAAATACTGATTTTATTTATATGAAAGTAGCTGGCTGTAACTTGCTGCCCATCCTGACTTTGCTTGTGTGTACATGTATTAACATATAAACCTTCCACTTGAATTACTCTCCCTATCGCTAAAAACTACATCCATTGTGTAGTTTAAAACATCTAAGTGTAGTGGGTGTGACTTTTAAATTATGTAGAAATGATCTTTAAAAAATATTTTTACTAATTGATTAATCCATTCCTTTGAAATATCGTAATGGTATGATAGTGCTTTCGATGGGAAAATGAAATGCAGATTTGTATTAAAATTTTATTGAGAATTAATTGTAAAAATCATTTATATCCAAATAGCTGCATTGGAGTAAATGCATACTTTTATAGGAATATATGGAAGATTCGCAGCCAGCACATACATGATTTAATTGTTTCAATACAAATAATATTTTACACTAATTGAGACATAAATCACTGTAAGAATTAATGTACTATAATTGAAATGTAATTTTCTATATGACCATTCACAAAAATCATACAAACATTCATCTTAACTTATTAAAAACGCACAAAATATAGCATCAGTGATGTCTACACGATATGTTATTAAGAAATATAAGTTGTATAGAAAAATAATTATCAGAGCTCTACCGCAGAGCTCTTGAATACATGAAATATTAATTACTTCAGTAAGACGCCCGTCACAGTATAAATAGCAAATTCAGAGCACCCAAATATGAGTCTATGGTAGACCGTAAGTACTATTCTCGATTGACGTTAAAAGTCCTGAATTGAACACTTAAAAGTATATATTTTATTGAATTAGATGTTTTTTTTACGGAAGTCCGTTTCCATGCTTAATGGATATATATTATTTTATTTCGTTCCTCTCTCTTCAATTCCTCTACCATAACCATGTATTCATTGCGGAAACCCGACCACCGCTAATAAAGGCTTCAACGACCTTCTATGAGTGATCAAATTCCGACCGGTATTTGATCTACACCCAAATAGCGACACGTGTTTCGCTTCTAAATAAGGCATAATCAGTAAATGATAATATAGGAAGCCTAGCGCTGACTGTCCGTAGTTGTGTCGCCGACATTTAACTGAATATTTGTGGTATCATACATGCTAACGGTAACGGAAATAAACAAAATATATAAATCCATTAAGAACTTAAGAGTATAATTGAGTCGGAACTATTTATTGCAAGACTTAATGGTATTAATGAGTAGTTTTATAAGTTACATATTTCATTACAAAGAGTTTATAACACCTCACAAAAATTAAGCGTACACATATGGCGTCCTCACGCGTGGCACTTATAACTCGTCCTTTTCCAGATCTACATCAGATAGGTCGATGTCTTCTTCAGGTGGCAGTTCGCCGTCTTTGCCGTCCCAAGGTTCTGTCGACGATATCTTGGGCATGACTGCCCCTTTCACTGGAGCTGTTTGTCCACGGCCGAACGACAGATCTCTGTAAAAATATATTCAATTATAATTACGTAATAATTTAAAAATAACCAAATACCACTCTATTTATATCTAATTTTAAACTGTAACAAACATTTTTACAATAAAAGATATATGTACAACAATATTTAATATTTTTACCATTATTACAAATATGTAAATGAGTTTATTTGTTACTTCTTGGTCGATAAAGCAACCATAGTATTTGGAATAGAGAAATATATACTCTATCTGTCAATCAATATATCCGTATTCATACAATTACGCTAGTGAAGACAAATAACATATAATGAACATATCTAGCTATCTACCAGATATTTCCCATTCTTTTTTATATAACTACTATCTATGAAAAGATTTATGATAGTAAATAACGATAATATAATAAATAGAAATATAAATAAATTCAAATAAGCTCAATACAAGCACTTTTGAATAGTTATATTTTTGATTCTACCACTCATTCAGAACGCAGATTCATCACAAGAAACTTTGTTTTGCTCTTCATAATAATATCAGCAATATAATGAACATGAAAAATGTTTCTATTCTTTCGGTTTGTGGTATATAAATAGTTATTTAATATTATTTTTTCATGAATAAAATACTAAGTTTAAATGTCATTGTTATGTTTTAGCTAGAGAAACAGATTGCGCTATGTGTGGATGCTGATCCTCTAAAAGATTCCATGTTTACAACTAGCTGCAAATGTAGAATAGATTACTAAATGAAAATAATATTAAAATATAATTATTAACAGCTTACCTTAAGAATTCATTGATGCCAGACTCTGAGAATGAGCCTCTTAATGTGGAGAATTTGAGCTTCTTTGCATTAACGACAGCCATGGCAGGGTAACCAAAACCACCGAGCTCCAGCGAGTCTTCCAAGTTAAGTTGTGCTCCGGCCTCTGCCCACACCCAACTGTAAACAATATAAGGATTAGATATAGACAATCTGAGAGTAAGCACTTATGTTCCACTACATCAATATCTAACATTTTGGAGGTGTAAAGTTAATCAATATAATAATTAAAATTAAATCATTTAATATTGATAATCAATATAATTAAAAAAATTAAAATCTAATAATCTTTATTCAAATAAAATAAAAATAATCTTTATTCAAATAGAATAAAAATAATCTTTATTCGAAAAAAATACTGTCATATTTTTTTAAATACCTACTTTTATTTATTTAAGGATATTTTTAATGAAAAGTTTTTTATACCACAATCACTTTCACAATGCAGATTTAATGTTTGAAAATCTTACTTTTCCAAAATATGTAAAATTTTAGTTCTATGTTCATTATGCGAAATCGAAACTCGACAAATCTTGAACTTTGAATATAAGGCAACTGATTTTTAAAATCACTAGTATCCTGACAACTTAGGCGTAATGCCGGTTAGTCAGGGAGAGAAACACCTCAATGCCTACAATATTCACAATTACCTATCTCTTATTTGTTTTTATAATAATATCAACACTTTCGCTCCAAAACTCCCGCTGCCTACGTTCAATCATCCGTCATCCACTTGTCAATGTCACATAGATTACTTTGGCTCTGGCCTCTGACGTTCCGTTTCAGGTTACATGATTATTGACTTTACCATTTTTAATTAATGGTGCGTCACACGATAGTTAACAGTCGGCCATCCTGCAATAGTGTCTGGCCCAGACACATAGGTAACTGATGAGCGTAGTCATGCTTATCAAAGGATATAGTGTCTATAGGATCATATAACAAATACTAAACTAAATAAACTAAAGATATACATTACTTTCATAACATTGACAGTATACTAACTGTCAAAGGTTTACAATCTAAAATCAATAGTAAGAGAGCTAAGTTTCGGCATGCATTCAGAAATGCACAAAATATAACATAACATATATTAATTTACATAATCCAAATCACCCAAAAACATGAACAACCTTTTAGAGTAACAAACAATTATTTGGCGGTGATTGACTTCTATGAGTCAGACTGTAACATATCACCATCACAATGTAAGTTTCCGATCTTATGAACATTGCATTTTTTTATACCTCCAAAATAGAACTTGACATTTCTCATCATGAATATTTTAACGGATAAATTTAACATATCACATTACAAAAGGTAAAACTTAATTACCTACATATATAGAGAAAAAAATATAAAGAGAAAGTAATATTCTCGTGACATAAAATTAGAACAAAATCGCTGCCTGCCTTCACCTAACCAATAGAAAATAACAGGTCAATATTATTCAAGTGGTTCTAATACCCTCAATACTACTACTACTATTTTACTTCGACGATACTCTTGATTTACCAGAGAATTATTTTAATATAACATAATTCATTGAATTTCAGTTATGATTTACTTAATAATACCATCAGCTCACTGGTCAACTAATCTATTGCACCCTTTGAACCCTGTACATTTAGGGGACTATAAATGATTGTAGATACTGATCTCAATTTTCTTTACAACACCAGTTTAACATAAACCAAAACCCACTGTTCCAGATTAATGTGAAATAGAAATAATCTTTATTCAAACAAACTTAATATAAGCACTTTTGAGTAGTCAAGATTTTTTAATCTATCGCTTATTCGGAACGCAGATTCATCACAAGAAGAATAAACAAGAAACTTGTGTGTTGCTCCTTTAAATAAATATTGATTTACTTATATTTAATTAACAACAAGGATTAGGCATGCGGCAATCAACATAAAAACCGCTACGCACTTACTCTCCGTTCAATCAGACAACATTGACAGCGCTATGAATTTCAAGTTAGATATTTTCTAAAAAAACACTGATTTATAAATGATGACATTTATAAATTCTTCAATTTTATAATAAGCTTTTTTTTTTTTTTACAAAGAAAATATTTTATGACACATTTGATTTATTTTTATGGCAAATTGATTACAGACTCTGGGATTTTGTTGTAAAACCTTGCGCAATTTCCATAAAACTAATTACTAACTTTCGTCAAACGAACGTGAGTTTAGTAAGCCTACTATTCGCTTTATATTTAATCGATGGTATTCGTAGTCACTTCGGCCATCCAACGTTATCGAAGGGCCTCATTCGATATTATCGTAACAGTTAACATCGGGTAATATAATAAAATTAAAATCATATAAAATTTAGTTTGAGATACTTTACATACTTAAAATATGAAAGTTGCCACTGACAACTACACATTACATTTCACCATCATGAATTCAGTCTTTGTTATATTTTTCCGCCTTAAGTTGTATCACTTAATTTTTCACACCAGGTACTAGTCAGCATCTCTGCAAACACGGCTGCCTAGCTAATTAGTGAAATACCTGTTAAAACAAAACATTAAAAAATGCCACCGCTTGCCCACTATGAGCTACGGTCTCAACAAATCTGGATTTTATTAGACTCAGCCACCGCTTGCCCGCACAAGGAGCTACGGCCTCAAACTGGTCAAATTCTCATTAGACTCAGCCACCGCTTGCCCACACAAGGAGCTACGGCCTCAAACTGGTCAGATTCTCATTAGACTCAGCCACCGCTTGCCGCCACAAGGAACTACGGCCTCCAACTGAAACACATCAAATATTTAACAACTGGTCATTTTCTCAAAGAGGCATTCACCGCTTGCGCATGCAAGGAGTTACGGCCTCCAACTAGTCATATTCTTTATGGTACTATGCTATTTTTACTTCAGCCTCAAGTGCTCTACATTGCAACTCAACTATGGGTTATATGCACTCCCATCAAATTTTACTATTACTTTTTATTCTATTACATTTCTTTAAGAACTGGATTTCCTGGTTCCATTTTACTATTTCTCCAACGCTTTAAAGGACTTTATAATATTTAATCATAAGTTAATTCAATTTAATTATGTACCAAATTCGAATTATATATCTGGTTGATATATATCTATCAATTTCTGAACGAACTTGCAATATATTACTACCACATACCCTACTCCTATTATTATCTACCAAATCTTGAGTAGCATCAACAAAAAGCGAGTCGTTCGTTGTACGTCGCATTGAGCACACGCGGATCCCCATTTTCTCCGTGAACTAACGTATACGGAACCATCAGCCGCGATCTCAGCGCAATCATCTCATCAGTATATCATCAAATCTAAACCACCATCATTTACCTTAAAATCCATAAATCGTATTCATAGTCATATATTATTATATTAATCTCATAATTTCATCAAAGTATTGCAAATAATTTTTCATTGTCATATCAACCGCCCGTTCTATTAGCCATTTTACTCATAATTCAGCTTGTCATCGATTGTAACTCATCATTGTATCACTAGCGTTCCTTAATCTTTCAGATCTATTCGTTCATGTACAACTCTTCACCGCGTATATTTACCGACTATTTTCCATCGAGGTGTATCAAATTTTACCTTGTGATCGTCTTTACTACAATCCTGCAGTGTAACTATCTTGTACACCTCGAGCGCTTTATTCATAATATTTCTAAAGTGTCTGTATACGGTGTCTGGGTTCTATAAATTAGCACCTCTTCTAATTTCCCATTAATTACAACACATTTTCTAAAATATTCTGCGTATTCGGCTGTAACTTTCTGCTTACTAGCAGACCATGTTATCAAGCCATTAGTTGTATTTAAATTCCAGACACATAAAATCAGTTCTGAAAGGATTAATTTCAATTTAAACTATTTAGTTAGTACAATAGTCAATCCGATTTCTCCAAAGGGCGTTCAGCCACACATACAAGTGCATATAGGTGCTCAGACTAATCTATGGAATCAAATGCCCAGCATTTGATTGCGTTCATCATTACTTATAAAAATTTTAACTTCCGTCGTCGTCAAAGACAACGCTTTAAATTTAATTCAATCTTATTTATCTGATGAATATCAACCAAATATTTGAAAACAACATCACCGTTATTACTATAAACTTCCAATATCTCTACACCTGTAATTTTGTACAATTCAACATTAAAACACCCTCACTTATTTAATACATCCGTTCTCGTATGCTATGCAAGTGACAACATCAATTCCTATATGTTGATGAGTTCAATATTAAAAGCCTTAGTTAACACTTTTATTTTACTTCAACTCAACAATTATGTCAAAAGTTACAATGGTCTAAATACAACACATCCAATCTCATATTCAAGTCAATTGAGTCAACATGTATACCAACAATTCTTACATGCTCGTTAATTTAGCATTATACGCTTCGATTATTCTCTTTTTTTTTTTTCAATCAATTAAAATCTTAATAGATACAATATCTCAAGATTTAACAAAGGTTAACTAGAAATTAATAAAATTGGCAAAACCATCTACAACAGTAATTTATAACAGTAAACTGTAATCCTTAACAATATTTAACTTTTTTATATCTTAACTTTCATTTATATCCTCTAGTAACTTTTCTTATATATTCCTGGGATTAAATTGGCAGATATAGCCTTACTTCCACAAGTTATATTCTCTCTCATTTTATTTGGTCTCTTAAAACAGTTATAGGTTCAATAGGATCCTTTCAACTTAAATCTAGTATACCCATGTACACTTTTCAAAACTTTAATGCTCATACATTTAACAACAATCAATTGTTCTTTTGTTTTTTTTTTTCTTTTAACTACCTGTGCTTCTTAAATTTGTATTCACTATAATACCATTATAATTAAAGAACAATGGCTCAGCTCGCAAACATTTTCTCAACAAATAATTCTCTATAACATGTAAAACTTACAACTTAGACCATGCAGTATTTATTTTTCATTCTACATATATGCTATTCATAAAGTAGTTTATTATCCATCAGTAAGCCATATAAAAATCTCATAAATTATGCCAGTATCCATATTCATAAACCAGCTCGTCCATACTGACTATCCATGTCTCTCTCTCTCTCCCCTCTCTATGGAAGTTTGCATCCAATCTTTTCCTGCTGTTTCCTTTTTTTTTTCTTATGTCATCTGCTTATCTTTTTTTCTGCTGTCCTACTTTTCTTTTGTCTGTCGTCTCTGCCATTTTCTTATATATATATATATATATATATATATTCTTTGGCTATCACTGGTCTCTTGGCTTATAAATTTTTCATTTCATTATATGGCGTCATACAATCCAATCAATCACAATACTATTTAAATGTTAAATAGGCATTACTATATGTATTTATACCTGTACATATGAGACAATTTTCTTTTGAATCCTTACTATGTATGTATTTTTTTCTTCTATAAATTATACTGATACTGTGCTTGTGAATCACTGTTCACCCCAACGGATACCAACATCTAACTTTCAATCTAAGTTACATTTGCAGTGATTAACTTGTGTTCACAAGATATTGAAGATTTTTCCTATTCTTCTTTTTTTTTTTTTATTTTTACTTATATATTCCTGTGCTAGCTATTCCTAGCTATGCTATACCGAAATCGCCATGCACTGTCCTCTACAGTACAGTAGATTCACAGAAGATAATTGGAAGTGTGGCACAGTATAGGAGTGCTATCTTCATAAAACTGACTAACTTCAGTCTCATCCTCCTTGGTAACAAAGTTATATTAAATAAAACAAACCACATGCTTATAAAGGCATAGCATAAAACACCAACAATCAGGAATTCTCATAAATATATAACGGTTGTATAGAATGGGAACGAATTTCCATGCATGGAAAGTTATGCAGCCTATTAATAACCACATTACCAAGGTCATCAGCAAAGTTTTCTAGAATATCCATATCTCTTTACTTTCCTAACAATCTTGTCTGTCTGTGTCTCATAATTTTCCTCTATAATAATTTTAAAGCTTATGTACTTTGAATATCTTAACATTGCCTTCCACAGAGACTATTTAATAATAACTAATTAATATGCAGAAACTTCATTAGTCAAATCATAAAATATTTTATAATCCTGTAGTATACAAATACATAAAAGGTAAGTTACATAAACCATTTAAAAATAGTATCCAATTTTTTCTTTCTCCTCTATTTCACCATATCACAGTTTACATGTATTCACTTAATTCTCTCCCATCTGGCCTTACCTATATACAACAAAAGAGTGCTATGCACTAATTTATTTCCATTTTCCTGCCATAATATCTGAATTATAAAGTTTATTATCCAAATTTCACAATTCTAGACCACACTGTTTGACACAATCCATGTGCTAACTTCAAGATGAGTTCATTATTAACTCATGAATGCTTTAAATCAGTTATTATCATCTTCTGATATACATTTATTTATATTAACATTCAATAATATATTCTATTTGTTATTTTTTCTTTATTATCTGTACTTCACAAATATATAATACAATTTGAATTTAAACAATTATGATTTCCTCCTTGGTTCACATTTCAATTCCAATACAGATTTAACAATGAATCTGTCCACTTTATAGTTTCTTAGTACTGTCATTCTACAAATGACACTAAATAATAAAACTCAATGGATAACTTAAGCTCAGATCCTTGCAGCAAATCTTCAGTTCATTAGCTTATGCAGTACACAAGATTGGACAATATAGCAATATATTACAATAGTCTATTTTCATTATTGTGATAACAATTGTCTTATGTTGTACATATTCATATTATAAAATCATGACATTTTGTGCAATTTACTGTATGGAGAGTTATAACTCATCAAAAGTCAAATACTCTCACTGTTGCGACTGAATATATATATATCCAAACATTCTGTATGTACACAAATATTAACTTATTTCCAAAAACTTTTATTCATATTTATAACACTAATAGTAAATTTAAAGGCAAGCTTGTTGCTCAAGTATTGTTTAGAAAATTCAACAGGTTTCTTGTACAATCAATAATACAATCAAGAGCCAACAACATTCATTTCTGGCTTTACCAAAAGCTTTTCTTTAGGTTAAAAGACAACTTCATTGTTTACAAAACTGAACCATGTAAGAATAGTCTTCCCTGTAATCTATCACTTTCTAACATGTCACATATTAATTGGGTGCTTATAAATTCCAACAATCACTTACTAAACATTGTCTCAAATGACAAATGTACATAGCTACAGGTACCTGCACAGGACCTTTAAGTACCTTTATTGATCAACAATGGCTGCTAAGGGCCATTCTAATGAATTTCAAGAGAAGCATCAAAGAAGTGAACCAATTGCTCAAACATATAATACATTCAATATGAACATACATATAATATATAATTCCAGCATAATATGACACCTTTGAGGAATTGGATATCATCTCTAGGTGCTTTTTCAACACATTAATAATCAATATCATATGATTATGATAACCTTGAGGATCCTAATAGATCTCAATTGGATTTTATACTAATTAATACTTAAATAAGGAACTATTAATAATAAAAGTTTACAGTTATTCGGTTTTTTAACATTGGAGATTACTACCAATTGTTAGCCATTGCTATATATAAAATTCAAAACACAGCAAGAAATAAATGTAATAATTGTACTATCAGAGTTAAGTGCTATTTTCACTGAGAGCATCACAGCTAATCATGAGATAGCATCTAAAATGTCTTTAATATGTAATATTATGAAATATATCATGTTATGTAGCTTGTATCAGTTTATGTCAACAATATACTGTGTCTATCTATATTAATATGCTTTATTAATTCATTAATAAACACATATCAAAGTATCAACCAATATAATATATATATATGACAGTATCTCAATTTGGGAATATAACCACCATCAAGACATATACCTGGACTATGCCTGTGATTGTCATTTATCTGAAATGGGATCATCAAACATATATGTGTACCTATGTAAAGAAATAATAACAATTCTTCAATTCAATTCACGTAGAACAAACACACAAAACTGAACAGTAAGTTTGACTAATTTACTGTGAATTAGCAACAAACTCAGCAATACCATTACACTGTTTATATGTATAACATGGTATGTGTTCTCATGTTCAACCTGTATGTCAACATAGTTAATGTAACTGTTTCTAATCTGTTGATATCCTATCATACTCTATCATAGGCATTAATAACATAACAATAGTTACTCTGTATTTTAAACTAATTAGATATCCATGTTGTTTTATACTTAATGTATTCATAATACTTCTTTCTTAGGTATATTGTATACCTCAATATCGTGCTACATGTCATGTCATTACTCTCGCAAGTTATCGTACATACTAAATCTATTTAATATGTAGAAAGCAATTCATCCAAAAGTTCAATAAAACAAGTGAGATACTGCGTTTAATGGTATGCGTGTTATTAACGTAAATTCACTTACCACAACTTCTAGTCAGAATTACCTTACGGTCGAATTTGTAGGCGGGATTGGTACCGCTTCTGAACTTTTAAAATCACTAGTATCCTGACAACTTAGGCGTAATGCCGGTTAGTCAGGGAGAGAAACACCTCAATGCCTACAATATTCACAATTACCTATCTCTTGTTTGTTTTTATAATAATATCAACACTTTCGCTCCGAAACTCCCGCTGCCTACGTTCAATCATCCGTCATCCACTGGTCAATGTCACATAGATTACTTTGGCTCTGGCCTCTGACGTTCCGTTTCAGGTTACATGATTATTGACTTTACCATTTTTAATTAATGTTGCGTCACACGATAGTTAACATGATAGACATAATTAAATATTTTATTTTTATAAATACATACATCGAAAATGACAATATATATAATAACACTCATAAATTTAAGTGCTAACATTGAATTCGTAACCTTCAGGAATTTGAGTGTGTAGTATTATAATGTACGATATGATGACATGTCGCAACATAATTTATTTGTTTCCTGTAGTATCTAGGTAGTGTGTACAGCTGGAATGATTGTACTACTATAGTAAGTTTATTTGATCGTGTGCTACATACTGACTGACTGATTTTACAGCGGCGTTAAATCTAAGTTATATGGAGACGTTGATAAATGGAAGGGTGCCGGGTGTTGACAGAAATATTACAAGTGTAGGGACAGTGTTAAACATCTAACAACCAGGGCCATCGGTAAATAGCCAGTACCACTCACCCCCACATCTTGTTCTTATACTTGTCACCGAGTCTGGTCAGGATGGAGATGTATTCATTGCGGCAGGCTGCGTTACAATCTAGTATATGCGGCAACACAGACACCACACACAGCGGCTTTTCACTGCAACCCTTCAATGTTTCTTCGCCGACCAACTGTCAGAAAAAAGCAAGTTTTACACTGAAGCTTATGTTTTCTGTCAGTTTCAATAACCGTTTATTGATTGACTGTGATTGGCATCAGGTATATTAGGTAGTCATCAGCTCCTGCTAATGTTTCTGTTTGTATTTTTTTTAATGCCATAATTGAAGGTTTAAGGTACCTTAAAGAACAAAATACAAAAATTGTCACTGTAAGCGCATTCTTATATTTCTGTCGACAATTGTTATTTAGCTTATTTATCAACAAACCTAGCCTTTGGTCTTGTAATAAGAAAAATAACTTGTAGAACAAATTAGCTACATATAAATCATGGTGGTCGTTCCCATCAAGTAATATCAAATTAGACTAGAATATAAAATAGACAGGCATATTTATAATGTCAGTCTGAATTACTTATATTCGTATAGTAAACCTGTACATAAATGTACTGTTCATGCACATTCTACTCTTATTTTACAATCAAATACCGATAAATTTTACGACATATTGCAGTTCAGTTTGAATTAAAAATATTACATATTCAAATGCTAGTTCTGTTACGGATTATTCTATAATACAACAACTGTTGCCATTAGAAACTTTATAACAAGCTTACAAGTAAAATTACAATATCATTAGGTAATAAGTCTCATAATATATTCATTTAGTAGGTTAACTGGATTGTATTTTACAAATCACTAAAAGAATCAGGCATGACGTGCCCGCTTTAGTTCGATAGATATACCTACTGATACAAAAAAAAATAACATAAGCTAAATGTTATGATATTTGTCGTTCACATCATTATTATGAGAAGATGAACCAGTGTTCGTAAATTTAAACATAATTCATATCTAAGACGTCTTTATTACTTTGGTCAGATCGAAAATGTTATTTGGGACAAGCAGTCTGACTATTGTTTGAAGACTTTATAATGTCTTTATTTCAATTTTGTTCAGTGCGAAATATTTTCTCGGACTAGTACTTTTACTTGTGTTATAAGACACGCATAATTCTATTGGAAAATGACCACTATTATTCATAACTTAAGTAGCCGTAACCGTTTAGTAAACGTCATATTTTGAGGTGAATGTTCTTATGGAATTACCCTACATTTATTTAATCGAATTGGGTGTTATTTTGCAGAAATTCATTTCACTACTTCATGGATTTTTATTATTTTGTTTAACGCCTCATGATGCCTCGTTCAGAGGCGAAATACAATATGGGTGTAGACTCAATAATGGTTGGAATTTGATCGCCATTGAGAAGGTAGTCGTAACGGTAGTCAAGTTTCTACACCGAACATTTGTGGTCTCACACATGCTAATTAATGAAAATAATATAAATCAATCAAGTACTCTACATTTACATATAGGTGTAGGTACTATAAGAATTTTTTTATGGCTTCGTATACAATTGTGATGTTAGGCAATTTTCTATTTAAAAACCATTTATTATTTTCTAATATCTCCTTTTATATGTTTCATTAATGAATACTATATACCGTCTTATACAATTTATCTCCACTCCCTTGGAACCTATCAAACAAATAAAACCGCTCTCTTGAGATAAATATTATTAACTAATTTATAAATATTCTTACATCTATAGAAAGCAATATTATCAGCAAAGTACATGTGCTAAATTTTATTTACCAAAAACTAAGATCTCTACAATAATTGCACCAGTGCGAAGCCGGAACAATTCTTTTACTTACTAGTCATTTATAATTTGAATATTTTCAGAATTAAGACTTAATCAGCACTAGTTGTTACCCGCAATATTTAATTAATATTTCAAGATAAAAGACAGCCTATCTCCATCCTCAACATAACATATCTTTAAATCAAATTTCAGATCCATTCAGCTGTTTAATCATTAAAAGGTAACATACATACATACACAACACAAACACTCTTTCCCAATTATTATATCAGAACGGAATCATACCTGCAAGATTTCTGGCGGTGGTACATTCTCGGCCAGCTTGTCCAGCGCCCACGAGACGATATCACTTGCTGTCCGTCCCCCGTTGTAGTCTTCTGCCGAATCCGCGCTCTTCTTGCCGGATGGGAACAGCTTGATGGTGGGGTAACCTTGGACTTGATAACGGGAGGCCATCACTTGGTGCACTGTGGCATCGAGGGCACCCAATTTCACCTAAGTGACTAAAGACATTAGTATTGCAAATATACAAAAATGTATACCTTTTAACAATAAAATTGTACTATATTTAGATCTTGTTGGCTATGAACATCAATTAAAATTATAACATAATTTCGTTTTATTTATCATTCTACGAATTATAACAGTGACTATTATTAATTTAATAGTTACCATACACAATTAAAAATATAATGGAGGTAAGTTTTTACATACATTTATGTACATTTTGGAAATATGTAGATATATATGTACATATATTTAATGAGTCCATTGCATCTAATATTGATAGTATACAAATAATAACTCTGGACAATTCACACAGAGCCATAGACTAGTCCCAAACTTAGCAGAGCTTGAGTTATGGGTATTAGACTACTGTTTAGAAATACCTTTTTTAATGCATACATAATATACATAGAAATCACCCAGACAAATACAAACAATCATACTCATAAATATAAATATTTGCATTGTGCAGGAAATAAACCCGCAAATAACTTGTTGAACTATGTTACAACCTAATTACTTTTTTATGCCTGATTTTAGAACATTTCACCTACTAATTCTGTCATAACATTATATGCACATTTCCAGTACCTTTCCTTTCAACTCTGTAGCAGCCTTCGCCCATTGTGGCTCAAGATTCTTGCAGTGACCACACCATGGCGCGTAGAATTCCACCAACCACAAGTCGTCGCTGTCCAGCACCAGTTCTTTGAAGTTGCTGTCCGTCAGTGTTATCACATCCGACTGAAACAAATGAAAAAACATAGAACATAAACATCAGTTTACACTTGATTAAAGAAAAACAAATAAATTCCTAATAGAGACATTTTTAAAAGGATTTTGATTAATCTTTGTGCAATGGATATTCAGTGATGAATTGAAGTAGTTCTTTTATTTGTAGGTGTTGGATTTGACACTACCCGATGAATCTTTGCTTCTATATATAATATAATATTTATATAATAATATATAATGTAATAGAATAATGTGTATATAATGATTTATGTAGGAGACATAAATCATTGTATAGAATAACAAGTGGTGTAAAGAAAGCAGAGTATGAACTAAGTGTTGTCATTTTCGTACAAAAATAATACACGATTTAATATTCTCATTGTAAATCTGAATTATAATAATTTAAAAAATTGTGGGGCGGCATAGAGGGTATTTTAAGCCTGCGTAAGGACATATGAGACAAATGAAGATCAATGCCTGAGAGACACGTCTTTAGCCTGTCTAACCGCTAGTAGGTTCGAATCTCATACCGGGCTGTCATATTTATTATATTTCTTTATCCCCGTAGAAATACGCTATATAGGATGATGATTGTAGGGGTGGTTCTTTTTTATATCAACCTGTATAGTAGTAGCAGCGTGCGCTAAAAAATAAGACTATATATTATAGATATTTTATGCTTTACTCAGACATCTGATAAATTTTTTACCGCTCTCTTATTTTGTTATATCTAAAAAATAAGAGGAGGTGTAGGTGAAATCGCGTGGGTGCAATTATCGATGGAAAAAGTATGTCATTCTTGTAATACACTAACGCCTACACACAAGTGAAATCTCGTTTTCAATGACTCCTATTAGTCATAACAGTCACTGTGTCCTTTCAACACAATGTCGTAAAATATAAGCAGCAATAATTATTATGCGGTTAGTTTGAAAGTAGACATTTATACACTAAACCTGTATACAATGTGTTCAACCTTACACAGCATTCTTTGGACTGAGTTGAGTCTCACCTACATCTAATGACAAACAGCTCTACTTGTAAACTTCATTAAGATTTTTCTAACTTTCTAATGCTGTTAGCCACAGCTGTCCTTTACAGCTTCAACGAACGATAGTTGTCGAGTGCAGATGACAACCCGCGGATGGTCTTATGGAGCGCCTGAAAGCCAACTCCTGCCTCGCGGATACTACTTTAGTTTAAGGGCACCACTAGAGGTTCGAACCTAGACTCCAGTCATCGTATGTCGATCCCAGTTTGAATTGGATGGGGCATGAGGGTCAATAGGGTGTAAACGGTATAGGTATTAATATGTAAAGTAAAATTACTGATACTATGACAAGAGCTTAATGTCAATCGTCAATCGTCGGTTACATTAGCACTTCGATTAACATTAATTGACGTTAACACTATCAGATAACCATGATCCGTTCTTATCAGTTACTTAAAAGATTCTGTGAAACTGTTCAAACATTCTAGATAAGGTCCATTGACTTTAGAGAATACTTTTTATATGTAGTGGGATTTTTATCATAACTTCCAGAAGCACATGTTGTTTTAATAAATTATTACATTATCTATAATGTGTATATATAGTAACTGTGTTATTAACCCCACATATTGAGTAGAGAGGTGTTTGACCTATAAATTTTATGATGGGTTGACAATTTCCTAACTTTATAGTATAAAAAAGTCAAAAGATTTCTAGCATATTAGATTGTATAATGATAATGCAGCATAGATCAAGTCAAGTAATCATTCAATAACATTATAATAAAAAACAAATATATACTCTAATAGAATACAATAGAAAAATAAATAACCAAACTTTCACATAAATTCTTGCTTTACACTACTACATTATTTCTAAAACGTCAACATTAATTATCAATTAGTTACATTAGTATAAAATTATCCGTGACAAATTTTCTGATAACAAAGCACATTTACTAAACACTAGTGGTCGCCCAGGGTTCGACCATAATGAAAATATAAAAAGATCTTTGAGAAAGCAATAACAAATATATATATATATATATGTACATATAGAAAAATATATTAACAATAAACAAGAGTATATATGCACGTCAAATAATTTTTTGTCTAAATTTAAAAAACATTTGAGTACTTATTTGAGTCTAAAATCGAGACAACTGGACTACAATAAATTTGCAATATTGTATGAGTCAGTATGGACATAGGTCTAACATATCATATTTTATGTTTAAATAAACCAAAAATATATGTATCTAGACTAAAACAACATTGAAGTGACAATTGAAATTTAATAGTCATACATCCTAATTATTTTGTTTCTTGTCTAAGAGGGTTACTCTAACAATCTTAGGTGGATTATCATCATAAAGTCTTCGGCGAAATAAGTGTGATTGTAAATAATTTAGCCTGGCTATATTCATAGGGAAGGTTTGTTTCACCATACCAGCTCTCGTTATTGGTTTCCATGGAATGTCATGACCATAGACCTTTTTCTTAATTTTGTGCTAATAGAAAAATTGAATTTAAATAGATTATATTAAATAGAGTTACTGACTTTCATCATCTTTATGTTTATCACCATCGGGGTCCATAGTGCTCTTATAATAATATTATGTTGAAGTTTATATCTACCTTATGATATGCATGTGAATACAGAAATAAATAAATAATAATTATGCTAATACTTCAGTGGGCATTAGAATTTTTTTACATAACCTTTTCACCTATAACTATTCTCATAAGAGGAAAACACATCATACTATTATTAGGCTTCATTAATAAGTATACAAATTATTTATGGATAAAGTAAGACTAAAATGCAATTGATTCTCCTCTCTACATGTGCACAATATAAAATATTTTCTATGAGCATTATGTTTTGACTCATATTTGCTAAACATCAAATGTCTACTGAATATATTTAGCATGATACTTTTTCAATAAAGTTGAAAGATTTTTCAAAAGGTTTACCTTATCTGATGAGCTGCTCGACTTCTTTCCAAGACTATCATAAGCCTTCTCCTTAGCTGCTTTAAGGGCAGCATCAACAAATGCTTCTGCAGTTCTTTGGCCTTGGTATGGGGTATGTTTGCTTCCCGTAAACACTTTGATGGTTGGAAAACCAGAGACTCCATATTTCTGAGCAAGACTCTTATGCTCATCAGCATCTACAGCACCAACTTTGACAATACCCTGCAGCATAACATAGCAAGGCAATGAGGTAAAAACTGAATGTCCTTATTTCTTTAGAACATAAGAGATAAAATAATATATACAGATAAATATGCAATTCAGCTTTATACTTTTAGCAAAACAATTAAAAACTTGCTTAGAATAAATTAACCAATAATTAAAGAAAATGTTTCAGACATCAGCATACAATAATTATGCTACAATATGATGAATCAAAAAAGGTTTATTAAGGGTACGGCTCTGAATATTATATACCATCTTGAAGAAAATCGAATCTGAATAATATCATATACCTATTGTACTTTGATATTTAAAATGACAATACAAAATTGAACAAAGAGTTACTTTGTTAGGTGTATAGGTATTCTAGCAACATATAAAGAGCAATTACAATGGATAATATAATATTTAACGTTACCTTAAGAGCCCGTGCTGCCTTCTTATATTCAGGGACGAGATTCTTACAATGACCGCACCAGGGGGCGAAAAACTCTACTATCCATACTTCATCTGATTTTGTAACCAGTTTATCAAAATTACTGGGTGTCAACTCCACCACGTCTGACGAAGAGTCGTATAGTCCAAACGACCCCGATACCAACAGTAATATGCCTGAAATTAAGTGTGAAATTAAATGCCGGGACTTGATAACAAAACCGGCAAAGAATGACTTCATGGTAAATTAAAATGTTATTTAAACATACCCAAGCTATACGCGTAAAACATATTCACTAATTATGTATTACTTTATTATTACAAAAGAACCGAGAAGATAATATTTTACAAGGAGCTAAATAAAAATGAAGCAAAAGCTTGCAAAAGTGTACGAATTAGAAAAGAAATACACGTCAATCTTTTTGAATCGAATTTTATTGTCAATGGATTTCGTGGACTCGTTTTATTGGTGAATTTAATTTTTCCCACCACTAATAAAGAAAAAAGCCAAGGATAAACATGATCTTATTTAACATTATGGTACAAATGAGTTGCCATTAATAAAAAAAAGACAGAAAAACATTTTGTTTTTGAATTATTATATTAGTATAATACTACAAAACATATAATATTGCTTTTAACTTAGTACAAAGTAAAAGTTACGTAAATTGGATAGTTAATGAAATTTCATTTTATCAGTAGTAACCTAAAGAGGGTATTACAAGGAATTTATTTAATCAGATTATTTTTTAAAGCTTCTGAGGTGCCTGTTTAATAAACATTATGGAGTTTTACAGATTCTTATATAGCTAAGTATAAGTAATGCAGAGAGATCAATTTTCGTTGATATATATCTAAATTCGCATGTGATAATAAATTTCATAATGTAATATATCCCTAACATTAACTGTTTGATAGAAATGTGGACTTTTTTTGTATGGATGATGATGAAATGATAAGTATGTATGATAACACAAGTGTCATGTCCATCGATAATTTGAGTAGATTAAGCATAGCGTTTTGAATACAACATGGAAGCGGAACACGCTGTCGTATTGATTGGACTTGATATCTATTATGTGAAACTGAGTCAGAAATGTAAATTGAGTTTTTATTATAATTAAGTAGATTCTATCTCACGATCCCAACCCGTGTTGGGTAGTAATCAGCCAGGATAGGACGCTATTATTCTCAAGCACTAATATATAACAGGAAAAAAAGACCACTAAACAAAATTAGATCTAATTTATATATTAAAATAGTTTTACAAATTTAACTTAACCGAAATGCTATTTATGTTAGTAACTTACACAATTTTTTAAATGCACTTCACTTTCAGTAGTTGTTTACATCATTATTTAAATTATTAACCGGGTCGGTTTATTTGCCATAAAATTATTCGTGTTAAGACCCGGTTAATAATTTAAATAATTGTTTACATCATGTACTATTATAAGCCTCATGACCGAATTCTAGATATTATAGCCAATAAAGACACAAGTTGCACATAACAAGAATTTAAATATTAAGTTACAAATAATTTACATTACACAACAGTGGGATACAGACACAGTAGTCTAGTTAACAATTTCATAGGTATAATAAATTGCTAATATTTATATTATATTTTAAAATAACACTGTATCTTTAATGTATTTGGTACCTTAATAATAAATAAGAATGTAAGCAAATTCATCTAAGAATTTGGTCAAACAAGTACAATGATGTTTAGATCTGCTGATCTAAGGCAAACTAAAAGTTTTTTTTTAAATAATAAATAGTCTAAATGAGAAGTTTTTCCTGAAAACTTAAGTTTAAACATATAATTAAGACTCCTAATTACGAATTACATTAAAAAATAAGCATTTTAATATATCCTACACTGATTATGTGAAAATTATAAACAATAAATACAGAAAAGTCAAAACAAAATTAACCATTTTAAATAAAAGGATCCAATAAATGTTTATTTCTGAATTAAATTATGTACTTATAACATTTTGTTGTTTTCTAAAGTAACACATTAAGTAGAAATAGTTGAGTATTTCAGTCATAAAAAAAATCTTATCAGTATAGTTTTATCAACATTTAAAATTACCATATCTTGGGAATTTTATTTGCTGAATTTTATCATCATAATATATAGTATTTAATATTATATAAAAAGTATGAATTTTGTACATTATGAATGTATGTATATTAATATATTATTTTAAATTTACATTTACTTAAACATCAAAAGGTAGTTATTTATTTATATAGTTTATTTGTCCATTAATGACCTTGTTTGAAAGGTTAGTCAATAATATAAATGCTACAGTCTCATTTGAGGTATTAGTTTAATAGGGGAACCAACAATAGGTTTCTTCGGGCTAAGTTTGTTAGGTGACTGCATCACAACATCAACTGCTTTTCTCAATATTTGGTGTTCAGTTTTCTTGTATTCATCAGTTATTTGTGACAAATCTAAATCTGCATCAATAACCAGGACCTATAATGAGAAAAATAACATATTATTTTCAATAAAGAAATTAACGGTAAATGCCTATGTGGCTAATTTATACATGGTTGAAGTGGGAGGAAGAGAGGGACAATCTTCTAAATAGATTGTCCCTCTGTTCCTCATAGATAAATAGATTCTTCTAGATATTGGCTGGTCTAGAACTGCAGTAAGTTCTTTAGATGTTGCTTTAGCAGCACTAACAGGCTCCTACCAGCCTTGTCTGGGCAGGGAGAGAAACACAAGCAGTGAGTGTGAGTGTTGATATACATAAAAACAAAGTATTTGCTATTACTCCCCTTAAACTTACGCCTGGGCCACAAGTCCCGGGAATGCTAGGAGTTTCTGTCTGCCGAACTGAGAAGTTTTTCTCTGCTACTTAATAATAGCAATAGGCAAAATTATTACTATTTTTATTACATAAGATGTATTTTTCTGTCAATATTGTAGAATAACAATATTCTTACCGGTGCAGGACACTCTGCAAAAGTCCTGTGCACAAGCCAATCTTCATGTAACTGATGGAGATCTTCCAAATACTTCAGTGGCACACACTGCTCTTCAGATCTAGCTCTCTTCCTTATCCTTTCATGAACAACCGATGGTGTTGTCTTTAAGTATACTGGAGATAGAAAAATATTTTGTTTAAACAACTTAATATTACCAAATTCAGAAAGAACAAAGAAAGAAAGAAATTTTATAAACAGATAAAAAATTCCATATCATTTCAATCATCTGTTTGAGTTAAAAGTCAGTGAACTGAGTCTTATCTAGCACTATACAAACATAACTTGTCATGACCTGATTCTCTAATAAATACTTATAGAAAAATCATACTATTCAGCTATACTCTATTCATAATGTATATTACATACCAATATTTAGTTATATAACATGGTTAGTAATAAAGGTTAGTACTAAACTGACAGCCATTACACATCCTATGTGGTTGTAATTCACTCATGCATAAACAAAATATCTTTGGAAAGCATTCACTCAATACTGAGGAGATAAAACCAATACACCTAAGAATATCCTACAATTCTTGTCTCATTATATTTGTATATCTTAACAGGTCTTATTTTTATTTTAGATGCTTTTAACTTTACTACAAAAATTCAATTTTAAAGTTAATAACAGCGTTTTACCTTACAATAAAACGCTTATTAACTGCTTACCTAATTCGAAGCCTGTAAATGAGAGTAGCGATGCTATTTTTCGGTACTGAGGCGGATGTTACGTCACTTTTTGCCGGAAGTACACCTGCATTTTGTTAGTTCAACTTTCCTCCACCAGGTGGTGTTAGTTTACTTGTGTTGTGCAGAGTCCCAATTTAGGTCATTGCGTTCGAATTTACACCAGGCAGAGTTAGAAGTAGGCTTCGAATTAGGTAAGCAGTTAATAAGCGTTTTATTGTAAGGTAAAACGCTGTTATTAACTCGCTGTACCGTAATTCGAAGCCTGTAAATGAGACGTGTTTGGTGTCGCCTGGTGGAGGATGATTTAACGCCAATGTGATGTAAAATAAAAATATATACTATAGTATTTGTGGCAATGAAGCATGGAATTTCGTATCAAGTATTATGTGAGGAAAACAGGTTTAACTAAAATCCAAATGTTGTAATTATTCAATATTTATTAAAAAAAAATTATATATCATATAATACCATTCTGATAATCAGGGATATTATGAAATCCATTAATTTGCCATTAATTAGTTATATTAAGTAGAAACAATATATATATGTGTCAATCATCAAGACAAAAACACAATACAGTTAATATATTAATAAAAGTGAAGCGAGAATCGATAATATAACACTCATAATGAAACGAGGAGAGTATGTCACTACTGTATGGGTGAGAACATATCAGGTAGAGGATTAGATTGCACGGGTTTGATTTCCCGGCAATAATATTGTGTAAATGTATTAAGACATCGCCAATTTCCCTTTGCAAGTATTTCGTCGATTGGGTAATTGAGTACCCAGTTCTTAGAGGCAACTGCAGATCGAATGCTACCGGGACTGGCCTTAACTCCTGCTTCTTCAAGTAACTTCCTCACCCAACCAGCTATTACTGTACGTGATGCAAGTTTGGGTGAACCACAAGCTGTAATGAATAAACTATTAGTTTTACAGATCTTACGCCTAGTGGACGACAATTCAATTACTCTCTTTATCCAAAACGTGGGATCAATCAAATTATTATCTTTGTTAGAAAGTAAACGCCACCCTGACTGCCTGGTGTCACAATTATCAGTTTTAGAACCAAACATAGGCCAAAATATTATGTAATTATCAGAAATAATACAGTGGTTATTATCAATAGCTAGTAATGTCAGATCATGTACACGCCTTCCTGAACAAAGTAGTAACAAAGTGGCTGCTCGCTTTGAACACTGGTATAAATTGTTAATATCACTGCCATTATTTTGGAGCCAGTTAGATAATACATCAGTATCCCAGATAGGTGGTTTTACTATATTTTTAGGTTTTCGAAGGGATATGGACTTTAAGATTTTCTTTACAAGTATATGAGAGCTTAGCCTGTCGGTGACATTTGGATTGCAAAGTGTAGAAATAGCAGATTTATGTACCAAAATTGTATTATAAGAAAGTTTATATATTTGAAATAGGTCCGCTAAGAATCTCGCTAGTTGTGAGCCTGTAGGGTCGCATGGGGACGCAATTTGGTTATCTTTACACCAATGTAGCCATCTACGCCATGCATTCTGATAGGTTTTAGCAGAAGAGTTTCGCCAACCTGACTTGAGTAACTCCATCTGATCCGACGACCAGTCCTTTAGGCACGGCGTCCACCCCCACATCTCCAGACCTCGAGAGTCATCTCGAGGGCTCTTGGTGGTGGCAGGCCGGTCGCCGTGTCCACTAGAACCTGATCTAGGTGATATAGTGTAAATGGGGGGCATAATGCCCGGTTCTTGATGTCCGGTCTCCAAAATACCTTGTCCCATACCGGGGCTACGATTAGATAAATTCCTTTCGCTGTATTTAGGTGTGACAGTACTCTGGGTATTAAGAAGGGTGGTGGAAATATCCATAGTGTAAAGTTCCATTCCTGGCTGAAGGCATCGCAAAGACATGCTTTTTGATCTGTTGGATCTAAGCTGGCATATCGTGGTACCACGTGAGCCGTTTTCGATGCCATAAGATCGATTACGGGTTCTCCCCATTTGTTGAAGATCCTGGCAGTGGCCTTCGGTAGCAGGTGCCACTCGGGAGTCATTTGACAACGAGATAGGCGATCGGCCTCGCTGTTGAATATGCCTGGTATGTGATGAGCAATAAGATGGATTTGATGTCTGTCTAAGAGATTGCAGATTTTTCTTGTGGTGTTCAGGAGCCTTATAGATTTCGAGCCTCCCTCTTTCTTTAAATAGGAAATAACCGTCTTGTTGTCGCTCTGCAGCATTAGTGAAGATTTCGACAGGAACCGATGCTGCTCTTTTAGGACGTAAAATACAGCTAACATTTCTTTTAGATTGGAGTGTAAATTCATATCTTGAGAGGACCAACGACCTGCAATCTCTATATTGTCCAGGCGAGCTCCCCCCCCTACCTCGGATGCGTCTGTTGTTAAAAAATGGCTGGCAGGTGGTATATGAAGGAGAGATGACTGTTTGTGATTTCTCATCCACCATAGTATCTCCTTCAGGACACCTTCGGGGACTACCCAGCGGCGGGAAGAATTTGATTGGGAGATTATTTTGCAAAAATGGAGAAGTTTGCGATGATTTAATCTTCCTCGAGGTATTACGAAACTGGCAAAATTTATAAGACCAATCAGACTTTGCAATTCTTTCAACTTCACAGTTCTTTTCCTCAATATAGGATTTATCTTTGTTACGAGGGACTGACATTTCAGCAGAGGCAATGACTTCAGATCTGACCAAGGGTCCCAGCATATCCCCAAAAACTCCAAACGAGATTGGGGGGTTAGAATCGACTTCTCGTAATTTATTTGCCATCCCAGCCGTTTCAAAAGTGAAACAGTGTCTCGGACCTGGATTGAAAGTTGGTGTTTGTTCTGGTTTACTAGCAAGAAGTCGTCTAGGTATGTAACTATGCGTATGCCTCGATCTCTCAGGGTTTGCGCAACCCAATTTGTAAGAATGGCAAACGTCTTTGGTGCCGTTGCTAATCCGAATGGGAGGCAGGTCATTTGTAATAGTTTTTGATTGAAAATCAATCTCAGAAATCTTCTGTGCGATTCTAGAATTGGTACGTGAAAATAAGCATTGGATAGGTCTATTTTGACCATCCAGTCGAAGGGTTGTAAAAATTAGGGAACTTTTTGCGTATTTATCAATCGAAATTTCGTTATTATTAAGTATTCGTTTAAGTTTCTGAGGTTGAATATAGGACGCATGGATCCGTCTGTCTTTGGAGTTAGGAACATATTGGAGATGAAACTCGGAGAGAGCTGCGCGCTCTCTAATATACCCGAATCGATCATGTTCTGGATGGCTTGCTTCATATGGAGAGAGAAACGAGTATGAATTTTGTGATTCTTGAAATTGGGCATGTAAAGTGGAGGTTTTTGTCCAAATGGAATTCTGTATCCTTGAATAATTTTTAAAATTGGTTCTGGGGCACCCATTTTTAACCATACATGAGCATAATTTTTTTAAACAACCTCCCACAAAACTCACAGAGTCAGAATTTTCGTTTCGAACGAAAATTACCAGGACTTGGCCGCGAGTTCTTTGACTGGCCCTTATAAGATACTTCGTCCGGTCGGGATCTGTATCTTTTGTGTGAGTCAGGTCTGTTTGTTTTATCATGGTTCTGCGCGAACCGTTTTCTGTCATTATAGTTTTGTATAAAGCTACTTCCCTGCGTAGGAAATGTAGGTATATGATAGGGTACGTAAGCAGAGGAATGCATGTGTGGCATGAAAGAATTAAAACTATTATTGAATGTTCTGTTAGGATGTCCTTTGAATGTCAAATCTTGAAGGCCCTGCGCGGGCGCTTTCATATTTGATGGTCCTGCTTGCGTAGTGGACCAGTTGGCTCTCTGGTTTGAATTACGAACTGGCCAAAAATTTTACCGACACCACCAGATTTTTCAATATAAGATGAAAAAGATTCTTTATTAAAAAGGAACTCATGTGTTGGAGGGATCTTTCGTAATTTAGCACGTACATACTTATCTTTCACGGATCGTAGTATACTATCTCGCCTTTGCTCAATTATATCTGCTCGATGACCACAAGATAATTGGAGAAGGTCACTAGATATTTTGTTAAAAGTACCCTCACTAAATATTTCGTTTAATTTCTGTCTAATCGTTGATGGTGATAGGTCATTAGAACTAGATGCCCATGAGAGTAAAGACTCAAAACCGGCCTGCGCGGCCTCTCTCTGTTTAAGTAACGCTTGGGTAATAGCGGCGAAACTTTTTTCTATTGTACATAGATTAGGATATTTATCGTAAGATTTTATTTCGTCATTACATTCCAGATCAATGAAGCCTGGGGACGATGTATAATTCTTTTGTACTTCAGAAAACCTCACGTCACACCATTGAGAACTGTTAAAATGTTGCAACGAATTCAATAAATTGATGTGTTCGTCCGTTGACTTGGTAATGGTGGGTTCTTTCAAAACAGTATTAATTGGTAAGTTGAAGTTTGTTGTTGATAGACTGACAGAGTTATCCAAGGTTGAAACATTTTCGCCTTCGGAAAACAATTCACCACTGTGATTTAAGCTAATGCTATCATCTTCGTACAGAGGTTGTGTCGTATAGTTACCAAATGGTGCAATATGTGGGGCCGAATTAAATTGGTTATGAGACAAGTATTGTTTTAAATAACTAACCTCGTTACTGAGCCTGCGCAGCTCCTTTGATTTTCTACGTCGTTTGTTGTCTTTCTTCTTCTGCGGAGTGCCATGTCGTTTCCGTTGAGAACCTTCACCATTTTCGGCAGGTTCTGTTGCAGGTACATTCTGGATACTTCCGGACGAATTTGAAGAACTACTATCACTACTTGTATCACTCATACTAAAATATAATCTAGTTTTGAAAAAAAAAATAATTGTTGAAAATAAAAACCCTTGCAATAAACTTTAAATTAATGAATGAATTATTGTTATTAAAATATATATTGAAGGTAAGTAACATCGAACGGTAGCACCGTTATCTTTAAAAAATAATTTTAAAAAATACAGTGATGCAACAATTTTTATTCTTACGGGGCCTCAGCGTACATAAGAACGGTCCGCTCAGCACGAAAAATAAACCGCCAATGACCTAAATTGGGACTCTGCACAACACAAGTAAACTAACACCACCTGGTGGAGGAAAGTTGAACTAACAAAATGCAGGTGTACTTCCGGCAAAAAGTGACGTAACATCCGCCTTAGTACCGAAAAATAGCATCGCTACTCTCATTTACAGGCTTCGAATTACGGTACAGCGAGTTAACATACACTTTTATTTTCATTTGGAGTTTTATAATTACTATGCTATTGCACAATATGAGATATATATTATGTAAAACTGAAGTAACACTGGATGTTTATAGCAGGGTCACCATTCTTATAACAGACTAAATACTTCTATTACAAGAGAGTGGTACCCAGATGTGAGATGACAAGTTATTTTTTTTTAGATTATTGAAATGGCACATAGATGGTAAGTGGTAGCCATCACATATACATATCCTATACAAAACCAGCACCACATACATTATATCATTGTGTGACACACATGTATCCATACCCTGTAATTTTTCACATTTATTGACACTATATTATACAGAACAATATAATGAAATTACTGATTGAATTTGGTTTAATTTTCTAAATTCTAAATCAGTCTTTAATATTGTCATAATATTTTAACTTCCTGTATTATGACAATATTAAAGATTGGTACCAGTAACCATCATTTACATACTTTACATTCTTAAAATGAAACTTGTGTAAATATTGTGACTGTACTTATTATGGATGCTCCGTAATTAAGCTCTATAATTAAGTCTGTATATATTTACCTACAGAATGCTACTTGATAAGTCTTTCACCATCATTTTGTAGTAAAGGTTATATGTATAAGTTTAAATATAATTTATTTACATTGTAAGATTCCTTCTGGCCAGTAAAATAAAGATTATTATTATTATTATATAGGTATGAGAATAAACTTACCTATCAGATCAGCACTTATGGACATATGTTGATGAAGAAACCGGAACCACTCGTCTAGAACGGCGAATTCTGCGTTGTGAAGAACTCCACTCCTCATCATGTTCTCAACGAAACAGTACCTAGCACTGTATATGGATCGCTCCATTAACTTCACAGGGGTCGGTGTAGGTTTCAGATGCATATCCATCATAGTCAAAGATACGTAAGATTGAAAGGTCATTGCCCATTTCGCAGGATCTTTGTACATTAGGTCCTAAAAATAACCAAGCATAAACAACACTAACATATCTATAATAATATAATAATTATGTTTCGATATACTTTTTCACTACTTACTAAAAGATTCCATCCTCGTAGATTACGCCACTGCTCTACAGGTTCTGTAAGCAGGGTAATGTCCTCAAATTGTCGAAAGTGTTCCAAAAATGTTGTCTTACCGCTTCCAATGTTTCCTTCGACGAATACGGTAAAAGGTTTTGCGTTTTCTGAATTCATTATAAAGTAATTTCGTTGACCTGTAAATAGATTGATAACTCACAGTATAATGTTATGATTAGAATGTACTTGTGGAATATGTGAGTACGCCAAACTTTCCCGCCTAAATAAAGGGAAATGGCCGTTTGTCAAAAACGTACCTTTGAAAAATAATGTTGCAATAAGACGTCTTAACATTATTTGGCAAACTTATTATTACAATTTATGTATTTTAATTCCATTGAAATTAGTAATCAGTACCATAGGAAAAGTAAAGGCTAAATTGAAAATTAAAAACTAAAAATGTAAATAATAAAACGTCATTGTCAAAGTGACATCCCGGAACGTTTGCATAAAAAATTAAATAAAACAGAACAAAATGAAAAAACCGATCAAAAAAAAAACAAATAATTTTTTTAGATAATTAATTAACTTTACTCCTTTGGAATACTTACTTTATTATTTGACTTGACTTGACTTCTCACTTCAACAAATATTATCGAATGTAGACCTACATTTGGAATTTAAATATTTAATGTAACTTAATTTATATGTTAAATTTATGGTAATGTTTTAGTTAATTTTATTTGTAATTGTTGGAATGTGCTTCACGACAATATTTTTATTTTTTTACATCGTTAAGCAAAAAAAAAACTTGTACTCACTGACAGACTATTACCGATAAACAGATATAGCGTGGCAATAAGTCGGCCACGATATGCGACGTTGTCGCCACCCTGTGAACTGCTATGATATTTTTCACACTATCTACATAATAACAATTTTTTGTTCTTATAGCGCAAATAAGTGCGTTAACTATTAGCAAAAAGTATATAATAATGCTATACCTGATATGTGAAAATAACGCCAATATAAGTATATGATTACAGATGAACAAACGAGTTTTAACTCTTTTATCCATTTGTCATCTGTAAAAAATCGTATGAATGATGGTCGTGGTAAGAGAAGTACGTTAAATTGAAGTTTTTCCTTTTCTACACAAGTATTACACGTTTAAATAAAATAGTACTAAGAAATATGTGTACAACTTACGTGTAAAATCGTTATTTTTGTGATGGTATTATTTGTATTTATAATAATTAGCTTTAGAATGCCATGATTAGAATTTTAATCAAAATATTATATGACTTATGAACCGTATGAGTACTAAAACCCTCATATTGTTCAGTTTGGAAATGAGTTATTATTGTCAGGTTTTTGTAGTTAATATTACTCTAATTCGAGGTGAGAATATCATCAGCTTGTTGGAAGTTTCTGAATATGTGATGAATTCAAGCTAAAGAGTACGCGACGTTAGGTGGATTGAAGGTCAAAACAGTAGAGCTTGTATGCCAGTCGCTATTTACTATACATTGATAGGATAAACGAAAATAAGTGAACAGCTTTTTACAGCTTGTGTCATCACACAAGCTGTAAAAAGCTGACTAAAAAAAATAGTTGCCGAGTGCTCTGTGGCTGTCAGTGTCAAACTATTGTCAATCAAAATGTTGCCTGATTATTACTTGTCAAGTGTCAAATTTGTCAGATGTTTACATGCCGAATTTTCACATTTTAAAATAGCTAATTGAAAAATATATATTTACAATATATTTTATTGTTAGTCTTAATTTCTTGTTAAAAACATATGTGATGAGTTCTTGTTGTGGTAATGAATTAATCAGTAATTCAGTTTATAGTGAAATACTAGTCAGTAATTTACAGCAAGTTGTATATTTATTCCATATTGTTTGCAATCATTGGTATATTTTTGGATTATCTGCGTTAGTAGGTGTACTATTATTTATAATAAAAAGTGTTTACCGTGTAAGTTTGCGTCGCGATCGACTGCATAAATAAGATACCTATGAAACCAAAAGTAATGTGTTTGTTTACTGCACACACTTGCGTCGCCTGTATTATATAAGGTATGTATCTAATAATATTAACCATTGATTATTATTTATGGGAAACAGTCTTATGTATTTTCATTAATATTATTAAAATTATATTGAATATTAATGGTATATTTAGAATTTATAATACCTATAAGAGAAATTGTGAATATTCAAATGTTATAAACCTTATATTATTTACTTAATGGTAATGCATAATTCTGTTTCTACGAATTTTTATTTATTCATCTTAAGTAACTTAACATATCTATTATTATGGCAACAACAAATGGATTTGGTTAGATAGAGACTTAAAATTTAATATTTTAAATTATAATAAAAAAAGACTATCGGAAATAAAGCAGTGTGCTAAACTGCTAGACCACTGAGGTCATCAAATTAGCTGTATTCTATACACTGATAGATAGATAGATAAGATAGATAATTGATTTATTGCCAACATAACTCAAATAATACAATTTACAATAAGACACAAATAATAATATAGAAAGTTGGCCATAGGAGGCACTGATACTATTTGATTCAATAGGTGACAGAATATTTAAAATTGGTAAATTAAACAAAATAAAATTTATTTAATTTACTCACCACATCATTAAATTAAATCATTCATCTTTATAAGTATAAGTATCAAATAAAAAAATAATATTTATGCAAAACCAAATATTTATGGTTTTCACCTTACTTAGAAAACTTTTTGTTGTAAATTCTGTGCAATCAAACTTATGATCCAATATGTAAAACAAAATAAATGAATATTAATAATTGTCATAATTATAGTTGTTTATGGTTCATAAAGTACATACTTCTTATATATAAAATACTTGTGTCACAATGTTACTTACCACTGAAAGAAAGAAAATACAATATAAACAACAAATGAAAAAAAAGAGCAAATAAAATGTACATATAATTAAACTTAATTTACCATAATTAAAAATAAACATAAAATAATCATTTTTTATATCCAAAAATGCACTGAAATGGCTCCACACAGCTTTAATGTATGTCCTAGGTGAACATACAGCTGGTTTTCAGTGGCACCAAAAATATATATATAAAAGGGGGAGAGAGAGAGGGCACTATTTAAAATATTAATGATAATAATTAAAACAAAATTACAACTAATAAATACAAACCAATTACATATAGAATAGAATAGAATAGAAATAACAAAATAGAATAAAATAACATTAATAAATATAAACATTAAACATATATATACAACTACTTTGCCGTAAGACTTATAGGTTAAATAGTACATAGATAATTCTTGTATAGTTTTTTCTACTTCTTCTACTTCTCTAAAACAGTTTGACTTATTTTTATGAAATTTTATATAGATATTCAGTAGATCTGAAAAGCGGCCACTATCTATTTTTAATAGGGATATTAATATTAGTGATTGTCCAACCTAAATTTTTTTTTTATTTTTGTACAAATTGTATTGTTTTTTATAATGTGGTATTAAAAGATACATACAACCCTAAATTTTTACGAACATCTTTTTTTTAATAGTGTTTTTAATTAAAATGGCAAAACAATGTTTTTGGAGTTAGTTAGTATTTATGTATTTATATATATATTTTACGTACTTATACACATTTTAATTTGGGACTAGTTATATTATCTTATAGCTTTTATAATATATCTCTAATATGTTTGACTAATTCTGAAATATTTTTTTATAACATCTATTGACAGACAATTTAATATACCACTTGCTATAGCAGGACTCATATACTAGCATTATTTACTGGAACAATAACCACCAAAGTGGTGATGGGCAGTAGATTAGAGTTATATGGTGAACAAGGAATAGGATTTCATTATGACATTCATCATTAATTATTGGCAACGTCCAGCAGTGGACTAATATATGCTGAAAGAGAGAGAGAGAGAGAGGATTTAATTTTTGAGCCATTGTTTTGCTTAGTTTTAGTAGATTATATCAATCAAATAAAATAAATTAAATTATTGATGACTTTTTGTAGGACATATTTGTGGCTTATGTAAATTAAGATTTTGTATTACCATTTTTTTTCCTACCATAGTATGGTTCAAGAGAAGTATATGTCTGAACAGTGTCTTCCCACTATGTAGTCACCTGTAGTGTACCCACATATTACTATAATATATTATTATTTATTTTTTTATCTGTATAGTGCTGTTGTTACAGCACCATGACTGGTTGGGCTCATTTTCCATCATAAATAGCAAGGGAAATCAATATATTTGATACTTTATTGTGCACATTATTTCATTATTTTTGATGATCATAGTGGTCTTGCAGTTTAGTACACCACTTTACTTCTGATCAATGCAGGTTTGATTCATTGTATCATATAAAGATTTGTAATCTTGAGTATGACTGTCTGTATTTGTCAGGATGTTTTCTAATATAAATATTATGTATGTATTTAAAAAAAAATGTAACCATGTGGGGTGGACCTCCATGCAATTCCCATGGTAAATTTCTGATGACTTTGTCAAGATGAGCTAACTGACCTGACTGGTGTGGCACTAGTGGTGGATGATAAGATGGACATGAATTCATCTTATCATCCACCACTAGTGCCTCACCAGTCGTAAACCGTTAGCGCAGACGACTGCACCGTTCCACTATCACCCATTAAAATAATACATAAAAGTGTAAATGAATGTTAAAGGTCGGTATGGACCATTGTAAGATTCTATTATCGCTGTAAACGAAAGTGAACGTCGTTGGGTGAACGCTGCTAACTCATCAGCCGTAGATACGTGTACTTCATTAAACTTGTTAGTTTTTCACTTTCCTACTAACAGAGACCACTTGCATAAGAGACCCTAGACTCTGTATAAGAGACCGTATTACACCATATCTACATTAACAATAAGCTAATCTAACTTATATTGTTTTGTTTATTTTTGACTATTGAAACAAATACGAAATATATTTTTAAATAATAAAAAAATTATTTAAAATAACTTAAATTTAAGCTTAAAATAACTTATATATATTTACTTGTAATAAATATATATATGTATATGTATATAAACTTATTTTTTTTAATCTACCGGAAAGCTAGCTCGTCACAATAAGAATTTTAAATAATTGTTATAAATAACTAGCTGTACTAGCGACTTCATCCGCGTTGATATTAACTTTATTTTTCTGAAATAAAAGTAGCCTAAGTTGATCCTTATTAAATCAGCTACCTGCTAAAAAAAAGTCCCGTCAAAATCGCTTCAGCCATTTCAGATTATTAGCCGAAACAAACAGACAGATAGACATACAGACAAATATTGTAAAAAATGTTATTTTGGTGTATGTACCGTATTTATATTCATATGCATGTAGTAAAAAACGGTTATTTCAATATTACAAACAAACACTCCAATTTCATTTATATGTATAGGTGAACAATGTAATATTAAAAAAAAT